TGTGGCTGAGTCCGGCCACTGACCAGGCGGCGTCTCGTTATCCTGTGGTGCATGGTGAAATGATGGGGGATGGATGTGAATGGACTGAAGATGGGGTTCCTCCCTTTGGAGTGCGTCGCAGCAGGGTGAACGCGCCCTTGTTACATAGTGTGGGCTTACCCCTGGGTTGTGGGCTGGGCTCTCTATGTGGTGCAAATTGCCCCCCTTTGGTGACGTAGGATGGGCCCCCCTTGTGGTGTGGGGGGCCCCCCCCCATTGTAGGGGGCAGTGGGGACTGGGGGGTGGGCCTTCCCGTGAGCCCCTCCCTTCTCCCCTCCCTTCCCTTTGTCACGGGGGCGTGGTCCCCCTGGTTCCGTCTCGCTCTGCCGCAAAGCGGTGGTGAGGCGGCCCGTGGAACAGCTCCAGGGCGCACTGTCAATCTTGTGGGCTGCCTCCGCCCCCGGGCCGTTGCCCCTGGCAACTCGCCGGCGTCGCAGGCAACTGGTGACGTCACGCCCGCCGGCGACGTCACGCCCGCCCGCGACGTCACGCCCGCCGGCGAAACCACGCCCGCCCGCGACGTCACGCCCGCCCGCGAAACCACGCCCGCCCGCGATGTCACGCCCGCCCGCGAAACCACGCCCGCCCGCGAAACCACGCCCGCCCGCAACGTCACGCCCGCCCGCGAAACCACGCCCGCCCGCGACGTCACGCCCGCCCGCGACGTCACGCCCGGCCGCGAAACCACGCCCGCCCGCGACGTCACCTCCGCCCGCGACGTCACGTCCGCCCGCGACGTCACCTCCGCCCGCGACGTCACGTCAGCCCGCGACGTCACCTCCGCCCGCGACGTCACGTCCGCCCGCGACGTCCCTCCCGGCCTCGGCGCGACTCCCGACGCGGTCTCCGTCCCCGGCGCGACTCCCGACGTGGTCCACGGCCCCAGCGCAATTCCCGGCGCGATCCGCGACACCACTTTTGGCCGCGACGTCACTCCCGGATGCAACGTCACGTCCGTTCGCGACGCCACTCCGGGTCGCGACGCCACTTCTGGTCGCGACGCAATCCCAGGCCCCGGCGCTATCCCCGGCGCGATCCCCTTCCCCCGACCCGGACAATGGGGACCGGGGAACGACACCGACGGCGCCCACCCCGAGGAGACTCCCGGTAAGTTCGCGGCGTCGGAATTATAATTGCTCGGCCCGACCGAGAGGCCGGGCGGGACGGCGTCACTCGCCTGGATCCTGTCGGCGTTCGGCCCCGGCGGGTTCCAGGTGACGTTGGCGGCCTCCGGCTCTGTGCGGCACCCCCTCGCCACATGCCCCTCTCGACCACAACGGTGGCAGACCCACGGGGCGTTCCGTCGGGGGGGCTCGGCGCGATGTTGTAGAGGCGGCATCCAGCGACGCGGCGGTTGGTCGCGCCCCTGGTCCCTCTGCTCCGCCAGTCCCCGGATCGCCGCGTACACCTCCCGCAACGATGGCTCCGTCTCAGACGTCGGGGGTCCGTCCCCAGCTGCCCCACAGGCAGCCTGTGGCGACGGTGCAGGTTCGGCGGTTGGTGTCGCTGGACCCAGTAGCGCCGCGGCAACGGCTCGGCTGTTCCCCCCCGCCGCGCCAGCCACCGGGCCCACGGGTGGCGCCCGGCCCATGACCTGCTCGTGGGCTTGGATGGTCCGGGCAGCCCACAGCGAGGTGCGTTCCCCCGGCGTCACCACGGGCATTACAACGCCGGCGCGGCAAGCGTAGGCGATGAGGTGCTCGACCACGAGGTCCTCGAGCGCTTCTTCAGCCAGGCGAGGGAAAGCTCTCCTCGCCAACACGAGCAGTGCACCCCTGTAGGCTAAAGGGGATTCTTTAGCCCCTCGCTGGCGATCCTGGAACCGTTTAAAGGCTCCTTCCGCCGGGCAATAGATCTCCCCCAAAGCCTCGTAGGCCGCCTGTAGCGTGGTCTTGCTGTGCGAGGGAAGGGAGGTGTAAGAGGCGAGTGCTTCCTTGCCCAGAATGGATGGCAGCGCTCGTAGTGCCTCTTCGTCTGTCCACTCGAGAGCGTGGAAGGCAGCCTCGAATCGGCGGACAAACTCCTCCCAGTCTTCTTCCTCAGCCACGAACTTGTCGACGGGCCCCAGCCGACGCGGCCGTCCGGCCACCTGCTCTCCGTGTTGGGTGGTTAGCCCTGGGGGTTTTGGCGGGACCGGCGGCGGCTGGCGTGACGAGGTTGGTTGCGGCTCTTGCCCGGCCGGCTGGTCGGCCTCCAGGTCCCGTGGCCTCTCCTCCTGTAGTACGCGTGGGGGTGGGGGTCCCGGTGCTGGCGGGCCCCCCATAGGGAGCCTCTGTAGGAGCTCCTGGAGTGCCCTCTCCACGCGGGCCATGCGGTCCTCCATGGGGTCCTCCAGGCGATCCGGGCCCCCTGCTGCTGCTTCTGATAGCAGGCCCCCTTGTTGCCCGGGATGGGAAGGATCCCCGGCCCCTGCTTCCTCCTCCCTTGGCTCTTTCCCGCGGGGATTTTTCTTTGTAGCCATGAAATCCCACCACTGCCACCAGATGTAAAGTAGGAGCCGACACCAGATTGCAGGGGTCTCGTCCTTTATTCCTTTCCTTCCATCCACACCTGTCCCCAGCCGTCCCAATCTCGTTCCCGCAAAAGGCCCCTTCTTCCCGCCCGTTCTCTCCTTATATCTCTTCGATCACCCCTCCCACTAACCCCTTTATTGGTGGGAATCCTTCCCCTGACACCCCTACAAATGTTCACCATGAGCATAGACAACCGCTGAAACAACCAATACCACCCACAAGTGCTCAACCACAACCATACACAGCAACCGTTGAAACATTCACAACCGTAAACTCAACAACAGCCGCCATTCATCACTAAGTGGTGGTGACGTCACCACAGCGCTTGTGCCAGGCTAGGTGCACTTTAAGGCGACGTGAAGTGTCGAAGGCTCACTGACACGAGGTCACGGGACAGACCCAGCAGGTGCCATGGGTTGGCTGACCGACATGCCTGGCAGATGCACCAGCTGTGCCCCCTACTGTGGCAACTTGCTGCTCTTTATCTGTCCGGCGCTCCGCTCGTTGTTGTGAGCGTCGCTCCTCTGCCCTCCGTTGTTGTTGGAGGGCGACTGCCTCCAACCTGCCCAGTAGCAGCGTCCTTCACGAGCCTCCTCCACAAAGGCGATCATGACATCGCTGGTACCAGTCTTCGGCAAATCCACTCAAGCTCCACATCCTCCCATACCGCATCAGTCCATCTCTTCTCCAGCCCGTGTCGTGGCCGTTTAGCCCCGTCCATAAATAACAACCGCTGAAATAATCACAACCATACACCACAACTGCTCCACCTACAACCGCATGCCACAATAACTGCAGAACCACACCAACTGACACAGTATACCACAATCATAAAGCACAATAAGTGCTTTTTGTCTATAGTTGTCCTCCCACACGCTTGGCTACGTACGGTGCGAAAGAAGTTCAACGTACATACTAAAAGTGCGCCAAAAACATACACACGCAAATCCAAACGACCACAGAGAAGACAACCACGCATAACTGTTGAAAGACAACTATGAGCACAAACATATCTTTCCACGCAGCCGTGTGAGACAGTAATTACAGACTTACGCTGCTCAGTATCATTCGTACATTCTTGCATAAATGTACGCAATGCCTGTGCACAAATCATGCGGCGAATGGGAAATGTGAGAAAAAAAACGTGGCTTAAAACATTTTTAGAATTGCATAAACCATTCAATACTCGGTCCACTTGGCTTGATCCTCAGCCATTGCTAATATCAGAGGCAAATTACATCTGAAGCGGTCCTGGCCCTCTCATAGATCAATACATCCTTAAATCAGTACCCAATGTGGTGTTCAACAAAACATTTGGGAGACAAACGTGGTCGGGTACGGTTCTAGCTACACCACCCACATGTGCGTCATGCTGGCTTTAATGGGGGCTCACTAACAGGACTTGCCCCAACAGTCATTGTAGGTTAGACGTGAGTTCTTTATCTTTATATTCTTGGTTCTTTCGGTAAAGTCACGTAAAAGGGAAATAATAAAATAATAACAAATACGTCACTTTACCGAAATAACCAAGGATATGAATCCCTGCAGTCACGAAAGCTTTAAATCAAAATTATTTATCTTTGTCAATGTGGTACTTAGCACACATTAATGTGTGCATTCAAATCTCTTTGATATTCTTGGGACGATATTCAGAGTATCTTTATATCTTTGGATACAAGGATATAGCCTAGGAATGGCTTGCCAGTAGTTTTTCGATAACGTGTGATGGTTTAAATACATTGATATCCTTGGTCGTTCAGCTTTTCCTAACCTATAAATGTTTATCTTGAAATTCTTACACTAAAAGGTGACTAAAATGTAAATTATAGTAATGGTGTTGATGATGGCCCTGTGTGAAATGTGACTTAACATGTAAACTTTAAGTTTGTGCTGAAGAAAATACAAGGTATCAATCGGTAAAATAAAGAATCTTACATTTTTTATTATATACATTAAACTCCAGCTTCTAAATGGGGAATAAACTGTGACCACACTTAATGCTGTCCTATATCATCATGATCACCAGATGCAATATTTGATCAGACAGTTGACAATCATGTTCTTCCAAGCTTACATATCGTAATCTCTCTATAATTGTCTGAAGTTGACCAACATTTCAAATCATCCTCTGCAAAAAGTACATTACGTAATGTTGTTCTGTTAATCAACACAGAAAATGTATTTGCATCCAAGATTGCCATCAACATGATGCGGCAGAACCGCTTTGGAAGAACATAAATTTAGCAACAATGGAACTTGTTGTGAAATCATGTATAATTACTACATACCGGATGCCTATGAGTAACTGCTGCAATATACCACAGTACCACTAACATTTACGATGTCACAAGCAAACTCAGCTTAGCATGCGGAAACTAATTGCGCACACGAAGATAAGCACACCCACAGGTACTAATAAAGTGAGTATATAAGCACTTTCATCGTCAAGGCATGCGCATACAAGTCGTTCAGAACTTCACATAAAATGTTTGCCTATCTAATTCTGGCCACTGTGTTGTGCTCGGCCGTGGGGCTGAGTGACAGCTCACGAGTGAGGTTGATTGACAACGGCTATGAGGGTCTGGTCATTGCCATCAACCCCACCGTGCCCGAAGACCCCAAGCTCATCGACGCCATCAAGGTGAATACCTCCCTTGTGTAACACAACATTTTGTAAAAATATGTTAAAAATGGCCTTTTTTTTCTTCTTTAAAATGTGCTGGTGTTGTTAAATGGTTTGCTTTCAACGAGTTACATGTTTACGGATGCATACAAATGACCATGCATTTTATCAGGTGATATTTATATGAATGACGGCACTTTCCGCAATTTGAAATTGAGATAAATTTATCAAACTCCCTTTGCCTGGTATCAGGGATGCAACTATAGGGTAAGCAGCGTATGCGACGCATAGGGGTCCAGTCGGCCACAAAGTGGCCCCGAATCAAAAGATAAGTAAAATGACCTGCGGTGTACCATGGACCAACCCCGATAAACGCATCTGGCTATCATCAAGTTTCAAGTTTAATTTATTAGGTATAGCCCTGTGAGCCATTCGGCTCTTGAATCGGGTGCAACCGCAACAAACAAAAAACTAAAACATGAACAAGAAAACATCTTAAAGTGACTATGTGCAAACAGAAAATCCAAGAAAAGACAGTAAAATATTGCAGTCATACAAGTAGAGCATAAAGTTGCGCAATCCACTGCCTTTGAGGATATCTTAAACCGATGGGCTGGCATTAAAGCAAGACGCATAATCGTGAATATTGTACCTTTAAATCGTTTTTTTATTAACACTGTCACTGCGAGACTGTCTTCCTCTAAACGCAATACACGGTGCAACTAAAATAATATATGTTAAGAGTCATAGCCTACATTTATTTGCATTATCATAGTATTGTATACGGGTTAAAAACATCCGTAGCTATTTCAGTAAAAGTGAGGGGGGGGGGGGCACAGTCATATCTTGCATACCCCTGTTTAAATAGTTTGTTGCGCTCCTGCCTGATATGCAGAGCAGGGGTCGGGAACCTTTTTGACTGGGAGAGCCATAAAAGCCAAATATTTCTAAATATATTTCATTGAGAGCCATATAGTATTTTTAACGTATAATAAATTACATGTGTCTTACTTTTAATGCGACTTCTGGTCACGGGACCCGTGAACCGAGAAATTTTATCTTCAAAACTAATTTGTTTCTTTTAAAATGACACAGTATTATTAAGCAATATCACAAGTTCCAAACTGATCTTATTTTTATTTTATTATTATTATTTTTTTTCACCTCAAAATTGTCTGGGAGCCATATGCCGTCACCGGAAGAGCCATATATGGCTCGCGAGCCATAGGTTCCCGACCGCTGATCCAGAGCATGATGCCTGTATATCTGGAGTGTGCATGACTTTTTTCCCTGCTGGCATAGAGGTTTTAGGCTTACATCGTCGACAATGGAGGGCCATAAAAAGGTATACTACACTCAAATTTAGCCAAGTTTGTGCTTCGTTAAAACGAGTTTTACAGCCAATATCATGATTCCCATTTGATTTATGGAAGAAGACACGCAATGGTCTGGCCACATTTATGACGTAAGACACAGGCAACCAAATAACGTTATCATACGGACAATTTTTTAAATGCCAATGAATGTTTCAGCTCACCAGTAAGTAGAAGGATAATCTCAAAACCAAATTTAACAATTAGATGCGATGTTTCGTTTGAAACTATGTTACTCATTTAGATTTAAAGCTTTCTGACTGCAGTGATTAATAATCTTGGTTCTTTCGGTAAAGTCACGTAGAGGGGAAATAATAAAAATAAAACAATAAAATTATCACGACGTTTCGATTGCAACACAATTCAAATTTTCTTGCTGAGGTTTTCACACCTGATGACGATTGCATGTGTTGCAATCGACACGTCGTGGGAATTTTATTGTTTTATTTTTATTATTTTATTACTCCCCTTCTACGTGATATTACCGAAAGAACCAAGAATATGTTACTCATCTTCAGAGCAAGATACAGAACACAAAGTCCGAAAAACCAGATCCCCTGGCCCAGATTATTAAATAGGTGTCCTGACCTCACAGGAATAATCCGACAGGGTTAAAATAGATATTAACCATTACACATTCATTTATTGAAATTGTATTGTCATTTATCTGAGACAATGAATACCATATTCATTATTCATTATAACTACTCATGGATATCAAAACTTGTCAAAACACCATTGGAACCTCATTTGCCAGTAGCAAAATATGATAATTGTTTTTAACCCTTTTATCTGGCAACAAAACTGACACCTTTTTTAACTTGTCAAAAGTAAACATAATTAATTATTGAATACTAGATGGAATCCCGTTCTATTCGACGAGGTTATCGTCCCCCATTGGCTCAATACTCGTCTTTTAGCTCTTCTCAACACTCACCAAACACCTGTCACTACTCACCACCGATACCTATTCAACGACTTATTCATTTAATTCATTCTCATTCTTACCCCCATTAAATCACCCGCACCTCTCATTCATTCTCACCTCATTGCTGCATCGTGGGCGATCCGTTGCGTTGCTAAGGAATTGCGTTGTTCATGAAAGCGTTGCTAAGGAAAGGCGTTGCTAGGGTGAAGGCGTTGCTAGGGTGAAGGCGTTGCTAGGGGGAGGCGTTGCTAGGGTGAAGGCGTTGCTAGAGTGAAGGCGTTGCTAAGGAAAGGCGTTGCTAGGGTGAAGGCGTTGCTAGGGTGAAGGCGTTGCTAGGGGGAGGCGTTTCTAGGGGAAGGCGTTGCTAGGGGAAGGCGTTGCTAGGGGAAGGCGTTGTGTACATTGCTAAACCATTTTACTGCACTACTTAACAATGTATCACCTGACTTACCGCATAAAATTGCACACACCTGTTGACTTATTTATCTCTCATCTGTTCCTCCCAAATTTACAAATTTATTTATCATTCAGTCGCTCATTCCACTCATTCATTGGTGATCTTTATTTGCTCAACCCTCTCATTCAATTACATTCCTCATTATTTATATAAATTCTTCTCATTCTGTTCGCCACTCCTCCTTCAACTCCACCGGCTTCCCGTTCAATATCGCAGTCTTTCCAAATACCTGACGCTATTCTTTACATCTCTTCATGGCCTTGCCCCACATTATCTTGCTTCTCTCATCTCCTTCCATGTCCCCTCTTGTCATCTTCATTCCAAATCTTCTCTGTCTCTCTCCTCCCTGTGCCCAATCCCGTGTTCGGCCCTTCTTGCACCCCTCCACTGGAATCAACTTCCCCCGTACATTGAGCAGGCCCCCTCCTTAACACCATCCCATCCCTCTCTTAAAGCCTCACCCCTATTACCCAATATCTTCCCTCCCCTCGTCCCTCCACTCCTTCACGTCTCCCCACTACCCTTTTGTGATCCATAATCTTCTTCTTGTCGCTGCCACTCATTCCTCAATCTTGTATCAACTACATAATTCCATTATCTCAAGCACATTGAGGGAACCAGGGGTAGAGAGAGGGATCGAGTAGTGAGTCTGGGGAGAAGCCGGTGGTGGTAGCCGTAGAGGTGCTTCTCTCTCCGCTCGGTGGAGTCGGCAGAGTCCCCGATCCGACACGAGAGGGAGAGACCGGAGCTAGCCGGCAGGGACCCGGACTCAGAGTAGGACCCCCCTAGCCCCTGGGAGTTGTGTACCCTGCTGTGTATTATTGTAACAGCTTTAATAAACCCCTGGCGAAAGCCCTTAACTTACCTCCGTCTACGAGTACGTCTGTCGGAACTACTCAACACATATGAAATAGATTACGTAATCGTTCTTCTCCCCCAATCATTCTCCTCGGTCATTCACTCACTCAAACCTCCCAATCCTTTTATTTACTAATTCTCAAATTTTTGCATTCTCTCCCCATTATCTTACTCGTGCCTCATTCACTTACACATTCTTCCCTCATCCTCGTATTATTTAACTTACTAAATTCTCTCACCTCTCATTCGTCCCTCATTTATTCACTTATTTTCTCATTTGCACACACTGTAGTCTGGCGAACAGCGAACATTTTAATTTTGAAACGCACTCAAGCAAGTTATGGTACAATACTTGAATTTCACAGTAAATATAAGTATCATTGTGAACATTTTAACAAAAAGTGTTTGATGTAAATTTATCTTATTCCTCACTCATTCAATCATTCATTACTCCCATTCATTCCCATCCTTGCCTCATTTAGAGTATTAGGCTGCTATAAATGTCCACATAAGCCACTTCGTGGAGCTATCATCTGTGGCCAGGTCACTTCTAACAAAGAACATTATAGCTCAGAGGGCCTTACCTGGTAAAATAAAACGTAGTTTAGTTTTATGAAATTAATCATTTTCGTCCAACGCCTTCCATCAAGATCCCTGATTTTTGTCCACATGAGCACGTTTATGTGTCTCACTCATGGCTCGGCAATGAAAGGTAGTAAACACTTTTTTTCGCTTGCACATCTACAGACGACAGGCTTTCGATCGATGTAAAATTTGTAAACGTAGCTTTAAAATGTGGCTGAGGGTGGGGAGGGGCTGGGTGGGGAGGGGCTGGGTGGGGAGGAGCTGGGTGGGGGGTGGGAGGGGTGGGGCTGGGTGGGGAGGGGTTGGTCACCCCGTGGTGCCCTTATACAACTCAACGTTTAACCTACTCACGCCGGCTTGTGCCCGCCCTCACAGTCGGGCATATTTGCGGAATACACCACGCCGCCGTTGACCCTGGCCATTGACCGAGCAACCCAACGTTCCTACCAGCTCCCTCCGCAGGAATGTGTTATACTGGTAGGAACGAAGTGGACCAGCCTACAATAGATTATATCGTCCGTCCGTTTGTCCGTCCGTCCGTCCGTCCGTCCGTCCGTGTAGCAACATCGCCCCCTACTGCAAACACTTGGCATGACCCTACAAAAAACCTTTAGACTCTGTGAGGCTTTCCTGGCTAAACAAGTGTAACATTCCCTTATAATTCCCTCAGATAGCTTTTAATTAAAACATTTAAATTAATGAGGCTTTCCTGGCTAAACACGTGTAACATTCCCTTATAATTCCCTGAGATAGCTTTTAATAAAACTTTGAAATTAAATAAAAAAACTCACAGCGCCCTAAAGCCTACAGCTAGGCCTAAAGCCTAGAACTAGGCCTCAAAGTCTCCCTTCGTATCGTACCCCCGCGTGTGTGCAAGGGAGTTAATGTTTAACAATGTTACATTCCCTGATGCTTTTAAATAGAAACATTTAAATTTAAAACTTTTACATAAATAATAAAAACATTTAAATTTAAAATTAACTCACGGCGGCCTAAAGCCTACAGCTAGGCCTCAAGCCTCGAACAACGCCTTTCTTCTTATCGTTCCCCCGCGTGTGTGCAAGGGAGTTAATGTTTAACAATGTTACATTCCCTGATGCTTTTAAATAGAAACATTTAAATTGAAAGCTTTTACATAAATAATTAAAACAGGTAAATTAAAAATTAACTCACGGCGCCCTAAAGCCTACAGCTAGGCCTAAAGCCTAGGCCTAGGCTTCAAACTCTCCCTTCGTATCGTACCCCCGCGTGTGTAAAAGGGAGTTAATGTTTAACAATGTTACATTCCCTGATGTTTTTTAATAGAAACATTTACATTTAAAGCTTTTACATTAAAAACAACTCCCTACCCCCTCCTCGTCGGCGGCTTTCCAGCCTAGAGCCAGGCCTGCGAATCTCTCCCCCGCTAGGGGTGTATTGGGCGGGGCTACAGCGGCAGCGGGCGGGGCTACGCGGGGCTGGGCGAGGAACGGCGGCAGGGGGCGTGGGCACGAAGTGGAGGGCGGGGCTACGCGGGGTTGGGGCGGGGTTACGGCGGTAAGGGGCGGGGCAACGAGCTGGGGCCGGGGACACCGAGATGGGGCGGGGCCACGGGTGGCCGGGGCGGGGTTACGCGGGTGGAGGGCGGGGCCACGGGGCATCCACTTATTGGCGGCCATTTTTTGCCATTTCATTTTATTATAGCCATTCAATTGTTCGTTCCTACCAGCCCACCCCGCAGGGTCCTGTTATATGTCCGCAACTCCGATTAACACGGTTGGCTACCAACGGTGTGAAAGAAGTTCAACATACATATCCTTATGCACTGCTAATGCAACTGTACTGCATTCTACTCCTGATATCCACTTAATGCGGAGACTTTTGCTTCAGTCGTTTTTTTTGCAGTTATAGAACACTGAAAAATACCTTGCTGCTGCCAAACTTGTGCACATATCATAAATCCCACCTTTGTTCAGGGACCGAAAGGGTCTTTTCACATGGGATGAGTTCACATATTCCTTGACCAATGTGATATCCCATGCAAAAAATTGCCTCGCCATGTACATATCGGAATCCAAGGGAAATGCTGACATATTTTGAGAACACACTGATACACGTGGTTGCTTTCCCCATCAGCCGGGTGTGTCGACCGATTTGTATGCACACTGTGGGACGTGAGCGCCACATGCAGGATGGGCATGGCAGGCACCTCTCCCATGCCGCCGGTCAATCACGATGTGGTTACGGGCGTTTTTTTTCTCGTATGGCTAATGTAGATTCAGAGCAACAGCTACAATTTCACATTCAGGTGGTCAAGCCAGATAACTGCGTCAGAAGAAGCGAAGTGTATCGTTGCAATGTCTCCTTCGTATTTGTGAATCGGGCATTGCGGCGTTATATGTTTTATTGTCTGTTCTGGATGAGCACAGTCGCACACTGGAGAGTTTTTAATTTTCCATTTGAGCATCAGGTATTCGCATCTGCCATGGTTGTGCAGATGTAGTTTAGGGTTGACCATTAGCTTCGTGGAAAATCAACCCAGGGATCTCCTGCGTTGGGTCTTTCACAAGGTGTCTGTGAGTTATTTTGAACTCCATTCAGCTCTACAAGCTACATCAGGGTTGAATTCGCATTGGTTAAGTTTAAGGGCATGGGTCCAAAAGGGCTTGCATGAATTCAACCGATGACGAGGGACGTTTTTGAGAATACTGGGGTTAGAAAGAAAGGGGGGAGCTAGAAAGGGGCAAGGTAAATGATGTCACCATGCATGACCAAACCCAATCCTCCAGTCCACCCGTTCAGGAGCCATGCTTGCACTGTGCAGGGATCACAATGCCATCACAATTGTTTTAATAAAACTGGACTTTTCTGAATGAATTACTGTTTAAAGTCCTGAGTCTAATTTCCACGAATTTAATATTATTTCTACAGCGAATTAGTAAGGCAAAACAGTAAATGTTGTGTTACCATTACATGTTTCTTATTAACATTTCGCTTAATAGGCAATGGTGACAGATGCATCTGCCTATCTGCATGCAGCCACGAACAACCGAGTTTTCTTTAGAAATGTCAGCATTTTGATCCCATCTTCCTGGGCGTCTAAAAACTACACACGGCCAACATACGAGTACTATGGCAAGGTAAGCAATTACAGACACGAGGAGACGCAATGAATGCATGTCAACATGTTGATGTACTCATATTTTTTAATAATATGGAATTGAATATATGAGCTATAATCAGTGTTCAAAAGGGTGTTTCTCAAATCGAGTCCTTGCAAGTAGATTAATGGTTACCAATCTTTGCCTTTCATATACCGTTTAAACAATACACACCGCATGCACCTGATGGGTTGGTAATTACGGAAAGCTGTACCGTGGGGTGGTGTGAAGATTGGATTTTTTAAAAACGGATTAAACAATATGCGATAATTTAATATTTGTTCCTAAGGTTATGGTTATGTGAGATACAGCACTCCCTGAAATTTATAATTTTTACCAAAATTGTGGCAGACTCCCCACCTACAAATTTGCGAAATAGTGGCAACAAAACCACTACATCAATCGCGTGGAATGGGACACTATGCCTTCTCAGCTCAATGAATGAGCCATGCCCCCCAAATGGTAAAAAATGCAGTGGGTACTTATAAGGGTGTAATGGCCCCTGCATGCATTGTAATACAGAAAATACTACACGATTCAGCCACTTTATGTTTAGACAGATTCGGATATTAAAAGTTTTACAAATAAAAAACAGATATGTATATAAATTGGGCAAATATCCCAAACAGAAACTTCTGGAATTTTTGTTTTTTACAAAATCTGCATAATCAATTTTTTTATTTTTTCTCACGAAGGCGGATGTGCTTGTTCATCCTTGGGACGACCCTGCGGATGACTCGCCGTACACTCACCAGTACGGGCAGTGCGGTGAACCCGGCCAGTACATTCAGTTCACCCCAAACTTCCTCCTCGATGACAAAAACCTGAAAGCATACGGACCACGAGGTAGGCAAAACCTATTCTTAGGAATAATGCGCAGCGCTTTGTTTTAACCTACTGAGTCAACTCAGGGATGTGCAATACATGGGTACTTATTAATTGGTATCTTCTGTTATTAAATATTAGCCCACACCTGTGAAATCTCAAATTTTCACCCCAAGAGATGTCAACTCGATGCACTCACAAATCCATTACTCACCACCCTCATCTCATTACATGTTTCCTCATTCTCCATGAAAGCCACCACATATTATAACAGCATCAATTGCAAAATTTGTTCTGTAAACATTTAAACGTGCATGGCATCCTCCCCTCCCAAGATCACATTCATTTTATGGGCAACCCTCTCTACTGACCAAGTTTTTGGCTCAATGCCCAATCCTATAATATTCTGACCAGCTTAGATGCTGCAGACCAGGCAGCTCAGTCAAACTCATCTGTGATCCGAGTACCGAGTGGCTTACGCAATTCCAAATTGCATAGGTCAAGATTTGGCCCATTTCCGATTTCCTACAGGATTTACCAATGGGATTGTGTACATTTTTGTGAAAACGTAAGGAAGACAGAGCCCAGTGGTCAGTCCACTACTACTCACGTCCGCATACAGCAAACAACAACAAAGATCCTCCGTATAGCTTTAACAGACTTTTTGGGGAAAGTGCTGGGGCTGGCACGGCACACAAGAGTGTGGGTGGCCAACACTATGCCCAGCCACCTTTGTCTCCCTAGTGGCGATGTTTATACACCGCACCAGATGCTCACCTACGTTTACAAATATGGTATCTTACAAATACGACAACCATAAATACACACACATCCACACACTCTCACAATCACACACATACAACACATCAACACGCGTGCACTATCACAAATAAATACTGTAATATTGCCGAGTGCTACTTTGGTCTTCACCAAAGTCACCTCATTTTAATAAATCAGAGTTGCAACACATTCACTCTACCTCAATAGCCCTTGTATTCCCAACAGACAAGTTCATGTCTGCAACTTGATCTTGTGGTGAAATGTAATAATGCTAAAAATTACCATACAAGTGTATTGACAGCACACCAGAGACCATCACTTTGACATCTCTACCGAAAGGGTTAACATGACAGTTTGCATCGAGAGTTAGAAAGGACATGCAGTTGGATGGAAGGACAGCTTAAGACCTTAGATACACCGTTTTTTAAAATCCTTTATATTAAGTTCGCTTGCTTGCTTGCTTGCGCGCTTACGACCGTGAAAATCTTTCGGTCGTTTTTTAACACACTTCCCGTGATCCAATCGAGCTGACATTTTGCACACAGACTCGTTGTGCGTGACAATTAATTTTAGTGAAAATGTTTTTTCCTAAATTTTACACTTTTTAGGGAAAAAAATGATATGTAATTACCAATTGCTTAATGGTGGCAAACAATCATCTGACCCATAGGTGGCAGCCATCTCAAGCCAGAGGACGAGAGGACTCTAGCCACCACGCATATAAAGGATTTATAGTGAAAAACTTAGTTTTTACGGGTTAATTTTTTTCCTTGTTAAAGGTGCACATTACCCCTGTATTTTGAAGCATCAGTTGGGGGCACATAATATAAATGGAAGACAGTTCTTCATAGCAATACATTACTGCCCAGAGGACAGAATACCACATCCACCCATTCAGAATAATATTACAGATGACCTCTCATTATTTTAAAGCAGCACGTCCACTTTCAGGTTCTGAAAGACAGTTATCCACATTGCATATTCTCCCCCCTCCCCGCCCCCCCCTGTATAATTTTCCAAAACTGGAAGAAAACGCATGTGTGTTATTTCACAGGAAGGGCTTTTGTCCATGAATGGGGCCACTTTCGCTGGGGTCTATTTGATGAGTACAGTGAAGAGGAACCTTTTTACGTGGATGGAAAAAATCCAGAATTCACGAGGTGGGTATCAATGCTTCAAAACTGTATGCATTGAATTAGAATTCAACATAGATTTGGCTTACATTTGCAATTGTACCTTTTATTAATTATTTCACTACCGTATGCTTACCAAAGCTATTTAAATCAGTGTTTCACTGGATGTGGCCAGGATTGTACTTATACCAAGCCAAATACCGACCTGAATATTTGCAAAAGGGCACACTCCTAAATATTTGTGAAATTCTGACGCTAAAATCATTGAAAAGGTGTTGATAAAATGGCCAGAGAAGGTGATACGCAAACACTAAGATGTTAAAGCACTCATCAGGGGAACAGAGATGAAGAGGGAGTGCTCTTGCGGATAACATATGACAACCAAACAACATTTGTATTAACAAGCATAACTCTGATCATATACCCAAACGGTCAACACTAGTCCAGAGTTTTCTTGTTTAAATAAATGCTGGTGGATAGCATAATTCTAGAAGGTCAATGGTGCCATTGTGTAAAAATGTATGCAGGGATGCAGACGGTGGTATTCCTGTTCATTTATTACCCACAATGCACCTATCACTCAATACAATTTTATTTAGGACAACACACATTCAACGAGCCACTTTGGAGACATTAGATAACCAGAAGAGACATCGAGGTTTGAATGTGCACTGTAATATCATTTCTCAGTTATATATTGCGTATTCTTAGGTTTTTTCGGTAAAGTCACGTAGGTAAAACATCAAAATTTATCAAAATAAATAAAATAAAACAAAAATCACGACGTTTCGGAGGCAACACAAATCTCCGTCATCAGGTGGGACCGTCACAGCCGGATGACGGAGACTTGTGTTGCCTCCGAAACGTCGTGATTTTTTTTTATTTTATTTATTTTTTATTAATTTTGATGTTTTACCTACGTGACTTTACCGAAAAAACCTAAGAATATGAATCCTTGCAGTCACGAAAGCTTCAAATCTAGAAATATATATTGCGTGTTTGCCATTTCATGGTTTTGATTTACAGGTGCTCCAAAGACATCACGGGCGGCATTGGCAAGGTGACCTGCAGAGTGGATGGTACATGCGCGGTGGACAAGTGTACGATAGAAAGCACGGGTCTACCTGAAAAGGGTTGCTCCTTCCTCCCAGACGAAATTCAGACAGCAAAAGAGTCCATCATGGGTCTGCAATGGATCAACAGTGTAAGTGTTCATTCTGTATTAAAGGGTGCGCGCTTTACACATGTAATATACGTGAGAATACAAGTCTGTGTGCGTTCTTTGTTTTAATCCTCCTTACACCGCATGCTAGGAAAAGCATCCAAAATAATGTGGCAAGTTTAACACGTAGGCTTTTGCGACACAGTCGAATAATAAAGTTTTCACGTGAACAAAAAGTTGTCACGTGAGGATGGTTTGACACATTTTATTTATGCAATCTGACCTAAAATATATTAATTATGAATCGTAAAAATACGTAATTTTTACGTTTTACATCACTTCTAATTCCCCAATCCATTTAATCTTGCAATTCATATTTTCCCATATACATTGCAATATTTTTTTATATATATAACAAAGTTGCACCTTTGCAGAGGAAGTATTCATAGAGTTGTGGAAAATAACCCTTCATGGGTATGTTGGCAACATTGGTCAACAACCAGGTAACTAAGAACATTTAGTGTAGAGAGGAATTCACCATGGCTGGAGAAGCAACTTCTTGTTGAGATATTACCAACAATTGTTTAGATATTAAGCCAGGGAATTTTGGGTTTCTTGCGGAGAGCTTTGAGCGCACGGTTGGTGAGCTTATTGGCTATATAAAATTGCTTGGAATAAGTAGTGCTCCTCCTTCTGGAATAAAACGACACAATAATGAGCCTCACTGCATGGCCTCGTAGAACTACCTGCATACCAGTCGGAATTACCTACTATAATCACCCAGAAATGTCTGTCCGTCCCGCGCGTGACGTCACTCCACATGAGCCCCCCCCCCCCCGCGTGACGTCACTCCACATGAGGCCCAACCCCCCTCATTAATATTCATGAGTGGGTGAATTTTTACACTAACGCAGAGGAAGGTCCAGCTGAATTAAATAATTAATTACGCAAAATCGCTTCAAATATGACGACGTTTCTTTACAGAAAGTGACGGTAAAAAATAAATCTACGCAGCACAGTTCTGCATCCGTGTGTGACGTCACTGCAAAAGAGCCCCTCCCCCCCCCTTAATTAATATTCATGCCCGCGTGGAAATTTACACTAATGCACAAGAAGGTCGGGCACTCCACATGCAGCACCCCTCCCCTCGTTAATAATCATTAGCGGGTGACGTCACTCCACATGCCGCACCCCTCCACAATAACTATTAGCGGGTAATGTCACTCCACATGCCGCACCCCTCCCCAATAACCATGAGGGGGTGACGTCACTCCACATGCCGCACCCCTCCCCAATAACCATGAGGGGGTGACGTCACTCCACATGCCGCACCCCTCCACAATAACCATGAGGGGGTGACGTCACTCCACATGCCGCACCCCTCCCCAATAACTATTAGCGGGTGACGTCACTTTTCTATTGAATATTTCAGATTTACTGCAATATACACCCGTCCTTGGACGGGCAAAAACGCTAGTTTCCTTATAGTTGTCTATTTTTATTTATTCCTGGGGACCCTATAAATTATGTAAACTAAGATGATTTCACTCAGGATACTCTTGTAGCAATATATATACTTAGTTGTAAAAAAACAACTAAAGGAGCAACACCAAACACCACATTTTAATCACCATAACAACCGTATCTTTGTAAATCAACTGTTAAAGCACACGCTCATAAGCTCCACTCCTTCATGACATCACACGCACGTGCAAGAGTTCTATATTCTGAAATGTACAAATTTTACGCAAGATACAAATTTAGATCAATCCGATCAGCATGAACTCACGAATATATGTACACAATTTGTGGACTACAGATTGAAACACTATTCACTTTAAAGCACATAATTGGTAATACTTTTCCAAATGCAATACACGACAGTTTTTGCATGTCATGCAAAACTATAGTAAAACACAAACGTGTACAGTTTTGCTTCAAAATTATGTTTAACTTACCTTAAAACTTACAAATGTATTAACATTGTTTTAGTGTTATGCAATATTTCAAGTTGGTAAACTATTATCTTCCTCATGAAACTCTTCGTTATGTATTTGAATTACTCCAGGTAAACACATTCTGCACAGCAAAAACGCACAACCGACTGGCTCCGAATCGACAAAATCGTCTGTGTGGCTTAAGTAGCGCCTGGGAGGTCATGCTTAAGCATGACGATTTCAATAACACCACCCCTGCAAGCGGCCTCACACAGCCAACATTTAGCCTTCTGCAGACCTCAGCCAGAGTCATCACGCTTGTCCTGGATAAGTCTGGCAGCATGAGTGCGGTGAGTTACTTCTACTCACATGCCCATTCTCCTGTTCTCAGAGGCAAGACATCTTGCGTCACCATTCATGCAAGCAGTTACAGTTGTCTCTAGCACATCTACGAAATGAAAGTCACTTTGATTCTAAGATGTATTGAGTGCCTCTTTCATCCTATTGATATTATGCACGGACATGCATGCATCACGAAGTGAATTATGCGAATGCTTGTTTTTCCAATGCTTCTCTGCTGATTATTAAGTCTGTATTCACATTTCTATAATGTAATAATAGCAATTCGTAAGGAATGTTTCTAATTTTTTTCTCTAACCTCACTCCGACATAAAACTCTCAGGATGGCCAAGTGCCCCCTAAGTGCACAGCTTCTTGAGATGTGGTCACATTTGAATTCTTTATAATACAAATATATTGTACTGTATAAACGTACTCATGGTCAAATCTCCTGTTCTCTCCCTTTGCGTGCAGGAAAGTCGTCTGCCGAGACTGCTGCAAGCAGCCGACATTTTTATCATGCAGATTTTACAGGAAGGAGAAATGGCTGGAATTGTTACTTTCGATAGTGGAGCCCAAACCCAATGTGGATTGACCAGAATTAATACCGCAAGTCGGGAGACACTAAAGTCTTGCTTGCCCAGGAATGCAGGTGGCGGGACAAATATATGTGCAGGTCTTGCACAAGGATTTCAGGTAAATAAATCATTTAAGGCTGATGTGTTTATTTTTTGGATCTTCATAGTATAGATGCCACATTAGTAATAAACAGAAGTATGACTCACCATGTAAAAAAATGTATAATAGATGTTTTTTTGGTTCAATCGCGTAAATATATAAATGTGTCGTTAAACCCGCCACCACCCGACACAGCCAACTAGTAAGGGTTGTCACGTAAACAGAACGTGGCCAATTCGTCACTAGTACAGCACACCGGTGTGTTGGAGAGCCAAGCCACAACATTTACAATCTGAGTACGACGTTTCGCCAGTAATTACAACTAGCTTCATCAGGCGATAGCCAGATTTGTGGAGAAGTCCACCTGTTTCGTTCCTTAAATAGAGGCGTAGATGTGGTGACCACACTTGTGAGCTCTTCTTGTGAAAAGTGGGGCGGGAGGGATTAATGAGTCAACGTACATTTTGCATGCTCATTATTCGAGCCCATTGATCTTGTCCTTCCTGTCCATTGTGTGTAATCAAATAGCCGTACCAACGATAATCCCTATTGAAGTATGGCCTGTATTGGCATGCATTGAAACAATGTAGTATTTGATGATTATTTGATGATACGTTATACTCAGATTGCAAATGGCGTGGCTTGGCTGTCCAACACACCGGTTAGTGCTGTACTAGTGACGAATTGGCCACGTTCTATTCACGTGACAACCCTTACTAGTTGTATGGCCGGGTGGTGGCGAGTTTAACGACACATTTTTATATTTACTCGATCTAACCCAAAAAACCTCTACCAAATCAAGTGTACTTTTGTATCCTGTGGATCTTCCAAATGGATCTTTTTGGGATAATGTTTTACAGCAGCATTTGTTTAATCTGGTAAATCCTGGACTAGTTTCAACGTTCAGTTCCTTCAACTGTTAGATATGATAATACAAATGCTGCTGTATTGCTCGTTAGGGACTGCTAACTCCAGGGACAAACTACAGCAGTGTTTGTGTATTTGCTTATTTATTTATCACCCATGATGCTGTATGATAGTGCATATTATATTTGGAGAGAAGAAAATCAGTGTTGTAATAATTTAAACTCATTGAATTGAAAATTACATCATGAGAGGTATTCTGATATTGCAATGTCATTAAATGCATTGCTATTACTGAGAATAAGACATCTTAAGAAACAATAACAAGATAAATAAAAGCAATGTGAATGTATTTTTTAAACCAAGGATGCATGATGCAATATTAACACTGCAATGTTGATGCCCTCTGGACAGGTTTTGTCTGCAGATGACGGCAGTGCCTCTGGAGACGAAATTATCTTAATGACCGATGGCGAGGATGGTGGCATCAGTTATTGCTTTGAAGCTGCACGCAATAGTGGATGCACCATTCACACCATCGCCTTGGGACCAAATGCAGTGGAGGGCCTCGCTAACTTCGCAGAATTAACAGGTGACTTTTATTAGTTAGATAAAAGAAACACACACACACATTGTGTTAATATCCCCTCATCCACTCCCAAATTTACTCAATCAATTAATCCAAGTGATAATGCTTGATTAAGTTCACGCCTGAAACAGAGTACATCCGATGGGGAGACTGAAGTTTACCATAGGAATGTGGAATTAGCATTGCTGGGTTAAGACTACCAATGCAAATGAGTAAATGCAATACAGAAAGCAAATACAATTAATATGAATGCATTACATAACGCAGTTATCCTTATATAGTACAGTGAAACGCCAATAATCCGTCTTCAAAATATCGACAAAAAGAAAACTTTGGAACAACGCCTGTAGGTGTAGTCCGCATTTTTTTTTGCAGATTATAGGAGATGCGCACAATAATTCCTACTAAAATGCATGCGGCACCACAATGGCAATTATCTCAGCATTGTGAATGGCCAAAGGAAATGGGAACATTAAGCACAATTGACGGTTTTGATACGAGCTATGGTTGCTAGAGCAGAAAAGGCACGTGAAGGGAGAGGTAGCAAGGGCAATTCCATAAAGGATCATGAAGATGGTGAAGCTGATCTTAAAAACAACAAATTCCCATCACAATGATGCATGATAAAGAGAGGCACGTGTTTGAAGACGTTCAAACAACATCTCGCTGTATCCGAGACATAGAGATATAGAGATGCAAACTGACAGATGGAGATGCAGAGAGAAACAAATATGTGAAGTTCTGTAACTTATCTCCCATATGATAAACACTATTTTGGGGCGTATAAAAGGTGTGGATAAACAGACATCATTCAGCGACTTTAGAAGGAGGCCTGTGACATCATCATTCAAGGCCATTGTCTGACCAAGTAGTCCACAACTGCTTCTCGTGTTGCATTGGGAAATTGTATCTCTCAAATCATGATGCCAAAAGGACATTTGGCAAATGCAAAAGTAAAAAAAACATGCATTTGGCCTGAACCATATTCAGTTGTATTTTACTTTGACCACTCGCCAATGCGGTGGGTGTAACCACAATTTTAGTATCATTTTGGATGGCATTATAATGGTTCATAATAATACTCTCCCCTCTATTTTGGGGTTTAACCAGTGTCTCAGATTAAGGGAAGCAGTGTGACGTAACGCTCCCCCTTTGTTTCTGCTTTTATAGGTGGTTTGAACTTTTATGCAAGTGACAGCGTGAACGCCAATTCTCTTGTGGATGCGTTCACATCCATCACTGAAGACAGTGGAGACTCAGATGTGTTGGTCATACAGGTAATGGAGAACAACATGACTACTATCTTTATAATATACACTGTTATAACAAATTATCGACTACATTAATCATTTACATAGAAACGAACTGTTACAAAACTGGGATTTCAGGTTACTACTTCTCCAAATACTCTGTCCCCTTCACTTAAATATTCTCCCCCCACTGGTTTCTCTGCCATTGCCACCGACTTTTCTCTGCTGGCCACGCTCACCAGAAACATACCACTCCTCACCATCTGATACTGTCACCAGATACTCACCACTTACCTGCCACCACCGCCAGTCACCCACAAGACACTCACATGTAGGACATTAACAATATTTCAAGATATATGATCAATAATCAATAGAAAAAATGTTTCTTTTTTTATTTCCGAGTACATATTCTGCTTGATTTCCTTGCCAGCTGGAGAGCACGGGTCAACTTCTCACCATGAATCAGTGGATGGATGGAGACGTCAACATCGATGCCTCCATTGGGAACAACACGCAGTTCGTGGTCACCTGGCAGTCAACAACTGTCCCAGAGATGAACATTACTGATCCAAATAGTTTTACCTACCAAAATGGAAAATTTGACATTGACCAAGCATTTAAAACTGCAAGACTAATTATTCCAGGAAGTGCCAAGGTACGTCTTGTACAACAATTGTTTAGGGTTGCAAATGTTTGGACCTTGATGAATGTAACTTTACAGACACTAAACGTTGTTATAAAATCGGTGAATGTCATAATTTCAAACAAGATTTTCCCATACAATTAAGTGCATTAAATAAACCATGCATGTTTTCTCTAGTAAAGATATTTGTTTTCATTCTCAGGCTGGGACGTGGAAATACTGGCTAGTCAATAAAGCTCCTAGCACGGACACCCTTACCCTGACAGTCACCAGCATGGCGTCCAGCAAAGGGGCGCCTCCCATCACGGTGGAGGCACACATGCGGTCCTCCAGCAGCATCTCTTTGAGCGCCTTGACCATTTACGCCGAGGTGAAGCGTGGAACCACGCCTGTTGTCGGCGCAAACGTCACCGCTCTGATCGAGAGACCTGGCAGCGCAACGCTCGAGATTGAGCTGCTGGACAACGGCGCGAGTACGTTGTGGGTGTGAGCAGCTCCCAAACAAAATGGTGGTGCTGTTTGATAGATGTTGTCAGCTTTTGCCAACCTCATCCACATGATCTTGAAAATATGGCATCATCAAATATTTAAACAATGGTCATGTTTCTGTTGAGATAGCTGATGTCACTTATTTTAACAGTGATATTATGCCGTTCTATATTTTATGTAGAGATAATGTAATTTTATATCTGTTTTTTTCTCTGAGCTTAATGGTCAGTCTTTTCTTGCTCTATTCAATTTCGGGGCCACCCTTTACTCATAGAACCTTGCTTTAATTTTCCAATCGTACACATGACAAATTATTTCCACTTGTGCGCAGGTGCTGACATAAAGAAGGACGACGGAGTGTACTCCAGATACTTCACCCAATACACGTCGAGTGGCCGCTACAGCCTGAAGGTCAGAGTGGCAGGAAGTAAAGGGACAACGAGGCTGGCTCCACGCAGAGGCTCCAAGGCCATCTTCATTCCGGGAATTCGAAACGGGAAAGGTGATTCTTGCTAAACAGCCAGCAACATGGGCCTACACTCTAAGTAGAAGTACAATGAAAGTAAATACAAATTAAATGTTTTATTTAACAGGATAATCGTTGTAATCGCTCTATCTCTACCAAAATATAAATTACCGTGGCTCTGTGTCATATTGAACTCTGCTCTGTCCCACCAGGGGAGCTGGTGGCAACGCAGGTGCCAGCTCCGGCGGGTGGGCAGGTGCTGGTGCCGAGCGAGGACTTCAGCCGAGTGGCATCGGGAGGCTCCTTCCAGGCGACGGTGCCGCCGGGCGGGCCCCTGGACATCTACCCTCCGAGCCGCGTGCTGGACCTGACGGCCGAGTTGCAGGCGCCGGGGATCGTCAGCCTGGCTTGGACGGCGCCCGGGGACGATGCTGACTTCGGCCAAGGTGCCCCAGCCACACAGACTCACACGCACGGCGCTTACAACTGACCACACATGAACCACCATACCTTGCTGATCTTGCCAAGGAACATAAACCATAATCCTCGCAGCGGCTTTTGGCTGGCCATCGAACAAAGACGATCACTGTATCGCGCCCTTTCAGGTGCACTTCTGCTGCCTTCTGGAATGTTCTTCCTTCTGATATTAGGAAGCCACTGGAGCTAAATTGAAAACGAATTTCTTTAGAACTGCTCTTTGTTTAGCTTGTTATCCTTCCATTGCACCTTCGATTAGCACGATTGGTTATGTACGGTGTGAAGTAAGTTCAAGATACATACATGCATTCACACATACATACATGCATTCACACATACATACATTCATTCACACATACATACACGTAAACATGGCACGCACATACAACCTCTGTCAGCCATACATGTCACACTCACAAACTGCCTCCAGCAGGCACATTGGCATTCACTCACTCATCTCTTCATCACACAGACCTTCTAGGATGTTCAACATCCACTTTATAGCATGGTAATATCCCATGGTATTTTCATTCAGTGGTAGATTTGAATAGCCAACAATGTCCTTCGTGACATGACTATCAATTAGCCATGAATTTACATCATTAATACTCCAATTCATAGATCAAACTTTCAATTATATGATCACGAAACATTGTTTGCTGTTTTCCTACGTGACAGTTAAATGCTGTTGTTTGGATCCCCTTCACAGCTTCAAAATATGAGATCATCATGAGCGACAGCATTGAAGGTTTGCTGAATAGCACAGAGGAAATAATCGTGCCTGAAGACAACGTCACACTGGGAAACACAAGTGACCCGGCGGTCGCGGGTTCCACTGAAACATTTGCCATCTCCATAGCTGAGCTCCAGCCAGGAAACAGCCTCTATTTCTCTGTACGAGCCATCGACAAGAACAACAACAAAGGAGAGAACTCCAACGTGGCGTCCGTGGCACCTGCGTTGATTGTTGTCCCAACCAAGGCACCAAACGGTGGTGGTCCACCAACAATATCTAAACCCACATGCACAGTGTACTTTATGGTAACCATCATCACTCTAATAGTGTCAGTGTTTCCTACATCTTAAACAGCCTGTGATCTGTCACAGACACTTAATATGTGGATGGAAAAGTGGTCAGAAAATACGAAATTTAGTAATACTAATGATTTTACTTAATTCTTTGTAACAGCTAAAATGCATAATTTAACCATATAATTTTGCTGCTGTTTTCGATACTTTTTTGAAGTAATAGAAAAGTAGCATGCAGACAAAAAGTATCATACAGCTAGTATTTAGAAATCACTGACTTTACATTTGATGAAGATAAATTGTATGTGCTGTAAGCAATAAAAAAATGCAATAACACGTTTTAAATAGCTTTTAAAAAAATTCGGACAATAAAAGTTGTGAATTTTCAATCACGTTTCCCTCATAATTTATTCGAGAATGGTTTGAAATTGCTGCACGGCCTGTTGAAGAGATGTGTTCAGGTCATACATCACTGGTGACCCATTCTGTGGGTTCAAGGTCATATACGCACAATTTGACCATGAGCAAAGAGGTGATGTTCTAACCAAAACCGATAAACACAATGGCTTAATAAAATAATACTCCAGCTTATTTTTGCAACAATATGCATACGTTTCCAGGATACATCGTGTGGAGATAAGCATGCCTCTTTGAAGTGCGAAGCGCCTGATTTTCCCTTTTTGTTGTCATGACCGGTGCGGCGCACCACGGATCATAGAAACTTACCGCTCCTCGAACGGATGAAAAATCCATGGGACAAGTGCAGATTTTAGGATCTCCGCCCCCACGCGTAGCGAGAGTTGCAGCGACCCGCCATGTCGCCGCTTAAGCGCGGATTATTGGAGTTATTGTTGTTAGTGCATATGTAGGACTCTTACTGACGCGACACCTTCTTTGTCTTTCTCGTTCCTTTTATTCCGCATATAGTTCACATCTCCGACAGCATCACTCAATGTTCCTCCATGCCCTTCAATGCACAACTCTCCATCTCTCTCTCTCCACCCAGGTCCGTTACTCCGCTTCTTCGCTACGCTGTACTCGCTCCGTCCTTGCTACTCTGTCCGTACTCTCTATATCCACTGCTACCGTATACTGTATTCTCCTTGTCCACTGCTACCTTATACTATACACTCTTGTCCACTGCTACCCTATACTATACACTCTTATCCACTGCTACCTTATACTATACACTCTTATCCACTGCTACCCTATACTATACACTCTTGTCCACTGCTACCCTATACTATACACTCTTATCCACTGCTACCCTATACTATACACTCTTATCCACTGCTACCTTATACTATACACTCTTATCCACTGCTACCCTATACTATACACTCTTGTCCACTGCTACCCTATACTATACACTCTTATCCACTGCTACCTTATACTATACACTCTTGTCCACTGCTACCCTATACTATACAATCTTGTCCCAGGCACCAACTCCAACGCTAACTCCAACTGCCACTCCAACACTAACAATGACTCTCGTATCTCCATATGCACACTGCCTTTATCCCCGAACCAATCAGCCCCAATTAATTATGTCATCCCCCGCTTCGCTACTCGCCCCCAGGTCCCCAGCCTCACGTGATCCTGTTATCATAGTCACCCCGGCGCTAGTCACCAACCACTCACCCTCTCGACCAATCACCGGCCTGCGTCCTCAGTTACTCTTAACACCTGTGGCGTCTCTTAATGACCTCACCCCTTAATTGGCGCAACAACTGTATGTTGTCAGTTGCCCCCACTGTCCGCTGCACGCTCGCATCGCAACATTTCAAGTCCTACACATATACTCACATCGTTTCATACTGCATGCAGGATAATAAGCGTAAAAATATTGTTCTGGTCACTATTTGTACGCTTGAGTTATACATGTAGGAACAACAGTTCCACACTGCCCACCGGTGATTATTTGTCTGTCTGTCGTGCAAGGCCCCGCCCTACCAGAGCCCTCCCATTGGCTCGGGGGCGCTGACCAATGGGAGCGGTGGGTTGGGGTTGGTAGAGGGGGTGGGGGTTAGTGGTGGGGGGGGGAGTTAGTGGTGGGCAGGGGGGCACCGCCGCAACTCGGGCCAATGAGGAGACGGGTGATGTTTCATTCACAAAATGGAACTGGGGGAGGGTGGCTCCATTCATAAAATGGAAGCCTTGAAAAGAAAAAAGCGGATCTTTTTTTCCTCGTGTTTCTTTCAACATTCCCAGCCTTACGGTGATTCAGTTGGGGGTGGGAGGGGTGGGGCTGGTTGGAAAGGGGAGGGTGATGAGGGGCTGGGTGGAGAGAGAGGGGCTGGGTGGGGAGGGGATGGTGGGGAGGGGCTGGGTGGGGAGGGAGGGTGGGGAGGGGCTGAGTGGGGAGGGTGGGGAGGGGCTGGGTGGGGAGGGTGGGGCTATGGTGGGGCTGGGTGGGGGGTGGGAGGGGTGGGACTGGGTGGGGTGGGGCTGGGTGGGGTGGGGCTGGTCACCCCGTGGTGTTCTTATATAACTCAACGTTTAACCTACACACTACACTATACACGACACGATACACTACACTTATACAGGTAGGAACAGCAGCTTCCACACTGCCCACCAGGGATTATTTGTCTGTCTGTCGTGCACGAATGCGCTGTCCAACCAACTTCCTACCTGCCCACTCTGAAGGAACGTGTTTATCGTTAACTTTTGAAACACAAGGTATTTATTCATTTCTTTTAGTGGCCTTTCCAGCTTAACGCGAATTCCAATTCCCGCTGTAAGAGGTTTCACTGTACTGAGCCATCATTTATATTAGCTCGGTTGGCTACGTACGGTGCAAAAGAAGTTAAACATACAGTTATAATTGTCATTACCAAAACAGTTATATTATTGCCTAAACAACATAAGTTGTTATGGTAATGACTGTTATGGAAATGACAATTTTAAAAGGTTCTGAGGGCTGCACATGCTGACCTTGCCTAACTTTGATAATAAAAATCGTGAAATAATTATTATGGTAGTAATTTGTTGAGTAAAACATGCAATTGTATTTTTATTCGCGCAAAATAACACAATCGGAAGACAAAACGTGCAAATAAAAAAGGTAAAAAGGTGTGCAGGTGAGGTTTGAAATCCAAGAGGGCTTATAAGAAAACCACTCGAAAAAAAAAACAATATATGCAAAACTGACGATCAATCAATGAAACAAAGCATACTAATTACAATTAAACATGTTAAAATCAGTGTTCAAAAAAACATGTTTATTTCTGTGTGTGCATGTGTGTAGCGCTATGAACCCAACGACCCGGGTTCGATTCCCACTCACGGCCAACACCAGTGACGATTATCTGAACCGGTCCTGGGCCTCCCCTAGGTCGACTCAGCCTCAAATGAGTACCTGGTGCGGTGTGTAAACATCGCCACTGAGGAGACAAAGGCGGTCGGGCGTGGTGCTGTCCACCCACCACCTCGTGTACCGTTCCGGCCTTCATAGGTGCTCGCTAACAGCACTTGCCCCTACAGTCTGTTAAGGCTATACGGGGGATCTTTGTCTTTGTGGGAATGAGGCTTCACGGAGGAGGCTACTGGGTAGTTTGGCTCATCAGGCTGACCCGTAGTCTTTGTTTGAAGTTATTGAGGGATGATTATATTTTGGCAATGTGAAGATAGGAATTCCAGAGTACGGAACCTCTGCATCTGACAGAGAATTGACTATTCGTGGTGGGGCAGTGGGGAGGGTGAAGGTTATCGGGTTGTCTTGTGTCGTATGCATGGATTTAAGAATTTACCTGGAATAATACTTTCAAGGGTTCGGTACGATGTCGCGGAGGTACGTGTATTTATAGATAAAGGTGCATATTTGGAGTATATTAATGTTATAGATGGACATGATATTGAGTTTCTTAAATCAATCATAGTATAACAGCATCTGCAGAGTATAGAATGATGCAAGATAGTCCTGGTCAATATATTTAAGACACTTGAGGTGATTAAAACATTTTAGTAGCTTTGAAACTGATCTACTCACCATGTGGCCTTGTTGGAAATGATGCACTCTCATGTCATGGGAAAGGTGATCATGATACAATGGGGAAATTTTAGGGAAGCCGACAACAGCAATGGTTGCTGAAGCATTTCGTATTGTAAACTAAACGAAAAACTATGTTTAATTTTACCAGGTAAGGCCCGCTGAGCTATAAAGCTATATTTCAGAAGCGACCTCGCCACAGATGATTGTTCAACGAAGTGGCTTATCATGTGGACATTTATCACAGCCAAATATGCTCAACGCGTGTTTCTAAATGTGGAGAGAAAGAGCGAAGGACCCGACAAATGGGGAGAACGTGCAACCTCCTAATATACAGGCGTCAGGTCGGGATTGAATCCACAATGTCCCGCACACCAGGCGAAGGAGTTAACATCTTGCCACCGCGACACAAGCCACTGCTAATGGGCAAGAGGGACTTGCAGCTTCTGATCAGGGGGGCTATCGACCTTCTTGGTTCTTTCAGTAAGTCACGTAGAAGGGAAATAATAAAATAATAAAAATAAAACATAATAACAAACAGGTCTGTCGGGGAGACAGCATTTGATTCAGACGCTGTCTCCCCGACAGATTCAGACGTTGTCTCCCCGACAGACCTGGTCTTCACCTGAGGACTGCTGCTTGCGTTGTGGCCGAAACATCGTGAGAATTATTTTATTATGTTTTATTTTTAATATTTTATTATTTCCCTTCTACGTGACTTTACCGAAAGAACCAAGAAGATGAATCCCTGCAGTCACGAAAGCTTTAAATCGGGGCTATTGACCTCAATGCTTCATTTGAAGAAATGGCGGCTTCAAGTCTGTGCATCAGCGTGATCTCGACGCGATGTGTTTGCTTCACAGTGACAGATCTACAGACTTGCAAATTGATACGTGGCTGAAAATAGCAGAGGTGCATTCTTCCCATCATGACCCATCTACTTCACACTATCTCGCTACACCATCTCACCGCACAAGGCACGCCACACCATCACCAGAACCCCATCACATCAACCCACACCATCGCTCTACACGATATTATCTCTCCACTACCATCACACCGCATCATATAGTCCCTCCACATCATCACAAAAACCAACACACCACACCATCACGTCCGGATACCATACCTGGCAACCCACACGGTTTACCCCGTATTCTTTTGCAGGGAAATTGAGTTTTCAGGTCCATACGGCGTACAGCCGTTTCAATACGGGCACAAAAAGTTTTTGTCTATTTGTTTGTGTTTCTCCCTTGTGATGGGACTTTGTAGGATGAACGTTGAGATGTATAAGGGTGCGGGTGACCAATAAGGTCCTAATTGGTCTGTAATAAGGTAGGGCACTGATAAGGGGTTGACAGGTATGCGATATCATCTCTCCACATTATCAACAGCACACCACACTATCACACCGCACCATAGATAATCCCTCCACATCATCACGCAACACCATCGCGTCCAGATACCACACTAGAATGAAGCTGCAATTTCTAAACAAGGGAGGGCGTTACGAGCGCATGCCTATTAATCTGACGTTGCCTTCCCAGTTTCCCACCAGGGGGAGCTGTGATCTGATGTGTTCAGATTTGTTCCAGGGCGACGAGCAGAGGTCGCAAACGGGTTTTGATTCCTTATCCGTACCCGGCCGCACCAGGGTCGCAAATGGGTACCCGTACCCGGCCGTACCCGTACCCTACCCGTACCCGGCCGGGTACGGGTAGGGTACGGGTATCGGGTACCCGATTGCGACCTCTGGGATGAAGCCATGTTGCAGGCGCGGGTGGCTTGATTCTAGGAACTTGAATTGTGAGAAGAGACAAGACGTTGGGAAATGAGTGACAAACGGTGACTCACCAGTGACTCACGGTCTACCCGTACCCGTACCCGGCCGCACCAGGGTCGCAAACGGGTACCCGGCCGGGTACGGGTAGCCGGGTATCGGGTAGTGTACGGGTATCGGGTACCCGGTTGCGACCTCTGGCGACGAGACGTCGTTCGCAGTCAGAAACGTCGCGGAAACCATTGCCAGTGACGATTGCTGATGGGCGACCATTCAAGTTCAAGTTTCATGTATTAGGTATAGCCCTGTGAGCCATTCGGCTCTTGAATCGGGTGCAACCGCAACAAACAAAAAACAAAAACATGAACAAAAACATCTTAAAGTGAATATGTGACTAAGTGCAAACAGAAATCCAAGAAAAGACAGCAAAACATTGCAGAAAAAAATCACCAGTACACCAACGCTGTGTGCAAAAATCCCAGTGGGATGCAAGTCAAACAACCAACAACAACCACAAGACAACTTAGATTAAGGCCATCAGTCTAACTCTGTACTACAACAAACAAACATGGCTAAACCAATATACTTTTTGAAATCACCAAAATAAAGCCATGAAACCAATGAAACAGTGATCATTGCCCCAGTGGATCGTGGCTCTTTCACTGTATCGAGTGGTACTGGCCAACGACAGGCCTCGTTCAACCAGTGCACCTCAACGGCACCTTGCTTTCATAGTTCAATGCGTTATATTCATATAGTTAGTAGCCCTTTGTCAATTAACCACAAGCCGTGCCGGTCATGGGCATTGTTTGGTCATGCCACACACCAGTGGATGCCGGTTGGTGAAAGGGGATTTACTCAGGATCTTGCTACCAATTATAACGGTGACCGGTGGCTCGGGGCACAACGTCTACGTATACTCGCGTTGTCGACATTCACTTTGCACAGGTGGAGCGGCAGCGCAGGTTGTGAACCCGGCAACCTGAGGCCATGTGATACACCTAAAAGCGCCCGATGCAGTGACCGTCTGTTGGATATCATGAATAGCGTGGTGACGTTTGGTCAAACAGCACCCATGCCTGACACATCATGGGCAGGAAAGCCTTCATCCAGCGGTGGATTAAAAGGGTTGCTAATTACTATCACACACAGGTAAGGGGCTGGCCATAAATGACGTCACGCGATTTTTGACGATTTTTGAACCCCCCCCTTCGTCACACGGCGTCACAAAAAGTCAGACCTCCCCCCTCAAATATGACGTCACAAAGCTCTGCCCCCACCCCCCCCAAAATAACTTGCCTCAAATCGCTTTAAACTATTGTCATTGTAGTGCGCATTTAATGTGGCGCTGCACTTTGATGTTGTAGGAGAAAACATTTAGTAAAAAGTATATTTAATTAAGTAGAACGTGTTGTCTATATCTATTTAAATTTGGCATATTTGATGTGACGTCACATTTCTTAAACCCCCCCCCCCCTCGTCACACATCGTCACAATTCTCTGACCCCCCCCCCCTCAGGTGCGTGACGTCCATTTATGGACGGCCCCTAACTGCAAAGAGGCCTAGCACATAGCTTTGTTTATGAGTATAAATACAATTCTTCAGTCCAGCCTCACGGACGTGCAACTTTGTGGCAGGCAATAAAGAGTCATCGATGACCCTCGTTTATTTCAATCCTTTGACGTCACTTGGCAGGACAAGCCCATCTGCTTGCACATTGATGCTAGGGTGTGGGTGCACATAAATAGTTGCAGATGTGCAACCTGATTCCTCAAATAGTGCTCGGGTACCTTGTGAGCCCATAGGTCTTTGACAAAGGTTTGCGAGATGTTTCGCTGTGGCTCTGGCCACTCTACTGTGCTCGGTTGTGGGACTGGGTTCAGGGGTGAGGTTGATTCGACAACTGGCTACGAGGGCTTGGTCATTGCCATCAACCCCGCCGTGCCGGAGGACCCCAAACTCGTCGATGCCATCAAGGTGAACGCTCTTGTGGCTATGTTTCAAATGGCATTGCAATGAATATATATACAGTGTACTCTTTGTGTTCGTAAAAGTATCCAAATGTGATGGCATATCAAGGCGCTCGCCGTTGCAAATGGTTGAAAGTGTTGGATTCTATGATTTTTTCTGTTCGAAAAACTTTCAAATTTTAGCTTCACCTGAGTGCATTTCAAAACACGCCATTTTATATAAAATATATATATTGCAATCCTAATGAATGTTCATTACTTGTTTTTATGTTTTTACTGTTGCCACAGAGGAAATTCAGATCTTGACATTTTTGCCAAAAAATTGTGTAATTACACATACGGTCTTAACGACCTTTATATAGTAAAATGTATTAAATACGAATAAAAATAGTTAAACAAAAATCTCAATGTCATCTCGACATTACGCCGATGACATACATACAAATATACTTTATATAAACACACATTTTAAAGTACTTCGTATAGTTATTGCTACATTGCAGAGTCACTGTTTCTGACAAAATAGTAAAACTAAAAATAAAGCGTACACTTAATTGGCACGTTTGTAAAGCTCTAAGTCGGTCACCATTATGCGAGCAGTGGAGTAAGCCAAAAATGTATGGGCTCAACCTGCATGGACATTTTTTTATTCTGTACCTAACCATGATGTTATTGGTTATGCCTTATTTGCAACACCTGAGGTGGTTGTCATGGTGTAATGGTTACCACGCTGGACTTGCAAATACAGAAGTCGCCAATTTCAATTCGATCTCCCAGCGTGGCAGTTGAAACAATGGGGCAAGATTCTTGAACACACCCACCTCCGTCCACTCAGCACTGATGAATTATTTCAATTTTTTGGCATCTATAAACCACTTCGTTGAGCTATAATTTGTGGCCAGGACACTTCTGAAAAATAGCTATATAGCTGAATGGACCTCACCTGGTAAAATATAATATTTAAAATTAATTTGTAGATTATTTTAGTGATTTGCTTACCTTTCCCATACTTTTCACGCCTATTGTCTTTTTGTATAATTTGTTTTTGTGAAACTCTGACCCGTCCCAAATGGACGTCTGTGAAAAAGAGCATTATAAGTTCGTCGGATTCCTCCAGTATAAATAAATGTTCTGATTCTCATATAAATGGTTACACCGCACTCGATGGGCAGGTTGCATGCGGTGGGGTAAAGTGTCGGTACTCCCGCTTCTTCAGCTTGGATGAGTAGGCCAAACACCCTCTAGAGGGGCTCGCTAGAGCTCCCTCAAGAGGAGACCATTTTACAGTAGTCCAAGCAAGCGATTGCTGGTTTGCGCCTTTAACATTTTACAATATCTGACCAGAAGTCAAAATTTTAATACAGTCACGTTTAAATGGTTTCAGTTTGGTGCTTTAACATCTTAACACCTGTTTTGTAGCCAGAAAAAAGGGGAAACCCCTATTATCAATTAAAATGATGCTCAACATTGTTGATTGGCTCTAGTTTTCAAGATATGCTACTGGCTCAGAATATACGACCCTTGCCTTGGGAATGGCGGAGGATAAGTGAGTTATAAGGGAAGGGATCTCAATATAAACCAGAAATGACTAACATACATCTTTGACTGGATCTATGAATACATCTATGACTGGATTTGGACAGTACTTGCTATTTGAGCAAAACAATGAATGATGCAATCTGAACCTGGTATTGCATCATACATGATATTAATTCTAGAAGTCATTAATGATGCAATCATAACTAGGCTTACATCGGGCTGCTGAACAAATTGCCCTATATCAGCTCTAGAAATCATACAGTGTCGTGCTCTCTTATTTGTCAGTGTTTGATTTTGCAATGGGACACATTTCTGTTTAGCCAGAGTAAGCAGAAATGCCTCGTACTTGTGTGAACAAAGCAGATAACTTCTGCTATGTTTGTGGTGAAGTGACTTTAGCATCACAAAAACGCAGTATAACCACTATGGTTAATAAAGCCTATCACCTTTATTTTGTCTGCAAAATTGGAGATCAAGACAAGATGTGGGCCCCACATATATACTGCAACACTTGTGCAACAAATCTTCGCCAGTGGTTGAACAGGAAAAGGAAATCTATGCCTTTTGCAGTACCAATGATTGAGAGAGAGAGACAACAGATCATATCAGCAATTGTTACTTCTGCATGGCGCTTCCAGTTCGGAAAGGTGTGTCAAAGAAGAAAAAGCGGACTGTGCATTATCCAAACATTCCATCAGCTATACGCCCAGTACCCCACGGAGAAGGACTGCCGGTTCCTGGTGCACCAGAATCATTATCACTTGAGTCAGACGAGGGAGAGGATACAACTTTTGGTCCTAAACCATCAAGGTCACATGACCCAGAGTTTCTCCCATCCTCCTCCTGTGAACCACACCTCATAACACAAGGTGAACTGAAAGACCTTGTCAGGGATTTGGAACTCCCCAAAAGTAAGGCAGAGCTGTTGGGCTCCTGACTGCAGCAGTGGGATCTCCTGGCAGGTGATGTTAGGGTTGCCATGTTCTGTGACCGTCAAAAGGATCTTGTCCCATTCTTCTTCATGGAAGGTGATCTTGTAGACTACAATAACATCAATGGTGTGACGGCAGCCCTCAACATCGTTCATGATCCAGATGAGTGGAGACTGTTCATTGATTCAACTAAGATGAGTCTTGAAGCTATTTTGCTGCAGAATGGCAATGTTTTGCTATCAATTCCAGTTGGTCATGCAGTCCATATGAAGTAAACCTATGACAACATAAAATAACTTTTCAGGTGTATAAACTATGACCAACATCAATGGCAGCTTTGTGGCGATTTGAAGGTTGTTGCAGACTGGATACACAAAGTACTGCTGTTTTATCTGCGAATGGGATAGTTGTGCGAGAGATTCCCACTACATCAAGACAGTTTGGCCACTCCGACAGTCATTGGAGCCTGGGAGGAAAAGTCTTCAGCATCCACCAATTGTTGAATCAAGGAAGATGTTGTTACCACACTTACACATCACGCTGGGTCTGATGAAGAACTTTGTCAAAGCCATGGACAAAACACAAGCAGCTTTCAAGTACCACCGTGGAAAATTTCCCAGGTTAAGTGAAGCTGAGATAAAGCAAGGTGTCTTTGTTGGTCCTCAGATTCGTGAACTTCTTCGAGATGATGCATTTGACAGTGCACTGCGTGGCAAGAAAAAGACGGCATGGAAAGCCTTGCAGTTAGTAGCAACTAATATTCTCGGAAACAACAAGGTAGACAACTACAGGCAGTTGGTGGAAAACCTCCTCAAGGCACACAAAAGCCTTGGTTGCAAAATGTCACTAAAGATACATTTCTTGCACTCTCTCATTTAGATTTGTTCCCACCGAACTGCAGAGCAGTGAACTACGAGCATGGCGAGCGATGTCACCAGGACATTGCAACATGGAGAAACGCTATCAGGGCAAATGGAGCCCATCAATGCTTGCAGACTATTGCTGAACAGTGTCAAGAGATGCTCCGTTTAATAAATCCAAGAGACAAGCCAAGAAAGCGCCGAGTCGACACTGAATAAGAACTAAACTATGTACTTATATATACATAATAGTTTTTTGCCTTTTGTTTCATAATAATGTTATTTATATAACCCTCTTGCTGATTTTAAAGTGTTACATGAACAGGCCAGGTGGCATGTTATCATGTAAAGCAACCATAAACACGTGACAAGACCTAGGTTTAAAATGTATGAGTAAAACTCTACTATGTACACAATGTACATAGACGTAAAATGTAAAAACTTTAATATCTTGGGAACAGTAGTCAATCAGTTGTTTTATTTGTCATATTTGAATTCAGCACATCAAAATCCATAATAAACAGCACATTTAATCTCTGAAGCAGACGACGTCAAAAAATTTGTAGACCAGTGTAATCAATGCAGTGTCATTACAAATAAAACGGATGATTTCTTGCTAAGTTCAAATGGATGCATTTTAACATTGATTGTTAATAAATCGCCAGAAAACTAACGGTGAAAAATCGATATTTATTTCAACAGCATGGAAAGGATTAGATCACTGTTCTTGATATTGTCTGCTAAGGATGTAATGTTCCAATCCTCCCTCCTATTATTGCTTCAGGGTCACGATTTGATTCAACAATCTATGATTTTTGTGTCTAATATTCACTCTCATCGTATTATTTATCATTTCCTTTGCCTAATTCAGTACGGTTTCGTTCACTCATTCGCATATATGTAACATCACCATATAATTGGACATGTGGCATCGAATCGTAAACAATTATTTATCCAGCACACGAGTCAATACACGCATCGTAACCATACGAATACATATTTCTTTATCAATGAGTGCATCGATACATGGCTATTAAAACGTAAAATGTGCATCATTGCAATTGCTTGATGGCATCATAGCTGGTGAAAGGGCTTCCACTTGAGCAGGGGTCGGCAACTAGCGGCTCTTTGACTGCCCCATTGCCGCGAGCATCTGGTTTTTTTTTACTTAAATATACAACGTAACTTAAAGATCATTTATAAAATATGGCAGGGAATGGGTCACTATGGAATGTCTTGGTGACAACAACATGTACAGTCAAACTGTATTGTTACATTATAATTCAGGGGGAAATAAACTGAATAGACGCATATTCTTAGGTTTTTTCGGTAAAGTCACGTAGGTAAAAAATTAAAATTAGTAAAATAAAAAATAAAATAAAAATCACGACGTTTCGGAGGCAACACAAGCTTCCGTCTTCAGGTGGAACCGTCACAGCACGATTGCTGTTTCAAATACTTACTTGTTTCAAATACTTGTTTCAAGTACTTACTTGAAACAGCAATCGTGCTGTGACGGTTCCACCTGAAGACGGAAGCTTGTGTTGCCTCCGAAACGTCGTGATTTTTATTTTATTTTTATTTAACTTTTATTAATTTTAATTTTTTACCTACGTGACTTTACCGAAAAAGCCTAAGAATATGACCCCTTGCAGTCACGAAAGCTTCAAATCTAGAATGAATAGACGCAGTTTATTCCATCACCTGTGTTGTTTATTTAAGTCAGTGATGTGGTTCTCGAACTCTCTTGGTCAAAGCCAAGAACAAAAAATGGCTCCTCTTCTTTGAAATGTTGCTGACCCCTGCACTGAAGGCATCTCGAGAGAGCCACATTGGAAAGTTTTTGTTTTATTTCCTACTGGCCAGACGCCCTGAAAAAAATTGTGAAGGTGTTCACAATTTACCCCTCGTCACTCGACCTCGAGATCGACTAAGATCGACATTGATACAGGCTCACTGTTCATGAACTCTTGGAAGTGCTTGCACAAAGGATAGTAACATCTCATCCTGGGTTCTTTGGAATCTGCTGCGTGAAACAATATTCAAGAATTTTTAGATTTAAAGCTTTTGTGACTGCAGGGATTCATCGTCTTGGTTCTTTCGGTAAAGTCACGTAGAAGGGAAGTAATAAAATAATAAAAATAAAACATTATAAAATAATTCTCACGACGTTTCGGCCACAACGCAAGCAGCCGTCCTCAGGCTGCTTGCGTCCTCAGGCTGCTTGCGTTGTGGCCGAAACGTCGTGAGAATTATTTTATTATGTTTTATTTTTATTATTTTATTACTTCCCTTCTACGTGACTTTACCGAAAGAACCAAAAAGATGAATATTCAAGAAATTTGCCCATTGGTTCAAACTTCCGTGCCAGATCAAACCTGGGCGACCGCTAGCCATTTAGCACTTTCAGATGCGCTTTGGTGACCATTTGCAACGCTCGTCCTTCCAATATTAAGAAGCCACTGGAGCTAGAAACTTGTAAATATAAAAAAAACTCATTTCTTGAGAACTGCTTTTTGTGTTTAGTTTGTTGTCCTTCCCCCGCACCTCTGATTAGCACGGTTGGCTATGTATGGTGCGAAAGAAGTTCAGCACACGAACATAAATCACCCATGGTAACATTTTCTACTAACATGTATTCAATCTGCTAATGTATTTTATTTGGCAGGAAATGGTCACCCAAGCCTCTGCCTACCTGCACACAGTTACAAACAACCAAATGTATTTCAGAAATATCAGTATCCTGATCCCATCCTCTTGGAAAACAAACTCCAGCTACCAGCAGCTGAAATCCGAGTCCTACGGTCAAGTAAGATCTCACAAACATGGGCAGGGTCACTGACGCACTGCTAATTGCATAGAGATCGTCCAACAGCGTTGGACTTTGTTTCCCCATAAACGTTTATTTTTACTTTGCACCACTATAAAGCCTTGCTGTGACTTTTCTAACCATAAAGGTGAATATTGAAAAATGTTTACGAAGCATACACCGACTGTACTGTCCAAACTAAAGCCATGTCAATTCAATATTGTACCTGCATTCAGTAAGCCTTAATAAAGGTCTCACAGTAGGAAGGCACGTGCAAACATTTTTTACATACACAAATAATCTATACAGTTGGAGAATATTTTCACTGTTGTGATTTATTATTGCATTTCTATTATTTCTATTATTTTATTATTTATTTTTACCTACGTGACTTTACCGAAAAAACCCAAGAGTATGAATCCTTGCAGTCACGAAAGCTTCAAATCTAGAATGTTCACTGTTGACAGCGTTACCATCTCAGATCAGAACTGTGCATTGTATTCTTAGCAAATAAAACATGGTTAAACCGTGGTTTTAATTTTAAAACGAATTTCACAATGAAAATATAAAAGTGACATTTAAGAAAAGCACAATTTTAATAATTAAATGAGATTGTTAACGGTGATAACTTGTGTAGGGCTAGGTTAGGCAGAGCCCTTCAAGCTTTCTCACCACCACAGCCGAGTACTATCTTCTTGGTTCTTTCGGTAAAGTCACGTAGAATGGAAATAATAAAAGAATAAAAATATAACATAATAATGTGAGAATTATTTTATTATGTTAAATTTTTATTACTTTATTATTTCCATTCTACGTGACTTTACCGAAAGAACCAAGAAGATGAATCCCTGCAGTCACGAAAGCTTTAAATCGAAATCCTTGTCCTACTTTCATTTCTCACGTTACACAGCGTCATCACATCTACTGCTCTATTTAAGAAATGAAACAGGAAAATTTCTCCACAAATCTGGCTGCCGCCTGATGATGCCGGTTATAATAACTGGCGAAACGTCGTACTCAGATTGTAAATGTTATGGATTTGCTCTCCAAAACACCAATGTGCTGTACTAGTAACGAATTGGCATGTTATGTTTACGTGAGAAACCTTACTAATTAGCTGTGTTGGGTGGTGGTGGGTTTAACAACAAATTAATTTCTATGCGATCTAACCCAAAAAACTGTATTATGGAGAACATCTTTCAGTATACAAATATACTGATTATGATTTGAACATTTTTCTAATTCAGCCATTCTTTATAAATAGGTATCTCAAGTGAGAAATCACGATTAACCATTGAACGATTTTCCCCACGCATCAGTTCAGTTGATGCCTGGAGCCGATGGACAGTATAGTAATTAAGATCTAATAATACTCTCTTTGATGCTGGTAAGTCGACACAACGGTAGAGGTGTCCTGATAAGGCACAGCAATCACACAGTTGTTTCCCCATGCGCACAGGCGGAGGTGCTTATTGCTCTCCGAGACGACCCCAACGATGACTCGCCGTACACTCACCAGTACGGGCTGTGCGGGGACCCCGGCCAGTACATTCAGCTCACCCCAAACTTCCTCCTGAATGACAAAATCCTGGACGCGTACGGCCCACGAGGTACATTCCATAATCTCGCTCTGTGCACGCGCCAAATACAAACAAGTAATAGTAGGTTTTTACCCTTTAAACTGGTACAAAACTGACACCTTTATACAAGGCATCATGTTTGCAATAACCACAACACAAGCAGTCAAAATGCCAAAAAAAAAAAACTCTGATAATGGTAATAATATGCACTGTCCTTGAAGTTGATTGGTCCACACCCGAGACAGCTTTCCCTAGAGCCTAGTCTCCATTGGTGTTGGACCAGATGACGCCAAAAGGCGTACAACTCAAAAACAGCGCACTATCAGAGTATTGAGAGCTCGGGGTAAGCATTTACATTTTGACTACTTGTGTTGTGGCTATTGCAAACATGATGCCTTGTATAAAGGTGTCAGTTTTGTACCAGTTTAAAGGGTTAAAACCTACTACTATATTTTGCCACTGGTAAAGGAGGTCTCATAGTGTAAATACAAACAAGTTGCCCTATTAGCACCCAAGCTGATCACGTCTCTGAGGTTAAGCAGAATTGGGTTAGGTGCTTTTTTCAGTGGCTGCCAGGGAATCGAGGTGTGGTAGTGGTGGACTGCAAAGGGTGGCCAATGATGGTAGTATATAAACCAGGGGTCCTCAAACTTTTTAAACAGGGGGCCAGTTCACTGTCCCTCAGACCGTTGGAGGGCCAGACTATAGTTTAAAAAAACTATGAACAAATTCCTATGCACACTGCATATATCTTATTTTGAAGTGAAGAAACAAAACGGGAACAAATACAATATTTAAAATGAAGAACAAGTAAAGTTAAATCAACAAACTTTCCAGTATTTCAATGGGAACTATGGGCCTGCTTTTGGCTAATGAGATGGTCAATGTCCGGTTCCATATTTGTCACTGCTAGTCGTAACAAGTGATGCAAGTGTGTATCCGTTAGTCTAGATCTGGCTGGAGATTTCAAATGTTTCATTCTGGTACAAGTCTGTTCACAGACATAAGTGCTGCCAAAGATGGTTGCCATTTTGAGTGCATGGTTCCTGAGATGAGGATATGTCTCAGAGGGGAGAGATGCATAGGAATTATGAAGGCTGCTTGACTTGAATGCGTCTTTCAGAGAGTCACAATTCTGCAGTTCAGCCAGTTCCATTTGGTAAATTGTATTCACATTTTCAATGTCAATAGAAAATGGGTTACGGAAAAGCTGTATGTCCTGTTCATGGAGACGAAGCTCTTTAAATCGAAATTGGAACTCCTTTTCCAATTTTCCCAATGAATCCACACATGTTTTGTTTGGGAATGCAACCAATGGTTTTTCTGCTAACAGATTTTGAGTTGTGGGGAGATGGCAGAAGTTTTCCTCCTTCACTTGTTTGATGAGGAGGCCTTATTTTACTTCAAATGCTTTGACATGTGATTGCATATCACAGATGAGCTTCCCCTTTCCTTGAAGTTGCACATTGAAACTGTTGAGTAGCTCTGTTACATCTGTCAGAAAGGCAAGGTGCCATTTCCATTCTGCATCATTGAGCTCTGGTACTTCTTTGTTTTTTGAAAGCAGAAAAGCTGTAATCTGTGGAAGTAAGTCATTGAAACGTTTCAAAACTCTCCCTCGACTCAGCCAACGGACTTCTGTGTGGTACAGAACATCTTCATAGTCAACATTTAGCTCAGACAGAAATTCCTGGAAATTGTCTGTGGTTTAGTGCATGAGCTCTAATGAAGTTAACACAAGATACCACAATTTTCATAACAGAGTCCCACTTCAGTGATTTACTACACAGCGCTTGTTGGTGGATGAGGCAGTGTATGGCTATTGGATGAGCATGGTTATGTTTGTCCATCTCTTGGTTAATGCGAGCAATTACTCCTTTCTTAGACCCCACCATGCTAGGAGCACCATCAGTTGTCACACTGGCTAGTTTAGCCCAGTTCAGCTCCAAACCATTCACAGTTTGGCAAACCTTTTCATAGATATCCTCTCCTGTAGTTGTTCCTTTGATGCTTTGCAGTGCAGCAAGCTCTTCTGTGACTTCGAAATAGTCATTCGTCCCACGAATAAAAATTAGAAGTTGTGCAGAATCACGAACATCATTGCTTTCGTCGAGTGCCAAGGAAAAATAGGAAAGTTTTTTTGTGGAGTTTTGCAAATGCTGATGCAAATTGTCTCCCATTTCTTCAATCCTCCGTGTAATTGTAGGTCCTGAAAGACTCACTGTACTAAATAAATCGGCCTTCTCTGGCCACATCTCTTTGGCAACAGAAAGAAGGAATTCTTTAACAAATTCTCCCTCCACGAATGGTCTGCCAGTGCACGCTATTAGCTTGGCAACTTGAAAACTTGCTCGCAGTGATGAAATATTTAGCTGCTTCTGCTTCACAAAAGTATTTTGCTGAGTTGTTAATGTATTTTTCAGTTTTAATATTTTATCTTTTCTCACTTCTCCGACCAAACAATCATATTTATCTTTATGTTGAGTTTCATAGTGTCGACGTAAATTGTATTTTTTGAACACATACACTATATTCTGGCATATCAGACACACAGCTCTTTCCTTGTACTGCATGAAAAAGTAATCATAAGTCCACTGTTCTTTGAATATCCTACACTCCGAGTAAATTTTTCTCTTTCTTGACATCATTGTTTCCTAGGGAGTCAAAATTGCTATTAGTAAAATACCAATATATATACAGCGCTACAAAAACAATATACCAGCAATAACTTTGCCCACACAGATACATACAGACTGCACTGCCCATCAATGCAGTCTGATTGGGGGGAACTCCGCCCCCTCTCACTCTTCCACCAATGACCGTCCTTCTCATGCAGAAAAAAGTAACAGACAGGCAGCGGCGGCAAAAACACCCGGCGGGCCGGATAAATGTCCTCGGCGGGCCGCATGTGGCCCGCGGGCCGTAGTTTGAGGACCCCTGATATAAACTATTCTTCAGCTAATATAGTTTTCTCCCACACTCATTATTAGAATTGAACCAAACATCACAAATGCAATAAATTAAGAGTTGTGTTCATATAACATCATGGCTTTAAAAGCTCCAAGTAGCATTATGTCTTATACAGTTGAGTCAAAGTGTCTTCCTACTCAAACGAGCAATGAGGCGACACCCATCTATGTGGCTCTGATCAAGTGAAAATACGACCATCCCATGACAGGTCCGTCTCCCCATTAGATTGGCCCCTCTTGAATCGCACGTTGTACAAATTGTATCTACCCCATAAGGATGACAAGCCAAGTTGACCCCTGATTGGGATTTAAAATCACAACGTTCTGATTGTGAGCCAAGTGCTCTAAGCACCCACTTGTGTCTTTATCAGTAAAGGTTAATCACGTGACATACCATTAAATTTTTTAATTGCAGCTGCTGTGATTGTGACAACGTATTTGCATTTGAAAGAATGCAATGTCCACGGAGAACTTTTTTTTTAAATCACTCCACTGCTGGATTAGACCCTCCCTCCAGTGCGGGTCGTGGTGGTTATTTGACTACACATCGACACGCTGGTCAGTGCGAGTTGGGGACGGCGGGGAGCATGAACACGGGAATGTCGTTGATTTTACTGCGGATTTTACTGCGGATTTCAATGCACTGCCATCTGCTGCCCACAATGCAGCCCTGCAGCAGGCGATAGCACCCGTTTCACTTGTGGCGGTCGCCCATTCAAGCACTATCCAAGCTTAACCTTGTTTACCTTATGCGAACTGATGGTTATGGAACTGCTTTTTCTGTTTAGTTTGTTGTCCTTCCCCCGCACGTCCGATTAGCACGGTCGGCTATGTGCGGTGCGAAAAAAGTTCAACATTCATACGTACATACATGCGCCGTAGGAGCTCTCGTGCTCTTGTGCCACGCCCATTGTTTAAACACCTATAAACGATTGCCCTCGGTGACTTTCCCCCTCTTTCCTCCTGAAGACGATTGCTTGTGTTGTGATCGAAACGTCGTGGTTTTTGTTTTTCATTTTTTATTACCGAAAGAACCAAGAATAAGTCTACATTATAGACTCCCATTACGCTCACTCGATTTAATAACCATTAATAACCATTGCTACAGTCGACATTATAGACTGGCAATACGCTCGCCAAGCTTAAAAACCAGGCTACAGTCTACATTATAGACTGCCAGTACGCTCACTCAGTTTAATAACCATTGCGACAGTCTACATTATAGACTACCAGTACACTCACCAAGCTAAAAAAACCAGGCTACAGTCTACATTATAGACTGCCAGTACTCTCACCCAGCTTAATAACCATTGCTACAGTCTACATTATAGACTACCAGTACACTCACCAGGCTAAAAAAACAGGCTACAGTCTACATTATAGACTGCCAGTTCACTCACCCAGCTTAATAACCATTGCTACAGTCTACATTATAGACTACCAGTACACTCACCAAACCTAATAACCAGGCTATAGTCTACACTATAGACTGCCAGTACACTCACTCCGATTAAGAACCAGGCCACAGTCTACATTAATGTTTTTATTTATTTTTTATTTTATTTTCATAATTTGTATTCACTTTATTTTAAAAAAATGTCTATCTACGTGACTTTACCGAAAGAAGCAAAACATATACGTGCGAATTTGGGAATTATTTGGCCTTTGGCAACAATGTAGGAATTACCAGAAATGCGATGTAGGTTGCAATTATATTCTTTCTAAACCCATGAAGGTTAATCAAGGTCAGAGAGTAGATTTTCTTTAACATATACATAACTGCACAATTATTACGTGATAGATGTTACCGGAGTGCTACTTTATTAATCAAACTGAAGATGTGCGTGTTGTTTTCCAGGAAGAACCTTTGTCCATGAGTGGGGCCACCTCCGCTGGGGACTCTATGATGAATACAACAATGACATTCCTTTCTACTTTGAGAGTGGAAAGGTGGAATTCACAAGGTTGGTATTAATAGGCTATAATTTGTACCGTGGCAAATGATTTGCAATTTCCATAAAAAATACACGGCAGATAGAGATGCGTTTCAGATTGAAAAGTTTGCGAACATCAGATATTTTTTATTATTACGGCCAATTATGGATTTTCAGATTTACATTTCTTAATTTTAATGCTGTGCTGTATATTTTTTTATTGTTTATGCACTCCATTAAATACTTTTAAATTATTTTAAATATTATTGATTGAATCTTAATTATAAAAAAATATAAGTTCCATCGGTAAAACAATATATTTCATGCAAACTTTTTTTATATTTGAATAATTTACACAAAGTGGTGTCACAAGATTGCCAAAATGTCGTCACATTTGTGACATGTTTTCTGATAAATAAAAAATGTTGGATCATTAAACATGTTGTATCTAGGCCTGGTTGTTGTACTTTATTACTATTCGTCAAAATCATAAACACAGCATTAACAGCAGGTTATGATAATTGGTTTTTTTACCCTTCTATCTGGCAACAAAACTGACACTTTTTTTTAGACTAGGCTCTAAGGAAAGCTGTCTCGGGTGTGGACCAATCAACTTCAAGGACAGTGCATATATTATCACAGTTACATGTTTTTTGTTTGCATTATGGCTGCAGGTATTGTGGTCTATGCAAACATGACTCCTTGTAAAAAAAAGGTGTCAGTTTTGTTGCCAAATAGAAGGGTAAAAAAACAATTATCATATTTTTTACTGGTAAATGAGGTTCCAATGGTGTAAACAGCAGGTTACTTTATCAGTGTTGATGCTGCTTGCCCCCACAATGCACGGGTGACAAACCCTAATGATGGCTGACCACGCTTCTTAAAACTGCCCAATAACAAAATCTCCTCCGCTGCATGACGATTTTAACACCGTTCCTCATGCACAGGTGCTCAAAAAACATCACTGGTGGCAATGGAGTGGTAACGTGTGGAAGCACCGGCGCTTGTAAAGTGCGCGAATGTAACAGCAATCTCTTCACTGGCCTGCCAGAGGAGGGCTGCTCATTCTTCCCGGACAAAGACCAAACAGCGCAAGAATCCATCATGGCTCTACAGTGGCTTGACAATGTGAGCTGCAGCTACTTAACCTTCTTCAGGTCTTGACCAAATAATCAAAGGCATGATTTTGGTGAATTGCTGTACTCGTTGTAATGGAGACATGGGTAACATTTTCGCCAATAAAGCTGGATGATAGTAAACATTAGTGAGCATATGATTTGGGTCGCTCATGTAAACAAATGCAAGCCAGGCTTGAATTGTGATATTCCTTGGTTTTATAAGAGCCTAATGTACAATGTGTCATCAGTTTAGCTCTTGTTTATATAATCCTAGCAAAACGGTTACAAACACATCAGGTTTTATTGTATATATGGCAATATGTTCAGGAGTTAAATGCCAATGTCGGGGTCTGCTGCCTAGTCGCTTTGAAATGCCCTGGCATTTAAGCGATTAATAAAGACAAATCCTCATCCTTTTATCAGTTTTTTTTTATATAATCGGCTGTGTATTTGAACAAATTACATTATCAAATAACTGTCGATGCCTGATTATTCTTAAGTCGTATGCTTCAACAAGTCAGATATTCGGCTGTGAATGTGACAAACCGTACGCTGAAAAAAATACGAATTCTTGAATTTTTAGCTCAAACATTTGACTTTTTTTGGCAGGTGCAAGAGTTCTGCTCGGCAAGCTCGCACAACAAGGCAGCTCCGAATCCACACAACCGGCTGTGTGGTTTAAAGAGTGCCTGGGAGGTGATGCTGGGCCACCAAGATTTCGCCAACCCCGCAGTGGGACAATCCCATGGAGCCGTCGTTCACCCTCCTGCAGCCCAAACACCGGGTCATCGTCCTCGTCCTAGATGTGTCTGGCAGCATGACAAGTGTGAGTCGCTCGCATTCTCGTTGCACTCTTAATGCTCTATGAATGTCTGCGCTTCGATTTAAAGTTTTCGTGACTGCAGGGATTCATTTTCTTGGTTCTTTCGGTAAAGTCACGTAGAAGGGAAATAATAAAATAATAAAAGTAAAACATCATTAAATACAATTCTCACGACGTTTCGGCCACAACGCAAGTAGCCGTCCTCAGGTGAAGAACAGGTTTGTCGGAAAGACATCGTCTGAATGAACACCACCAAGCTTGGCAGTGTATATTTAAGCTGGTTTAGTGGAGGAAGGGCGCCTATGTCTAGAACTAGCTGTTGATATGCAAATTACTTTGTCTAGACGCCCTTCCTCCACTAAACCAGCTTAAATATACGCTGCCAAGCTTGGTGGTGTTCATTCAGACGCTGTCTTTCCGACAGACCTGTTCTTCACCAGAGGACGGGCTGCTTGCGTTGTGGCCGAAACGTCGTGAGAATTGTATTTTATTATGTTTTATTTGTATTCGTTTTATTATTTCCCTTCTACGTGACTTTACCGAAAGAACTAAGAATATGTCTGCGCTCACAATTTAAGTTGGATATGGACATTCTCAAGCGGTGACTCTTCAGCCGGTATCTTTGGAATGCTAATGTTGTGCTTATGTGCGTATGTACCCTGTTGTATTTTAACCATTTACAACTCTGAAATTTTAACCCCGATGCACCTATCTACACAACACTAAAGCTTGTCACCTTAACTTTGAGTTTGATTATTTCAAGCTTTATCTATGACCCTTGTGGTAACCCACCCCAGGTAGTACTGGGATGGGTGAGTATCAGGGTTTGCCAGGTGTTCTAGGCGTGGGGTTGCAAGGCGTGGCGAAAAGATTACAGGATTGGGTGTCACCTCCATGTCCACGTGGTGTGTTTTTCTCCGGGTACTCTGGTTTCCCCCCCACTTGCTGAACGCGCATTCATGGAATTGACCAAACATCCCGATGCAGGACCCTTCTGAAAAATACTCGTGAGGCACAGTGAGGCTCTTCTGGATAAATAGTGGTAGTTCATGGTTTCTTCTACTGACAGCCCTGTAATCATAGCTGCTGTTTAATAAGTCACGCTTTACTTTTTAAGCAGGAACCGGTGTATATGTGCTTTAGAAACTTTGATCAGGGGGTGAACGTGAAGAAAGCTTTCCATAATAAGCTAAAAAATGGAATTTTACTTTGTAAAATTAGCAAAGACAAATTACTAAGCCAGGACACCTTCACCCCTACTATGTTTTACGACATCTATTTAATGTTGATAACAATTGCATAAACAGCGATACACCTCGATTTAACAGCAAATGGGAAAAAACAGGTCTCGCGGTTATAGGAACGCCGATCGTTAACATTTTCATAATTGTATTGTTTTTTCGTGAAAATGATTCTTCATCTTCTTCAGGGTGCCACTATGTTCAGGAGCTAATTGCCAGTGTTGAGATTTGCAAGTCAAGCGAGGGCTTCGGGAGAGGGTTTGTGTAGTTTTGCAATTTCTTCCATTGAAGGAGTGCAGGCTAAGGTACTTTACTATATGCCAGAGGTGGGACAAAGTCATTGTTATGCAAGTCCAAGTCGAGTCTGAAGTCATCAAATTCATGACTCGAGTCTGACTCGAGTCCAAGTCACATGACTCGAGTCCACACCTCAGAGGTGGGACAAAGTCATTGTTATGCAAGTCCAAGTCGAGTCTGAAGTCATCAAATTCATGACTCGAGTCTGACTCGAGTCCAAGTCACATGACTCGAGTCCACACCTCAGAGGTGGGACAAAGTCAATGTTATGCAAGTCCAAGTCGAGTCTGAAGTCATCAAATTCATGACTCGAGTCTGACTCGAGTCCAAGTCACATGACTCGAGTCCACACCTCAGAGGTGGGACAAAGTCATTGTTATGCAAGTCCAAGTCGAGTCTGAAGTCATCAAATTCATGACTCGAGTCTGACTCGAGTCCAAGTCACATGACTCGAGTCCACACCTCAGAGGTGGGACAAAGTCATTGTTATGCAAGTCCAAGTCGAGTCTGAAGTCATCAAATTCATGACTCGAGTCTGACTCGAGTCCAAGTCACATGACTCGAGTCCACACCTCTGCTATATGCACTGTACCATGGTTTGTATTGCATGGCCACGGTTGTCAAAATAACTCAACTGCAGCAATATAAAACGGTGTAAAAAAAGACATGCAATTCAAGAAAGATGTGCCCCCATCAACGTTGCTTTCCATCCGCCGTTTGGACTTTGGTAGTTATTTATTAATCCTGCGAAGAACTTCAGACTTCTATTTTTACTTTTACTTGACCAAAGGAATAACCACTATTCAATATCGATCTGCATGAAAAAAATCATTAGAAAAAGATGGAAAGCACTATTTTTTGTACCCTCGTAAAAAATGTCAATATTAGAAACTAACGTTGCCAGCAACATCAATGAATAAAACTAGTAACAATTAAAGACCTTTTCAACATGCCAATTTTCTTTTTTTGGCCAATTTTCCTGTTTTTTTTATATATAGATTCCATGTATGAGTATTTCAGAATAACTACATGTTCTGTGTTATTAGAGTACTGTAAACATAGACAATGGACATTTTGACACACCCAGATTCAAACCCATGATCTCAGCAGTGCTAGCTCAGCACTCTAACCTTCTGAGTTACCATTCTCTCAACCTGTCTTGATCGATGTTTTGGACTAATTTTCTTCATTTTTTTCATCATATATTATTAGATTGTTGCTGTTTACAAAACGTTAGGTGACAACATAAACACCCGTACGCGAATATCCGCGAGGCCTACATACACGACGCGTTCTGATTGATAGGGGGGGACAGTCAGCCCGGGGAAGTTTTTACAAATTTTTTATTGTGCTCACTAAATGTATCGCACCATTTCCCCCGTTTTAATGTTGGGTTTATTTACCATTGGGAATAACTCACTATCTTACTGTATTCAGCAATTGGCTATTTGCACAATAAAGTGTTCACAGATAATCGTCTCCAAGCATGACCCAAATTGTGCGTGTGTGCCGGGTTGTGCGTTAACTTTTTCACCACAGAACCAACGGATCCCGAGACTCCGGCAAGCGTCGGAAATATTCATCATGCAGATCCTGGAGGATGAAACAATGGCTGGAATCGTGACGTTTGATGACCAGTCAAACGTCAACAAGAATCTGACCAGAATCACGGATGACACGAGCCGCAAAGAATTCGCAAAATACCTGCCTCTAGGCTCCAATGGGGGCGGCACAGATATATGTGAAGGAGTACGGCGGGGACTTTTGGTAATCCATATATTGGTTTGGACTGTCTGTGTTGTTTCCAAGCTGAAAAACTCAACACTGGCTTTGTTATAACTATAAGGCGTAATGCAAGTGCTTCAGTGAATGTCTCTAATAATGAATGAATAACAGATTAATTAAAATAAATAACCAAATATCAACGTGGCTAGTATTGACACCACTGATGGAAACGTAACATGCTAACGTCTACGAGTGTTTTTTTCTACATTTTTATTCACTTTTCATCAAGTTTTTTTCTATCGCTGTGTAAAACGAATTTGCCAGATTTCATCGTCCACCCTCGCAAAGTCGACAATGGCGGAACCGTCACTTGGATGTAGCTCTCCCTTGCGTTTTCGGGTTCAACCTCGTTTTTGTTCGGCACGATGTCCGGCGTTTCGCTCCGCGTGCTCCAATTGCTGGAAGTTTCTTCAGTAAAACTGAAGCTTCTAGCACATAATGCCTAACAACAAATGGTACATGCCGATTTCGCATGGGAGAGGTATACAGCACAAATGAGTATTACTCAAATGCATTACAGTCACAACTCAATTTACTAAAATATAGTTCATATGTTTATCTATCCACATTAGTGTGTCCCATCCTGTTTATATATAGGAGCCGTCTTAATCCTTAAACATGGGATGCTTATAATTAAGCATTGCTGAATGTGGTGGCTTTGGCTCGTTTTAGTACTGGCCAGCCAAATATTCACACAGAAGAACTAAATATTTACAACTTGTTAAACAGGCCTTACTCTGTTGATGAGAAAGTCGAAGCAGGTCCAGAGGTCATCTGATTAAACAAATGCTTCTGGAAAGCATTGGTCTAGAAGGCCTCATAGGCTTACGGCCAACATTTAGTTTTTTATATGTAGAGACAGAATTAGATCGTTCACATTTTGTAATAAAAGTAATAGCAAAGCGATATTTTGGTTTTCACGAGATGAAACACGATGAAAAGGAGGAGGGGGGGGTGAGGAGGAGGGGGGGGGTGCATTCGGACCTTTAATTGATGCTACCCGTGTTACCCTTCAGGTTTTGTCAGAAGACAATGGCGAGGCCTACGGAGATGAGATCATTTTGCTGACAGACGGCGAGGACAATGGGATCAGACACTGTTTCGATGAGGCCTTCGACAGCGGCTGCACAATCCACACCATAGCCCTGGGACCCAGTGCAGATGCGGGTCTTGAGACGCTCTCGACCATCACCGGTGAGCATTGCTACACTTCATGTAAATGTTCAAAGTATTATTCTTCGACGTATGCTGTCCAGAGGAGAAGAGCCGTCTACGTATGCAGTTGTTGAGATTCATATCGCAAGGTAATAATTTGATATTTTCATTAGCACGGTTGGCATGGTTGGCTACGTACGGTGCAAAAGAAGTTCAAAATACTTACCTAAAACTAGTTATTGAATAGCCTTGATAATGCTAATTATTGAATGAAAGAAATGCCACTACCATCGGTATCTATTTTCTAGCTCAAGTAATTAAACATTTGATGGTGTCTCACCGCTGGACGAAGCCTTCTCCTGCCGTCGCCATGCCTCATGGTGCTGAAATTCCACAATCCTATCTCTCCCCAGCACCTGAACTGATGTCATCACTCCATCTCTATGGCGGCTGTCCTCTTAACGCCGTTCCCTGCTTTGGCTGCCATGCCACCACCAATCTCATCCACCAGCTGTCGTCCCTTTTTGTCATGTGTTCTGCTCAATCCCACAATTCCCCCCTTAGAGGCAATACAGTGTCTCTATACTTGCAGGGTCCTCCGTAAAAAAAAGTGTTCTCTTCGGTAAATATTAATATAAAATGCGACTTCTTGGGGGTCTCGATCACCCCCCATTGACTTCCCCCCCCCCGCCCCTTACATCCATTACTGACGACAGTACCGTACTTCCATGCCTAGTGTTGCACACTCAAAATGAAGGACGTGGGCAGGTGCTCCAAATCGAGGGCAGACACATTTGTTGGGGTTAATATTAATCTTGTGAAGAACAGCACCGTCACTCTGTAAAATGTACCAGCACGTGTGTCACACGCAGCAATTCTTCCGAGTCGCCATTAACCATGTGGCTGGTTTACACGAGCGGTAATTCATTAACCCTGCCAGCCACCTACAGGCCCAACTCAGTCATCACATGCTGCTGTACACACATGCTGCTGTACACACATGCTGCTGTACACACATGCTGCTGTACACACATGCTGCTGTACACACATGCTGCTGTACACACATGCTGCTGTACACACATGCATTGATGCACTGCACAGCACATCAGGACTTTACTCCATTGCTGCACAAGGATATAAATAAAAGTGATCCATTCCTAATGTGCCACACTAGCTATTGTCATAGAAGTAGTGTGCTCTGGAGACGTCAACATGGAGGTTTAGCTTAATTCTGGTGTAAAATTGCTCCGCTCTTCATTCCAGGTGGATTGCACTTTTACGCGACGGACAACTTAGACGCGAACGGCCTCGTGGACGCGTTCACATCCACGACGACAAACAGCGGAGACGCACACTCTCTGGTGATACAGGTGAAGCCCGCACACCAATGTGCCAAAGCCGCACAAACTAAACCCAGTCTGAAAAGTTTGCCTATCTTTCTTTTACAGCAGCCAACCAGGATGTGAGTTTACATTTTAAGCTTCAACACATGGCACGTGTACAACCCTTTTGATCAATTGATCGATAATATCATCTATTTCTTGGTTCTTTCGGTAAAGTCACGTAGAAGGGAAAGAATAAAATAATAATAATAAATAAATTCTCACGACGTTTCGATATTATTTTATTATTTCACTTCTACGTGACTTTACCGAAAGAAACACGAATATGAATCCATGCAGTCACGAAAGCTTAAAATCGAAATATAATCGAAGTTTACTGAAGGATGAGGACTAACCCACGTTGTGCGGGAGTATGTGACCATACTTCACCATGCGGGTCAGTGCAGGTACGGGGCGAAGGCAGGGAGCGTATTCGTGGCAGAGTGGATTGAGTGTTGCCCCTAACTCCTCGTCGCGCGTGTGGGTGTGCTCACGTGTACTCTGGTTTCCTCCCACGTGCCCTCTGCTGTCCACCAGAGGCACAACAAGCCCTATCATCTTCCCGGACTGCTTCGTGACTTTGTTTATGAAGGACCACCGTATCGCATTCACATTGCATTGCGGTTTCTTGAAATATTGAGGGGTTGTTTTTACCGAATTCGATAAAAAACGGCACTTGTTGTATCATGGGACCTCCTTTGCCAGTACCAAAATATGAGAATAGCTGTTCCCCTTTTGAGACTAGGCTCCAAAGAAAGCTGTCTCTGGTGTGGACCAATCAGTTTCAAAGACAATGCATATATTATCAGAGTATGTTTTTTGTTTGCATTCTGACCACAAGTATTGTGGTTAATGCAGACATGATTCCTTGTAAAAGGTTTCAATTTGGTGTTTTAACATCTCAACACCTGTTTTGTTGCCAGAAAAAAGGGGAAACCCTATTTTCATACTTGTTGTTTTCATTGCCGACCCTTGCCCAATATCATCAACCTATTGTGTGCATCACATCCACCCATCCAAGCAATATCTAGGCTCAGTTCTGCTTAGACTTCCAAGATTTGATGCGACCAGGCACACTATGCGTGATTTGGTCACAGGCTTCATCATACCACTCTACGTGTTAATTTATTTTGAATGTTTGTTAATCAGCTTATAACTTAAGGACCAAGATGAGCACTACACCACCAACATGAACAAATATTCGTTACATTTTCAGGTTTGCTTTTTTATAGAGTTGTGATTACTCACTCGAGGAATCAATTGATGAATGGATTCAAATATTATTTAAAACCATCATCAGTTATTTATTGAAAAATACAAAAAATAGAAATAACACAAGGGTGGGCCCCAGTATACACTGCCATGATGTCGAGCCGGCACTTTCGTGACTGTGCCATTCTTCGCTTGGAAATGTATTTGAGTAGTCAATTTACTATACATTACTCATAAAAAAAGTGTGCCGGTGTCATGTGTATGTCACATATAATCAGCAGTTAATTTGATCTCTCCACAAATTAACCATTATTGATAGCTTTGTCCAGTAGATATATGTGTATGTGAGACGGGATTTTCAAAGTATACAAATAAATATAGCCCAATTGGATCATCCGGTAGGAAGCAAGAACTTTAACATTGCGTTGCTGTTTTACATATATATATTTTCTCTACGAAAGCTCGAGAGCACCGGGAAAACCATGAGCAGCAACGAGTGCCTCGAAGGAGTGGTGTTCATGGACACGAGCGTGGGAAACAACACCAAGTACGTCGTCACGTGGCTCTCGAACAAGGTTCCTGAGATCGTCGTCAGCGACCCGGGCGCCAACAACTACACCAATTCGAATTTCACCATCGACGAGGGCTTCAAAACCGCACGGTTGACCATTCCGGGAACCTCGCAAGTGAGTATCTTTTTTTATGGGACGTTTTTGCCAATATTAAAATGATGAACTGTACTTTTCGCCCTTTTGGCGTTCTCTGATCTAGCACAGTTGAGACAAGGCCATCATTATGGCTGTCTCTCTGGTGTAGGCCAATGGGTTTTAAAGACAATGCATACATTATACTGGTCAACACACTTTTTCTGGCATAAGGTATTCCAACGGTTTTAAGGTGATTTTGGGGTGCTGATTCCAAATCTGGCATCAGATTTTGTTTATCACATCAGGTTTTTGAGATATAAAATATTGCATTTTCAATAAAAACTGCAGAAGAAAACTATTAAATAAATGTGGATATCTACATAAAATGATATTATAAACACACTATCCTAAAAATACAGCACCATATTTTAACACTAAAGCAGTCACTGACTCGCAACAATTTGCAATCATAAGTGACAGAGTTAATTTCGGGTAAAATCAATGAAAATGGGGTATGCCGATAGCATAAAAATGAGATGTGATGGAGCAAATCTGAGATCAAATTTGGAATCAGCACCCTGAAATTAGTCTAAAACAGCTGCAAAAGTCCAGGCCAGAAAAAAATGTCTTTTTTTTGTTGACCAGTGTTATCAGAGCATGTTTGTTTGCACGTTTTTTGCCACTGGTATGTGGCAAAACATGCTCCACTACAATTGCCCAGTTTGCTATGTTTTCGCATATTAATATTGTGCATGTATGTGTACTGTACAGCCCTTTTGTAAATCCACCGCTGGATGAGGGGCTCCCCATGCCGTGCAGGTCGTGGGGTGTCATGTGACCATACTTCACCATGCTGCTCAGCGCAGCTTTTGCGAACGTGGGGAAAATAGACATTGGGGAGCAGAAGTATGGTACAACGGTGTATTTTACTGCACTGCCCTCTACAGATCCATAACATATGTTATACCTGGTGGTCCCCCATCCAAGCACAATCCAGGATTAACCTTCATTGGCTTCCAAGATCTGACTTGAGATTTGGGTGCATTCTGGTGATAAAGCCACATACACACATTGTATCATCAGAATCAGAATCTTTATTTAGACTGTAGGAATCCGATGAGCTGCGAAGCTCTTTTTCACAGATGTCCAGTACGGGGCAGGTCAGAAAGAGTATGGGCAAGTATGCGAGGTACTGCTAATTGCTGTAACTTGGGTTGCCACCTTTTCACAGACCAAGCCCAGATATAGCCTCGGTCCATATAAACTTATAAAAGTTCAATATAATACCACCGGATTTTGGCGCACATCAATGCCTGCCACCTGTACACAGATGACAATTCCTGGACTGTCCAGGTGACGCTGGACAGGTGGCAACGCCGCGCTGTACATACGAAATATTTATTGCATAGTTTCATGCACATATATTCACACAATCCATCATCACCGTGACCAGCCAAAGCCTGTCACACCGCTGGATGAAATCCTTCCACATATTGTTGCCATCAAGCAACTCTCCACGGTAGTGCTCCGCTTGGTTGCACTCTCTCCTGTGCCCGACGTTCTGTCACCAGTCTCATCCCGTTGGCCATCGTCCTTTCAAGGGATGTGTCCTGTCCAAGAACACTTGATTTTCTTAACAGTCATTGTAATGTATACGTATTCTAAACATGTTTTGGCCACCAAACACATCCCTATACTGACTGCATCAATGTACGTTACATGTTGAGGAATGTGTACGTTTCTGCAGCGTACGTAATTGTTTTTTTCATGCAACGTATTATTTTTCTCTACACAACTGTTCTCTTGTTTACCCTAAAATGCAATACTGTGCTTCGTTCTCTTATTTATGGTGTCTCAGTGGGCTCTACCACTGAAATAAAGTTAATTGGAGGATGGTATGACTTCACAATAAGACAGACTGCGGATACACATAGCGAGAAGAACATTGGCTTTATCACCCATAAAGAGACCGTGAGTTCACGATGCTCATTATGTTACTGCTTATATCGTACATGGTATATCATAACAGACAATGTATGTCGTAAGGTAAAAGCTACATTTCCAATGATTGGGAACTCCAGAGGTCAATGGCCAATGGGAAGACCTGAAGTCAAAAGGTGGACTACTGTAATAAATATCGCTGAAAAGTCGAGTGTGGAACCTACGATACGATCTAGCAAACAGAATAAGGTGTGGCAGCATCAAAAGCGTTGGTCTTGATGACCTCTTGACGTTGAGTGAATGCTAGAACAGATACTGCGTGTGCATGACTAATGGCGGTGGGTGGAGAGGTGTAGAAGTGGTTAGCGTCCTACATGCTGAACCTGGCAACCTGAGTTCGAGTTCTGTCCACAGCTGACATCAGTGCTGAGCGATATCTGAACCTGGGCACCGCCTTCACATTATTATGCTTATTATAACAAATGGAAATTATTGTTACCCTCAGCCTGGGGTGTGGAGTTACTCGATATGCAACAGAGCTGCCAACAAGGACACATTTGCCCTGATGGTGACCAGCAGCGCATCCAGACAAGGAGTTCAACCCATCACCAGTGGAGGCGCACGTGCTATCGGGTGTGGGTGGACAGCCCCACATCAACGCCCTCTACGCCCAGATCATGCAGGCCTTCACGCCGGTCGTGGGCGCCACTGTCTTCGCCTTCATAGAGCGGCCAAGCGAGCCGGTGGCCTACAAGCTGGAGCTTCTGGACAACGGGGCAGGTGCGTTCTTTCTGGGAGGAGGCATTTGTGAGATTTGTTGTCCTTGCCTGTACCTCCAGTTAGCACGGTTTTCTACACACGGTGCGAAAGAAGTTCAACGTACAGACATGCATACAAGATGAGGAGCTCATTCCCAGTCTCCTGCCTCGCACGGTCGAGAAATTCCCTTTTCCCAGTCATCCCTGCTATTGACTCCATGCCCACTGTTCAAGCCCAGGCTCAAGACCTTCCTCTTTTCCTGCTAGAAAATAAATATTCCCATTGTGTCTGTACAGCATCTTGGGATGCGGTTGCATTTTAACGCTAAATAAAAACATATTGTATTGTGGTTAATGCAGACATGAATCCTTGTAAAAAGGTTTCAGTTTTGTTGCCAGAAAAAAAGGGAAAACCTTATTATTATATTTTGGAATTGGCAAAGGAGGTCTAATGAAGTACAAAACTGCTAGTGTCAATAAGAGGTCACTTGAAGGAATATTATTCAATCTATAAGCTTTGGTGACTGCAGGAATCCATACTCTTTGGTTATTTCGGTAAAGTCACGTAGTTAGAAATAAAATTAAATTAAAACAAATCACGACGTTTCGATTGAAACAAAAGCAATCATCATCAGGTGGGAAAACCACAGCAAGAAAAAATTGTTGAAGTGGGAGAGAGAGTTGTCGTGGAAAGAGGTTATATAGTTAAGAAAGGGGGAGGGGCAATGGGGGAGAGAGAGAGGGGGGGTACGGGGAGGGGAGCGCTACGTGAGCGCTAGGGGGAGAGAGGACATGAGGCTGGGGGGGGGGGGGAGTGGGCGGGGCTGGAAGTGGGAGTCCGAGAGAGCTGGGGATGCGGGGGGGGGGAAATTAACTCGGAAAAATAGACTAGTACTCGGCAGGAATGACAGACAACGACCATAAAGCAGTTAGGGTTTTACCTGGTTAATAACATCCTTCCAATGATTGCTCAATTTGTATCCATCTCGGTTAAAGTTACGTCTATGTTTATATATCTCGATGGCTTCATGAGCAACCCTTTGATAGTAGCCCGAAGGTTTGCAGAGTACCTTGGTCCCGGAAAAAACAATATAATGCGAGCCGACAGCGTTATAACAATGGTCAGCCACGGCAGAGGTATTCGTTCTGCCGTGTTTCAGATCTGCCTTGTGTTTGCGGACACGTTCCGAGACATGTCGTTTCGTTTCCCCACTGTAACTGCTACCGCAGGCACAACTCAGTTTGTAAACTCCAGGATATTGCATGTCAGGAATGACATCCTTCACAGATGGGATTAGATCACGGATTTTGTGTACTTTATTGAATCGGACCTGGATCTTGTGTTTGTTTAAGATTTTGGAAAAAAAATTGGTAACGCCTGCTATGTATGGTAAATTTATGGTTTTAATCGGCTTCTCAGGGGGTTGTTTATTCATGGTTGGAGAAACAGCTTTGTAAATAATGCGGTCAGAGTACCCATTCATCTTGAGGGCCTGGTGTACGTGTTTCAGTTCACTGGCTAGGTTGTATTTGTCAGAAATGCAGTAGGCCCTATGGTGTAGTGTTTTGATGAGGGAATTCTTCTGTGCCGGATGGTGGTGGGAATCAGGTTTCAGATTATTCCTTCAAGTGTAGTGACATAGAATCGGTCACATAGCAGCATAGCGCTGGCTGCTGGCAGGGAAGGGGATCAGCAGCTTACAGCAGCCCTGACTGACAGCAGGTCACGTGATAGACCAGAGACAGATGTAGGGGAAAGGTCACGGAAGGGACACATCGAGAACCCGCTAGAAGGTTCCAGAAGGGGGCGTGGCCTTGGGGGCGGAACCAGGCCACGCTGACAGTAAAAGAGGGGCCCGGTGAGGCGACCTCGGGGCTGTCGTTTGGAGTGGGATCCCATCGTGCCGTCTCCTTCTTCACCATCTCAGCGTCGCCAGTCAGGCAGTTTACCAGCTGTCCTGACTGGGAGCCATAGTCACAAAGTGTGAACTGTTAAGGCCGTTTCATAAACAGTGCCCCCAACTCTTAGTGTCTCTGAGTCAGTCACTACAATAATATCACCTTCCACAGAACATTCTCTAACACGGGTGATTTATTGCTCTGCTATAGTTCCGAATAGACATTCATCATCTCCAGACATGATGGTGATATCAAAATTTGAATAAAAATTGTAAAAAGACCAACGCATTTGAAATAGTTGGTAATCCTCAGCCGTACGGGTTACCAAGTGTGGAATGCATCTAGAATAAGGTTTTGTTTGCATGTGACTAAATAGAACTGACATATGTTCATTTGAGGTCGTGGAAGTCATATCGGGTAAAATGTTTTTTTTAGATAATGCAGTGCTGTATTGAGGAAGAAAGTGCTGCAACACATGGCAGTTGGCATCGGAATACAGAAGTTTGAAATCGCTTGCTTCAACATGAGCATTCAAGTGTAGCTTCCTTTTAAATCGTTAACCTCAGCAAAATCGCACCAGGGACCATTCACAGCAACTGATTCCTGTGTCCCACAATAATTATGCCACATTGCATCTTGTACAATTGTGATCTGGCGAACACAGGACAACAGCAATGGAAATATAGGTATACACAGCTGGGATGCAACAAATACTGGTAAATTACTTCCGTTACAAAAAATACGATAGTACGTGTAACTAGTAAATTGCCTATCACAATAGGTGTAGTGATCAAAGGCGAAAGCATTGCATTTCCTCGATTTCTTAAAGAGTAAATATAATAATAATTAATTTTTTATACAGCATCATTCATGAAAATTGTATCTCAATAATGCTTAACATTGCAACCCACGCAAACAAAACAGAGCACAGGCCATGTAGGGCAACGTCAAACACTCGCGCACTCACACTCCCGGTATCTACGAAAGTCCAGGAAACAATGACAGCAATAATTGGATTTCATACAGCGTTATATTACATCTGTCTCAACCGCAATTAGCTTCCTCCGTTCATACTTTGTTAAATTGTTGGATTTTGATGCAGTGCTAAAACAGTGGTTTAATGACTGTTTGTGTGTGCAGGCGGGGAGTGGTAGTGTGGCGGTTCTCACTCTGCGCTACGAACCCAGCAACCTGATTTCGATTCTCGCTCACGGCCAACACCAGTGACGATTATCTGAACCGGTCCTGGGCCTCCCCTAGGTCGACTCAGCCTAAAATTAGTACATGGTTCAGTGTGTAAAGTTCAACACTTGTCGGGCGTGGTACTGGCCATCCATCCCCTCGTGTAACCATTCTTGTCTTCATAGGTGCTCGCTAATAATCAGCACTTGCCTCAAAAAGTATGTTCACCACCACGCGTGGGATCTTTGTTTCTGTTCTGTACAGGTGCCGACGTGAACAAGGACGATGGGGTTTATTCTAGATTCTTCACGCAGTTCACGGAGACTGGCCGCTACAGCGTGAAGGTGAAGGTGACGGGTGACAAGACGACCACGAAGCTGGCTCCACAAAGACACTCCCGGGCCTCCTTCATTCCGGGCTTTCGCAACGAGAAAGGTGGGCCTGCACCGTCTGCACGCTTCAGCAATTGCAAAACTGGGCAATGTAACACTAGATCAGCGGTTCTCATACCTGTCAACCCCCTCGCAGTGCCTACCTTATTACAGGCCAATTCAGATCTTATTGGTCACCCCGTGCCCCTTAGAAATCTCAACGTTCATCCTGCTAAGTCCCATTACAACGGAGAAACACAAACAAATAGACACATTTTTTTTCCCGCATTGAAACGGCTGTACGCCATATGGACCTGAAAACTAAATTTCCCTGGACAAGAATACGGGCAAACCATATGGATTGGCAGGTATGGGTTCTCAATCTGTGGATTGTGACGCCCTCCAGGGAAGCCCTTCTGAAAGGAGGAGGTGCAAGGCTGCAGGCTGTGGCATGGATATCGCGTAGAACACATTTCAAATTTGCACGGCGAATGTCAATGCCGTACTGCGTCCACAAACCACACTGATACGCAACATGAAACACATCCCTTACGAACACTGTGTCGACGAGACATCTGGTGTGCGTTCAATGAGCCGAGGGCTCTGCCGTGGCGTTACGAAGAAGAATTTGGCTCTTATTGAACGGTGTGTTTAGGAGAGCATTTTTTTTAATGGCGGAGAACATTGCCCAGCTCGTTGAGCGTTTGTTGGGCGTGTCAGTGTTCCGAGGTGGAGTAGCTCTATCTCTCACGAAAAATATATTTTACCATGGCTCTGTATTATAATGAACTCTGCTCCTGTCCCCACCAGGGGAGCTGGAGGTAACGCAGGTGCCAGCTCCGGCGGGTGGGCAGGTGCTGGTGCCGAGCGAGGACTTCAGCCGAGTGGCATCGGGAGGCTCCTTCCAGGCGACGGTGCCGCCGGGCGGGCCCCGGGACATCTACCCTCCGTGCCGCGTGCTGGACCTGACGGCCGAGTTGCTGGCGCCGGGGATTGTCAGCCTGGCTTGGACGGCGCCCGGGGACGACGCCGACTTTGGCCAAGGTGCCCCAGCCACACAGACTCACACGCACGGCGCTTACAGCTTCTATCGACCACAAAGACAAATATCTCCCTTGTTTAGCCTTTAACAGACTGCTGAGGCAAGTGCTGTCAGCGAGTAGCACCTCTGAAGGCCGACACGACGCACAAGGACACTGGCGGAGCCAGTGGAGGGGTGGGATGACACGTGCCCCCCCAATGATCCGATTATTGGGGTTTATTAGTAATAAATCGGCATTTTGCGACCCCCACTGCCACTGTGTAGCCTATTATTACGTGCCAGGGACTGAGTCCATAATTGGCAATAAGTAACGGCAAAGCAGTTATAAGTGACTCAGAATTATGCGCAGTTGCGTATACAGGACACGACTTCCCTGAAGGCGTCATACCTTCAGCGAGCGCGATGCCGATCACACACGGTTCGAATTCGACCCTCGATCGATGGCTGTGCCATCGCCGCACACGCGTCGAATAAAAAGCAAGGGACAAGTCCTTACTTACTAACAACTATCATTTTACATTGATGGAGGGGTTGCCCCCCCTACCTGAAAATCCTGGCTCCACCATTGCACAAGGGGATGAGTGGCCAGAACCATTCCTGGCTGCTTTTGTCTCCCCTCCACAATGTTGATGTTTAGACACCGAACCAGGTACTCATTTAAACCTGAGTCGACCGAGGGGAGGCCGAGGAATGGTTCAGATAATCGTCACTGGTGTTGGCCATGAGTGGGAATCGAAATGCCATTCTACTGCTCGATTTTATTCCAGTCATCAGTTTATGCTGAACCTCGTGGTTCTAGAGTTGATGTATACGAATTACATTGTATACGAATAATACAAATGAAAAATAACTGATTCTTCCACACACCATTAGATACGCGTATTGTGTGAAATAATTTATTTTTGACGAGTCATTTCAATGCTGCATGCCCATTGATTCACTGATGAAGTACCAAATGTTGTTCCACATGTCTACATCCTCTCGACTCCGGTAACGTTCCCACCTGCCCCTTTTGGACAACTGTTAAAAAAGAGCTTCATAGCTCATCGTATTCCTCCAGTATAAATAAAGCCTAAGGACATTGCTTTTCTATTTAGAAAGTCCACGTGTGCAACAATGCTAATTCAAGGCGCATCCTCCGCCTACCATTTTCAGCGTCGGGTTACGAGATAATAACGAGCGACAGCCTGGACGCCTTGCTGGAGGCCACCGAGAGTAGCCTCGTGCCGAACGAAAACGTCACCCGCGGAAACCTGAGCGCACCGGCAATCGCGGGCGACCTCGAGACATTCAAAGTCACGGTGAGCGAGGTCGTGGCCGGCAGCGAGCGCTACTTCTCCGTCCGAGCCATCGACAAGGTGGACAACTGGGCGAACATCTCGAACGTGGCCTCGGTGTTCCTCGCCACCGAGCCGCCGTCACGTGCTCTGTACCTAGCCATGATGGTCATCGTGACATTCGTCTCGACGTTCTTCCTCCTCGGCGCCATGGTGATGATCGTGCGCTGCGCGAGTAAGAGATGCTGCCGTGCCAAGGAGAGGGACGAGGAAGCCAAGAAAATGCCACGATACTGAAACGAGCGGCACTGTAGTGACGATTAAAGCGGACTGAGATAGAAGCGGCGCTGATAGCCAATCAAAGAAAGGGAAATGAGGGGGCGTGCCACTTTACTATGACGTCACCATCTCGGTCTAGGAAATAATCGCATTGGTTACATGTTATTGATTCTGCTTATTGATTTGCCCGCGGAATTTGAAAATGTATTGTTTTTTAGATTATTCATTACAATCTCCATTTTGTGCAGCTATGTCCAGCACGCCGCCTCACGCCGCTCCCGGCACTTGCCCTTAATCGGGATTTTTTTTAAATCTCATAAAAAAACTCTTACTTTTGCTCCGTTAACGGCGGGTTTTAAGTTGAAATAAAAGCGGGAAGATTGAAATCGATCTTTTGGGGCGCTGTGGTTGATTTACAGCAGCATTTTCCTTAACGCCCCATAACGTTGTTTCTACGTTTATTAAGCATTTGAGAGCTTCCTTTTATTTCTCCAGCGGACAATCATGATGAAAGTGCATCGTGTAACACTAGACGACGCAATTCATGTTTCTAAGCGCGGTTAAAAGTGTGCTGTATGTGCTGTACGTGATCACTGTGTGCTATCTTTGATCTATAAATGTTTTAGCCAAAATAGCATCCGATTAAATTTCGATTTAAAGCTTTAATAACTGCAGGGATTCATATTCTTGGTTCTTTCGGTAAAGTCACGTAGAAGGGAAATAATAAAATAACACAAATAATAAAATGTACAAATATTATTATTATTTCCCTTCTACGTGACTTTACCGAAAGAACCAAGAATATAGCATCCGATTGTTATAGAACACGAGAACACCAGGTGTAATCATATGACCGACATTCTATAACATTGTTGACGTATACGCTCGTTATTACATTTGGAGTGGAGTGATGCATCGATGGCCGGCACTATGAGTCTGAAACCTGAGCTCGATTGTTGGCCACGGCTCACATCAGTGGCGAGCGGGGCCAGAATCAGTCCTGCCGACTCACCCGCTCCCTCCCCTTTACCAATCCCGCACTGATCAGCATGGTGTAGCATGGTCACACTAACCAAACACCGTGGCTGGCATGGTCAAAGTGTGATGCCTCGTCGATTAACGAACGGGTACATTAATTCGTATTTAAATTGGTGGAAAATGTGCAAGATTGAATGCATTACCTTTATAAATACGTTTGGGTTTGTGCAGTAAATTGAACCCTCTTTTTGACTGCATTGGTCGGATACAAAGATGGTCCGTGTTACTGTTCCATATGTCACAGCAGGTAATATATTCTGTACGTTGATTAAAGACCTTTATTTGTCACGTTGGTACATTGCTATTCATTATTACGTTCACGTTTCCACATCGGCCCTCAAGTTGAAAAGTACCCGAATAAGCGTGTACAGGCACGTGCTTGGAATCGCACTGAATGACAGAAAGAGAATCACTTGAATGGGAGAACATTCGCAAGTTGGAAATGTCAAATTGACTACTCTTAGGTTTTTTCGGTAAAGTCACGTAGGGAAAATTAAGTAATACAATCTTCTTGGTTCTTTCGGTAAAGTCACGTAGTGAGAATTATTTTATTATGTTTTATTATGCTTAATTTTTATTATTTTATTATTTCCCTTCTACGGGACTTTACCGAAAGAACCAAGAAGATGAATCCCTGCAGTCACGAAAGCTTTAAATCGAAATTTAAATAATAAAAGTAAAAATAATATAAAAAAAATATAGAAATAAAATTAGAATATAATAAAATAATTTTATTTCTATTATTTCTATTCTTTTTACTAATAATAGAAATAAAATAATAATATGATAAAATAATGTCTTTTATATTATTATTTCTATTATTTATACTTTTATTATTTATTTTTCCCTACGTGACTTTACCGAAAAAACCTAATACAGTAGTATGAATTCTTGCAGTCACGAAAGCTTCAAATCTAGAAGTAAAATTGACTTTTACACGAGTTCATAACTGTGTAACAAAATCGTACGGTGGTAAATACATTATCGGGTATTGAAGGTTATATTTGGCTCAAACTATAATACATATCAGCATTTACACTATGAGATATCTTTTACCAGTGGCAAAATATAGTAGTAGGTTTTTACCCTTTTAAACTGGTACAAAACTGACACCTTTATTCAAGGCATCATGTTTGCAATAACCACAACACAAGTAGTAACAGTTTAAAAGGGTAAAAACCTACTACTATATTTTGCCACTGGTAAAAGGGATCTCATAGTGTAAATGCTTACCCCGAGCTCTCAATACTCTGATATTGCACTGTGTTTGAGTTGTACGCCTTCTGGTGTCATCTGGCCCTACACCAATGGGGACTAGGCTCTAAAGAAAGCCGTCTCGGGTGTGGGCCAATCGACTTCAAGGACAGTGCATATTATCATCCTTATCAGAGTTGCTTCTTTTTGTTTGCTTTTTTGACTACTTGTGTTGTGGTCATTGCAAACATGATGCCTTGAATAAAGGTGTCAGTTTTGTACCAGTTTAAAAGGGTAAAAACCGACCACTATATTTTGCCACTGGTAAAAGGGATCTCGTAGTGTAAATGCCTACCCCGAGCTCTCAATACTCTGATATTGCACTGTGTTTGAGTTGTACGCCTTCTGGTGTCATCTGGTCCAACACCAATGGGGACTAGGCTCTAAAGAAAGCCGTCTCGGGTGTGGACCAATCAACTTCAAAGACAGTGCATATCATTATCATTATCAGAGTTGCTTCTTTTTGTTTGCATTTTCGACTACTTGTGTTGTGGTTATTGCAAACATGATGCCTTGAATAAAGGTGTCAGTTTTGTACCAGTTTAAAGGGGTTAAAACCTACTACTATACATATCAGAAGGTAATAAAAAGTATGAAAATCCAACTCATTTGGGGAAGAAATTGATTTAAGGAGTCGTAATTGAAACCTATAAAACCTCAGACAAATCGCACTGAAGGCACTCAATCTCATAAGATCGTGGGGCCAAGCAGGCTTGATACTCGTTAGCACTTATCGCATGGGAAACGTCAAATGAATAGCAGGTGTTGTAGGCTGTGGCTGCGAGGAGTTTTCAACACAGCAAACAACTTTTTTTTATCTATCTGAGCCAATCTATGTTATACTTTCAAGGCTACAAACCCGAAGTTGCTTGCCCAATATGCGGCATAATTTCCTCTGCTTAACCCATCACCCCAAGCTTCCTTAATCGGAGTTCATGCTTCGCACAGTGTCTATTTGTGTCTCCTATTTTCACTATGAGGCAATGGACGATATCATACAGAGAGAAATTCGACGTTCAAATCAAACGTTCAACTCTGAGTAGTCATAATGCATCATTGAAAGTTTTATTTCTTCTTCCCTGCTGTGGTAATGAGAAAAAGTCAAGGAAGTTCCAATGTACCGAAACTATAAAAAAAACTATATATATTAAAAACACATTAATACCAGGTCAGGCCCACTGAGCTACATAGCTTTTTCAGAAGCGACCTGGCAACAAATGATAACCCACTGAAGTGGTGTATCACGTGGAAACTTATAGCAGCCAAATACTCTAAACGCATGTTTCTAAATATGGAGGCAAAAACCGGAGGACCTGGAGAAAAATCCACGGGACCACGGGGAGACCATGCAAACTCCAAATATACAGGAGGCGTCAGGGTCGGGATTGAACCCACGACCTCCTGCATACCAGGCGAGGTAGTTAACATCTCACCACCCTTGTGCCTTTCAGTGCTGATTGAAACAATCGGCACTGAAATTAATTATACAGCAGTGTTGTCCTTATTGACTGCTCTAGTTTTGTTTATTAAACATTTGGGAGGTTTTTGGACGGTTTTTTTCTATCTTGACAATCATTATTAAAGTTTATGATGTATCACTATGCAATACAAATACCCCAATTTGATTATACTCAGTCTACAGGTTTTTCCCTATTTAAAAGCTGGCAGAACCATGCCTGACATGCCTCCAGCACTTCATCCTTCTCAAAGTTCAACCTCACTAATGTCTCTAACCGCCTCCAGCCCTGCATTATTAAACATATGCTCTCTGCGCAATCGGGAACTTATTTGTTGTCCCTCTTTTGATGAGCATCTCCCATCTCCTCTGTCAATAAAGTTTAATGCTGTGCCAGTTGCTCTTCAATTACCTTCCCCGTGATCATTCAGCATATTCTGCATCCTCGGCTCTCCTTTCATCTTCTCGCCAAGCATCTTCTGATTCACATCCCTGGTCATTTACATGGCGCTTTCATGTTTGAGCACATATCTACTTGTCCGTCTGACTTACTTGCACGGTCAATGGCCAGGGTCAACGGCGGCGTGGTGTATTCCGCAAATATGCCCGACTGTGAGGGCGAGCACAAGCTGGCGTGAGTAGGTTAAACGTTGAGTTTTATAAGGGCACCACGGAGTGACCAGCCCTTCCCCTCCCCACCCAGCCCCACCCCCCACCCAGTCCCACCCTCCCCACCCAGCCCCTCCCTATCCTCCCCTTCCCACCCAGCCCCACCCTCCCCACCCAGCCCCTCCCCACCCTCCCCACCCAGCCCCTCCCCACCCTCCCCACCCAGCCCCTCCCCACCCAGCCCCTCCCCACCCAGCCCCTCCCCACCTAGCCCCTCCCTGCACGACGGACGGACACAATAATCCCCTTTGGGCTGGTCGAACCAGTGGGTTCCTACCAGTATAACTCTTGTTGCTGCCTCAACTGCAACTGTCTTGAAGCCTTTCCAAATTTGCCTCTGCTGCCTCCGGCTCTTTGGCTGGTGTCCCAGGTCAGGTTTATGATGGGCCATATAAACCACTTTGGAAGAGAAGAGAGATGGATGTGAGTGTAAAGAAAATGGTATTTGAAGAGGGAGTTAGATATGCATTACTGCGTGGATCAGAGAAATTGAAAATAAGTGCTGGGATGTTGAATGTTGGCACAGGCGTTTGAGACAGATGTTATAGAATTTGGTAGCAACACAAGGTAAGCAATAATAATACTAATTTCATTTTATGTAGCGTCATTTATGCAATTGCATCCCAAAACGCTGCACATACATTATTAAATTGCGTACACAGCAATGCATAAGTCTGGAAGAGAACATGGCAGGCAAAGTGTTGTCGGTATGATTAGGTACAGCATGTGTGTAAAATGGGGGAAGGTCGATTGCCAACACAGACATTCGAGTGGTTTCTAAAAGTTCAGCGACCAAGGGGAAGACCTAATACCAGATGGTGGGAGACTGTCAAGGTACATCTTGGAGGTCGCATCTCTACTGTGCAACAGCTGCGGAATCTGGCAGTGAGTAGAAGGCGTTGGAAAAGTTTGGTGGCATCAATGGCCTTGGTCATGATGACATCTGGATCTTATGTCTACGTTGGGCGATGCGGCAATTCTGATTTTCCAGACTGACTGATTTGCTTCCGGCAAGTAAATATTAACAAATCACACGAATCATTCTACATTTAAACAACGCTGAAGTGCAGCAAATTATTTTCCAACATCCTGCATATCTGTATCTACTTGAATCATCACTATGAGCTTCCTTAATCATAGTGCATGCTTTGCACAAGTCTCTCTTTGTTTCACAGCAAAAAAAATCCAGATGTAAAAACACCCTATGAAACAGTCAATGCAAGCAAAATAATCCCAGCACGTGATGAATTCCAAGCACGGCCAAAGCAACTGCAGCACTGAACTGTTGACCTTGAGGATTTCCAGGATGCAATCTATTCAGTGCTTAAGATTACCATCGAACATTTCTCAAAAAATAATAATAATATATTGGCCCTTTGGCAATCAACATCCGGACGAAGGCTTCCCTACACTGTGTCGGGCATGGCGCCTGTTTAACCGTACTATTTCTCTTCGCTGGTCAATGTAGGTTTAGTGATGGGGGGGGGGGGGTTCAAAAACAGTTTAGATATCAATCACCACTGCTTGTCTACTGTCGCCGATAATCAAATTCGGGTCGCTGGGTTTTTATGTTATCACCAAACTCTTCTCAAACGTAGGTGAAAAGTTTTGGAAACACGCACACACAGTGACGCACTTTTGCACCTGGAGGCTAAGGGAATGAATGCGACAATAAATGAGAGTGACGATGCATTTGAGAGAGTATAGTTTAACGAAACAGGCAATGACACAAGAGGCAATAGAATGTAAAAAAGACAAAAAAAACGAGATGTAAAATGTAAATGATTATTTATTAATTGCTGCGGGGTGAATCATTGCATGCCTCCCTAACAGTACAGTATTTTGACGTCAATCTTTAATCTACATTGTCTTATGGTTGTTATTCTTTAACTTGCATCCCATTAGGATTTTTGCACACAGCGTTGAAATGCTGTGTTTTTTTCTGGAAGACTTTGCTATTTTTTCCAGGATTTTTTCTGTTGCTTTAAGGTTATATTGTTCATGTTTTTATTCTGTTGCGGTTGCACCCGAGTCAAGAGCCGCATGGCTCACAGGGTTATACCTAATAAATGAAAACTAAATGAAACTGAAAACTATCATAAGCCAGCAGTATCCCAGTAAACATGCAACGTTGGGTCAACAATGGGCAACGTTTCACGTCAACTGCGATGTGGGTACAGGAGCATACGGGTCGTTTTACAAAACCTTCACACGGACGAACCGTGATTAACACCCCTTGTTCAAAGTCAAGTTTTTCCACACCCAGGAGTTTCTGACTCACACCGCCATTTCGCGGACTTTACTGAATTGTAAAATCGTAGACTACTGAAGTATTTATGAACTCCAGACCAATTACCCAATGGTCACGCTCGTTGATCAGAGCAGGCAGACATGTAGACCGTGAGCCCAGACCACATATTTCGCTTGTCGGTAGCAGTTGTGGTGGCGTAACTTTAATGCTTCTGTACGTTTGTAAAACTTTATTCACACCGTACACAGCCAAACCGCGCTAATCTCGTTTCTTAATGTGGCTAACAACAGCGAATTGTGTTATAACCATGTCAAACGAGTGGCCAATAAAATAATGAACTACTGTTTTCCATAGAAATAAATCGGTAATACAAAAATTGTTCAACCTTAGGTGGTTTCGATTTCTCTTCTGGCCCATGGGCTACAAAGGAGAAGCCAATGTTATGAACTGAATAGACTTCCGCTCGGCGTGGTGTGTTGCATGTTGCGTGTGTGCAGACTTTGCACAACTTCTGCCAAAACAGGCGCTCGTGCCCGTTGCGAAATATCTGTGTGATAGCGTGAAGAGTTTGGACGAGTTGTAAACAGGCTGAGAGGCTCGCTGTAATCATGTCCGCTAGGGGCTGTTATGGTGGAGCAGGCTCACCACCGCCCCACGAAATTTTCAAAGAAACGAGCGAATTTACTGAATAATAAGGAAGTGGTCACTGGCTGATTTAGCCATTCCCCAACAGAGAGGAGGGCGCGTAAGAGGGGTGGTGCGTTTACTGCTTCGCCACTGTCACTAATGTTCACATGCTCTCGGTCTTGTGAGTTACTATCTCACTCAAACCCAGGCTTGTGATCATTCTTGCTCGGTTTGTATTATCTTTGTCAATGGTGGTGATATCGTGAGGCTATACATTACAGAATAATCATTGAGAGATAATAAAAAAACACACAATTTAAATTCTCCCGAAATTGACTTGCTCTTGCTGTGTGCTATTGTGCGTGCAAGATAACGAGGCTGAGTCGTCCAACGGGCAGACTTCAACTGCCACCCACGTCTTGCAGTGTTTAAAGCAAACTAATAAATACATCATAATGCTGCCCGCAAACACCGTTTCCTCCTCGAGGTAAACATTAAATCACCACCACCCCCACGCCCGCTCCCTCTCAACACGGTGCCGGTAAATATCGCCAGAGTTCGCCAAAGGCAGCAACGATGAACGTTCCCCAAAAGCGTGCTCCGCTCGTCGTGGTCACCGCGGTGCTGTGCGTGGCCGTGGGGCTGAGCCACGGCTCGCGAGTGAAGTTGATCGACAACGGCTACGAGGGTTTGGTCATCGCCATCAACCCCGCCGTGCCGGAGGACCCCCAACTCGTCGACGCCATAAAGGTGAGAGCCCTCAACCCTTCCCTTCCCCTGCATTTTTTTCGTTGGTGTTGTCTCTCTCTTTGCTTGTGTGTCTGTCTGTGTGTCTCTGTGTTGTGTGTCTCTTTGCTTGTGTGTCTGTCTGTGTGTCTATGTTGTGTGTCTCTCTCTCTGCTTGTGTGTCTGTCTGTGTGTCTATGTTGTGTGTCTCTTTGCTTGTGTGTCTGTCTGTGTGTCTCTGTGTTGTGTGTCTTTCTCTGTGTGTCTATGTTGTGTCTCTCTGCTTGTGTGTCTGTGTGTCTCTGTGTTGTCTTTCTGCTTGTGTGCCTGTCTGTGTGTCTATGTTGTGTGTGTCTCTGCTTGTGTGTCTGTCTGTGTGTCTCTGTGTTGTCTCTCTCTCTATGTGTGTCTGTCAGTATGTCTCTGTGTTGTCTCTCTGTGTGTGTCTGTGTTGTGTCTCTCTCTGCTTGTGTGTCTGTCTGTGTGTCTCTGTGTTGTCTTTCTCTGCTTGTGTGTCTGTCTGTGTGTCTCCGTGTCTGTGTTTCGTCTCTCTCTCAAATTTAGTTCTACCTGATGACGGTTGCTTGTGTTGCAATCGAAACGTCGTACTCTATTATTTAATTTATTTTCTTTCCACGTGACTTTACCGAAACGACCAAAGAGTAATCCCTGCAGTCACGAAAGCTTCAAATCAAATCGAACAATCGTCGTTCAAACCATGGCAACGTTTCGGTGACCCCCCCCAACCCCCCAGCCGCCGCTGACCTCAAAGGTCCACGACCTCGTGAAACGTTATGATTGTTCATCTTCTTGGTTTTTTTCGGTAAAGTCACGTAGAAGGGAAGTAATAAAATAATAAAAATAAAACATAATAAAATAATTCTCACGACGTTTCGGCTACAACGCAAGCAGCCCTTCTACGTGACTTTACCGAAAAAAACCAAGAAGATGAATCCCTGCAGTCACGAAAGCTTTAAATCGAAAGTTATGATTGTTTTCTCTTCTCCTCGGGCATGATGCCAGCAACGTGTTGATGCGCTGAGTGGAAACGTGGAGCTCTGCTCGCCACCACGTCGGAGCGTCGTGAGATGTTTTGCCATTGCTCCTCTCCGGTGTGGGAGCCCAAGACTGTCGTACAGGGTGGTCCAGATGTGATGTGACCCCCTCCCCCCCTCTCTCCACCCCCAATTAATTGACCCCTAATTTTTGTTCCTTTGTATATGAATTTATTTTTTAATTGAACCTTTAAAAAAAAGTTTTAGATAATTAAATGGGAGGGGGGTCACAATACATGTGGACCACACCGTACACTGGTAAAGTACATGATAGATAAACAAGAGCAGGCTGGAGTGTTTTTAGAAAATGTTATTTGATCGTAACAAGCAGCAAAGCAAGTTGTGAATTGAGAGAAACGTTTTCAATTGGCGCATATTGCCAGCTATGGCACGCGAATCGCAAACGTGGACAATGAAAATGAAAAAGGCAAACTAAATTTTCGATTTAAAGCTTTCGTGACTGCAGGGATTCATACTCTTGGTTCTTTTGGTAAAGTCACGTAGAAGGGAAATAATAAAATAATACAAATGAAACATAATTAAATACAATTCTTCACCTGAGGACGTCTGCTTGCGTTGTGGCTAAACGTCGTGAGAATTTAATTGTAATTTGTTTAATTTGTATTAATCTATTATTTCCCTTCTACGTGACTTTACCGAAAGAACCAAGAAGATTTGATCTATAGTTTGTGTGGCGAATTGTAATGAATAAAACAAAGAAGCGGAAGCTACGGCGTACGGGTCAAATGGAGTTGAGTTGAGGACTGCGTGAGGGGTAACGCGTTAATGCTTTAACAGCAACACAATGCTTACCCCGAGCTCTCATACTCTGATGGTGCATTGTCTTTGAGTTGTGCGCCTTTTGGCGTCATCTGGTCCAACCCATGTGAGACTAGGCTCTAAGGAAAGCTGTCTCGGGTGTGGACCAATCAACTTCAAGGACAGTGCACATTATCAGAGTTATGTTTTTTGTTTGCATTATGACTGCAGGTATTTTGGTCTATGCAAACATGACTCCTTGTAAAAAAGGTGTCAGTTTTGTTGCCAGATAGAAGGGTAAAAAACCAATTATCAGCAACACAAGAGTTTAGTTTCCACACAGGGGAGCGAACGGCACTCAGTGTAAGAGACACGGTGGAGGTGGTGATGCTTTGAGGAGCGTTGTGGAGAGGGGGGGGGGATGGCTTTTGTGCCTTTAATTATCCGTTCGTGAGGGAGGTGTGGTGCCGCATGGGGCCGTTGTTGATATATCGATGAGGTCTTCTTGGTTTTTCGGTAAAGTCACGTAGAAGGGAAATAAAAAAAAATACAACATAATAAAATAAAAATTCTCACGACGTTTCAGCCACAACACAAGCAGCCGTCCTCAGGTGTGTATTATGTTTTATTTTTATTATTTTATTATTTCCCTTCTACGTGACTTTACCGAAAGAACCAAGAAGATGAATCCCTGCAGTCACGAAAGCTTTAGATCTAAATATCGATGAGGGTTGATGGTCCACGCCAGTGTCTTCGAGGAGGACTGCCAAAGCCAGGAGGTGCCTGTGCGACTAACAGTCCACTACTGTGTTATGGCTATCGTGGTCTCGCAGGTTCACAGCCGCTTGTACAAGTTTAAACAATAAAAAAAAACTGCCATCACGGTAAGCGTCGGTAAACATTTTTATTGTTAATATAGTTAATTATTTTCCTCCCACACACACAATGATGGGTATTATTTGTGAGCAAGTGTGTTGTAAGAATTGTGCGTTATCACAAATATCGCCCCCCCCCCCCACTCCAAACATCTCTTCAAAACCTATAGGGGCAGACCTCGCTGAGCGCTCAAGAAGCGTTCCTGGAGAAGTGAGCATCGAATTAGCGCTCTGAAATAAGCCATTCTACCATCGTATACTACATGGGGCGGTGCATTCCCGACAAGGTTGCTTCTTTCGTATGAGCAATATACGAGGGATGCATTGGGGTATCGGTAATAGCGCAAATGATACAGATGGTAAACATTATTTCGGAAATAAAACAATTACACTGGTCAACAACAACAAATTCTGGCCTGGACTTTTGCAGCTGTTTTAGACTAATTTCAGGGTGCTGATTCAAAATCTGATCTCAGATTTGCTCTATCACATCTCATTTTTATGCTATCGGCATACCCCATTTTCATTGATTTTACCCGAAATTAACTTTGTCCCTTATGATTGCAAGTTGTTGCGAGTCAGTGACTGCTTTAGTGTTAAAATATGGTGCTGTATTTTTAGGATAGTGTGTTTATAATATCATTTTATGTAGATATCCACATTTATTTAATATTTTTCTTCTGCAGTTTTTTATTGAAAATGCAATATATGATATCTCAAAAACCTGATGTGATAGACAAAAAATAATGCCAGATTTGGAATCAGCACCCCAAAGTATTACCCTAAAACCGTTGGAATATCTTTTGCCAGAAAAAGTGTGTTGACCAGTGTTATTTTACTATAACATAAACATTGTGCACTACAAAGCAGCGGTGGGAGGCGAGCTTGGAGGGGCTTGCGGCACTCGCAATCAGGGTCTTAGTGACGCCCTCGGTCACAATTTCTGTGGTGAGGTTTCTTCTTGGTGGAGCCTGAGACCCCTGCCGTGGTCTCGTAAGTTCTCACCTGGCTAAACCCGCTGCAATAATATTGTGTTGAAAAAAGGAGATTAAGAAAATAATTACCACGAATTCTCATAATCGAGTCGGGGTCTGGTTGACTCAGCGTACGTCGCTCTCATTGGCTGAGCGAATAATGGGAGTGGGTACGTCTTCTCACTCGTAAGCGCTCTGTAGATATTTTGATTTATTTTTGTTTATGATAAAAAACATCGCCAGGATAAGGAGCGCTGGAACGAATCGGCGTTCTATGGAATTGCGCTAAATGGGGTCTGCTTGTACTCATGCCGTAAAACAAAAAAGTGGTATAAAATTTCTTCAGAAAAATATATCTTCTTAAAAATCCCACTAGAACTTGATAACAGCGTGGGAATAATGTAGAACTGTTAGAAGTAAAATGCATTTTACAATTGTTGATTTCCAATATAAATGTGCATTTCAGTATATGTATACATACTTAGAATGGCATTCAGTAAAAAAATCGAACGGTTAAAATGTCGAAGCATTAGCCACTGTAATTTATCAATTGCATCCATCGCCTCATCCTGATACAGCATAGGATTTGCTCAACTTTTAAAATAATGTTGGATCAATAATTATTTGTAAAATACTCTAAATTCAGGGTTAATCCGTCTGCCTCAAGTTGCACACATCCCGGTTAAATACGTTCCTTAAAAAGTCCAAGTCAATTGTGAACCAATAGCAACGACCCTCTTTGTCTGACTTGGCATTCCTTTCCCATTCCTTTTTTCTATTCACGTTATCCTTAACCACTCCCCTTTCTGTGGTGCGCCGCAAGTAATACATTTTATATTGCCCGTATTACATTTACAACATGTTATCTAATCCCTTGACCTAAGACCTTATCACCCTGAGTTTCTACCATTCTCATTAATTTTCAGAAATTAATCAGTCAGGGTTGAGTCTGGATAGTATTTGGATGGGAACTGCCTTTGCATACTGGATTTTGTGGCACGGTGACAAGATGTTAATGACCTTGCCTGGTATACAGGAGGTTGCGGGTTCGAGCCCGACCCTGACACCTGCTGTATAATTCATCGCGTGGATTTTTCTCCAGGTCCTCCAGTTTTTTCACTCCACATTTAGTAACGTGCATTTACAGTATTTGGCAGCTATATATTTCCACACAATAAGCCACTTCAGTGGGGTATCATTTGGGGCCAGGTCGCTTCTGAAAAAGAGCTATATAGCTCAGTGGGCCAAACCTGGTAAAATAAAAAATAGTTTATAGTTCTTGGTTTGAGCTGCAAACTCTGCATGAGAAGACAGTGCAGCAGTGGGTGCAGTACACCAAACTATCTGTGCTGACATTTAACCATCATTCCCTTGTTCGCGTGGGTTTTCTCTCGGTGCTCCGGTTTCCTCCCACGTGCTAAACACTTTATTACAAGTCAAGATTAAACACTTTCGTGTCATTATTGTTGTTCATTTCTCAATCCGCTTGTCCTGGTGAGGGTCGTGGCGGTAGCATGTTGAGTAGGGCGGTCCAGACCTCCCTTTCCCTGGCAACAGACTCTAACACTACACTACTATACACTGTACACTACACTATACACTACTCTACATTACTATACACTACACTAATATACACTATAAACTACACTATACACTACTTCACACAAACTTTAGCTCTTCTTGGGGAATTCCTAGGCGTTCCCAGGCCAGCTGAGCAACGTAGTCCTGCCAGCATGTCCGAGGCGGGCCCCGGGGTCTTTGGGAAGAAGCCTCTTCAACAACTCCTGACACTCCCTGTGAGGCTTTCCTGGGTAAATAAACGGAATTATTTTCTGAAATTCACACGCGTGTTCTTGTTCTTAAAACAACGTAACTCAATCAGTAAACACAATACTGCATACGAATGGTCGGAAATAAAATGCACACACTTTCACTTTAACACGTAGGAGGCTTTCGCGACTAATATCCTCCATAATAGTATTTTTTTGGGTTAGATTGCGTAAATATATAAATGTTTCATTTAAACCCGCCACCACCCGACACAGCCAACTAGTAAGGGTTGAGACAATGTACATTATGCAAGCGCATTATACAATCCCTTTGATCTTGTCCTTCCTGTCCATTGTGTGTATTAAAATAGCCGTACCAACGGTAATCCCTATTGAAGTATGGTGGCCTGTTTAGGCATGCATTAAAACAATGTATTATTTGATGATTCGCTTCCACGCAGCACTAAGTCGGTAGCTTATCCGAACAGTTAAAATAGGGATTACCGTTGGTATGGCTATTTTAATACACACAATGGACAGGAAGGACAATATCAAAGGGATTGTATAATGCGCATGCATAATGTACGTTGTTTCATTAGCCCCCCCGCCCCATCCCACTCTGCGCAAGGAAAGCCAGCAAGTGTGGTCACCACTCTCACTGGCACGGCCACCGTTACGGTGGTTCTCTGGCATTGACACGCTGCCCCCTCACTGTGCAGCCGCCAACGCCGCAGCTTGTGTTGCCCACGAGGTGCCACTATGCCCGGTCCTCTGACACAGACATGCTATCTTCCCATTAAACTCGCTTACATTGACATGCCAATCTCTCCCATTAACGCAGCTGCTGTGCGTGAGTGCGGCGACGGTGCTCGTGTGCGACGATGGGGCCCATTTTTAAATCCTTTATATTAAGTTCACTTGCTTGCTTGCTTGCGTGCTTACGACTGTGCAAATCTTTTGGTCGTTTTTTAACCCACTTCCCGTGATCCAATCGAGCTGACATTTTGCACACAGACTCGTTGTGCGTGACAATTTATTTTCGTGAAAAAAATTTCCAAAATTTTCCACTTTTTAGGAAAAAAAAATTTTCATATTTAATTTAAAATACCAATGTGATAAAAATGAAACTCTTACTCAAGAAAAACAGAAATGAATAATAAAATAAAACCGATGCCACGCATATAAAGGATTTGTAGTGAAAAACTTAGTTTTTACAGGTTATTTTTTTATTCCATTATACTCGTGAACATTAACATGCCAATCAATCTCTCCCTTTAACGCAGTTGTGCGTGCGTGCTTGCGGCGACGGGACTCCTTTCCATCTCTGACCCCGCCCACTTACCCTTGGGTGACACCCACCTCAAACCTATATATTACCTCTTGTTGCAGCAGCCCTTTCTTGTTCAGCAGTTCTACTGCTGTATCTTTCCACCTGATGACGATTAATTGTGTTGCGATTGAAAAGTCGTGATTTATTATTTATTTTTCTACCTACGTGACTTTACCGAAAGAACAAAAGAGTATTCGGTAAAATGTTCTCCCAAATCTATTGTTGTAAACACATTATATTGTATTGCGTTAATGCATTGTGAATATTTATTCTGCAGGATATGATCACAAATGCATCCTCTGACTTGTTCAGAGCAACAAAGTATCGTTTCTACTTCCGGAATGTCAATATTCTTATTCCGGCATCATGGAAAACAAATCCAATCTACAACCGGCCAAAGTCTGAGTCCTATGGAGCAGTAAGTACTTACAAAAACACTGGCATTGACACGCAGTGAATATTAAAACAATACTAAAGTTTTTAAAATATATATTCTATATGCATACATATATTCATTCTTTCAATTGCTTTAACCATAATATTCGATCTATAACTGGATTCCATAATACAGGTTTTTTTTGGGTTAGATCGCGGAAATATATGTGTCGTTAAACCCGCCACCACCCGACACAGCCAATTAGTAAGGGTTGTCACGTAAACAGAACATGCCAATTCGTTACTAGTACAGCACACCGGTGTGTTGAAGAGCGAAGCCACAACATTTACAATCTGAGTACGACATTTCACCAGTAATTATAACTAGCTTCATCAGGCGCGATCTAAATTAAAAAAAAAAAACTGTATCATGGATAATATTGGTCGCGAAAGCCTACGTGTTAAACCTATAACTAGATTTTAAAAAAATCAGACAGTTTTATCCAGCACTGAATATGAGTACGATGAGAAATGGAGATATTTCTAGTTGGGTGGTGTGGTGTGTTTAAAATGTTCCAGCTACAATTGAAAGGATTCTAATTAAAATTGCACTGCAGAGGGAATCTATTCAGCTCACAATCCATCCAGGACCATACAAATTTAGATAATTTTGGGGTAATTACATATTTAACAAAACCACATTTTCGACGATATTTAGTAAGGCTCTTTGTCTTTGGCAAATAAGATTACCACCCACATATTAGGTCAATCTGACCTCTCACTCCCCAGATATAGAACATCAAAGTTTTACCTGGCAAGACCACTTGGTGACTCTCTAGTTATCGATTTAAAGCTTTCGTGACTGCGGGGATTCATCTTCTTGGTTCGTTCGGTAAAGTCACGTAGAATGGAAATAATAAAATAATAAAAATAAAACATAATAAAATAATTCTCACGACGTTTCAGCCACAATGCAAGCAGCCGTCCTCAGGTGGAGAACAGGTCTGTCGAGAAGACAGAGTCTGAATGTCTTCTCGACAAACCTGTTCTCCACCTGAGGACGGCTGCTTGCGTTGTGGCCGAAACGTCGTGAGAATTATTTTATTATGTTTTATTTTTATTATTTTATTATTTCCATTCTACGTGACTTTTCCGAAAGAACCAAGAAGATGAATCTCTAGCTATCGTTCCTTCCTTCAGTTGACGTAGATAGGTGAGTGAGTCTCGTGTCATTTTAAAGCTCTAGAAGAGAGCTATATATCTTTTTTTATTCTATGGAAAAACTGAGACATGGAGGACAAAAGGTAAAAAAAAGAATACATAGCCCCAATTTTTATTGAGTTGGCTTGGGATGACAGATTACGAGATGTCAACAGTGGTCATCCTATGAAGATTATAGACCCTGCCATGAGTTATATGGAACTTATATACCTGGCCGATTGCATCCACCACAGTTTAACACCACATCTTTGCTCCTTTGCGTGAAGAACAATATGATGTTTGACTTTGAAAATGCGTTGACAGAATTTCCCTGGCCGCTCGCTGTGTGTACGAATGCAGGCAGATGTGCTCATTGTGCCCCGCGACGATCCCACCGACAATTCTCCGTACACGCACCAGTTTGGCCTGTGTGGGGAACCTGGCCAGTACATTCACCTCACTCCAAACTTCCTCCTGACCAACCACTACTTGGAAGCATACGGCCCCCGAGGTACAGTGACTCAGAGGTTACATTAACAAATCCAAGCAAATTTCGATTTAAAGCTTCTTTCGTGACTGCAGGGATTCATATTCTTGGTTCTTTCGGTAAAGTCGCGTAGAAGGGAAATAATAAAATAGTAATAAAATAAACATATAAATAAAACAATAAAAATTATCACGACGTTTCGACTGCCACACAAGCAATCATCATCAGGTGTGAAATCCACAGCAAGACATTTTTTTATTTTTTTATTTCCCTTCTCCGTGACTTTACCGAAAGAACCAAGAATATAAATCCCAGCAAGTCTCTCAAGCAGATTATATGATGTCAGCAGCATTTTTTGGACCTCTGTTATGAACAGAGGTTGGCACTTTTACGACGAGGCATGAATATTTAAATTTGTCCATTAACTCAACTGCCTGACTCAGAATGCAATATTTTTTTTCTAATGGATGTTTATTTTTCGTTATTATCCAGGCCAAATGCAAGTGTGTGTATTGTGTAATAAATCAACTCGGCCTCAAATGAGTACCTAGTGCGATGTGTAAACATCGCCACGAGGGAGACAAAAGCGACGGGCATGGTGCTGGCCAACCACCCCCTCATGTGCCGTACTGACCTTCATAAGCGCTCGTTAACAGCACTTTCCCAAACAGTCTGTTAAGGTTATAAGGGATTCACTTTGTCTTTATGTTGTGTCCCAGGAAAAGTCTTTGTCCATGAATGGGGCCACCTCCGTTGGGGACTTTATGATGAATACAACGATCAAGTGCCCTTCTATTTGGATAAAGGCAAAATCGAGTTTACAAGGTCAGTGTCATGTTTATTCTCCACCGCTTCCTGCATTTTATGTAGCCAGCAGTTAGAGCCTTTAACATTTCATGTTGATTGAACCCATGCAATGAGTTAATCATCTCAAGTAGCAGATACAACCTAGGGGGGGGAGGAGGGGTTTCACCAGCACTCCAGTTTTACGTAAACATGTTTGTTGGAGATATCACAGCGTTAGATTTCTCGTGCACTTTGTCACTCTTTTCTGTTTACATAGCTCTAATATTTTTGCAAACTTTATCTGATGAATTGCCTTTTAAGAGCAAATAATAATGATCATTCATAGCCCCTTTGACAATTCAACGCTGATGTGTTCGTCATGGGAATTGTTTGGCCACACTTGGTCAGTGTGGATTGTTGACAAAGGGATGTGGTGGAGTCCAAGCGGTACGTTCAGATATAATCCGCCACTGATGTTAGCTGTAACTGGGAATGAAACACGGGTCACTGGGTTCATAGCACAGCACGCTAAGCATTGTGCAACCATTACCCTGAAATCAACAACAATATTGTTATAGATTCTAGGAGGGGGAAAAATCACATAAACACATAAAAACCATAATAGTTATCATAAAAGTTAAAAACATTCATAATATTGAGGAATGTATATCATGCAAAGAAACTGAAATATACAACTGATTTAAACTGAGACACTTCTGTCTTACTCTAATTGTTAAGTTGACATGTATACCTTCACCGCACACAGGTGTTCCAAAGACTTAACGGGTGGTCACGTGATGGTGATGAGAAACGGTAGCGTCTCTACACGCAATTGTAACATTGATCCCAAGACGGGCCTTCCAGAAGAAGGATGCACATTTTTCCCAGACGTGGATCAGACAGCATCAAGCTCCATCATGTCCATCCAGGCCCTCGACAACGTAAGCTCCTGGCCCAGATACGAAACGCACTTTAACATCTGAAAATTGCAGTAGATCCACCGATCATCATCGTGTATCCATTATCATCATCATCATCATCAGCCATAATCTATCCACTGCTGGATGAAGGGCTCCCCAAGCCATCGTGCCATATCATCAGGGTCTTGCGATGCAACAGTCCATCTTAGCTCCTGCATGTGTTCTGAAATCATCACTCCACGACTGTGGTGGTTGTCCTCTTGGGCATTTTTCCTCCTTTTGCTGCCACCAAACTTAAATCGTCATTGTCTCTTCTTAGTCCTTGTCCTCCCATGCTATCAGGCACTTTGATCTATCCTGCGCACGGTGTTTCTAGGGCTTATATATGTTAAAATATAAGGGCTTTAATATTTGATGTTATGAAATATTGAAGTGTCTATTTAGGCCGATCTCCCGCACATGAATATGAACGTAGTTGCCAGTATATGTTAAGAATTGTGAATGAATATTCATGGTGGTAGTCTACAAGGCAGTTTATTGTGGCTTCTTATTAAACCACAACTATATAATGCCAATTTTGTCCCAGATGATAACAGATCGAAACATCATTTTACTTTCCTCACCTTTTAAGTATTGGATAAATACACGTAAATATCAATTTGTTGTTGTCACAAAATTACAGGTTATAGTCATGGCAGTGGATACCGAGTCGTTCTCAAAATGAAATAATAAAACCAAAGTATTCATCTCCATCAGTCAGTCTGAGCCAGTGGTTGAAATTCCACATTACTGAGACAGGGGACAGGCTTTGCAGAGGAAAACCCACTGTTTATTTCCAGCATTATTACTCACTTCATCGACTCCATTGGTATAATGGACTGAGTTGACCCATGGCCATGATTTGAACTCACAAGGTAGAACATATTTTTAAAAATGCATTCTTATTTCTGGCATGTTTCCACACTTGTGGGGGTCCAACTTGTGGGTCCTCTCTCTCATACTCATTCCGATCCTGGGCTATCTCCACGCCCAACGCCTTCTTCTGCTTTAGTGCTGCCTAACGGCGTGTGCGACTTCACGATGATATTGGTCCCGGTCTAGCACGGCGTGTAGAGTTTGTGCTGTTGTTAATTGTAGCCATGTTTTGATGTTACTGAGCCATGTCGTTTTTGGCCATCCTGGTCGTTTTTTCCCTTCAATTTTTCCTTCCAGGCTTTGCTTTAATAGCTGGTATTTGTGGTCGTTTCGGGCAATGTGGCCTAGGTAGTAACACTTCCTGCTAATGATGGCCCAACGCCATATTCACTTAAATCGTGTTTCACCAGCCAGAACCACCTCGTTTTATACCAGGCTCTCAGTCTCATCCTTCTTAATATTTAAATCCGCGCAGTTGAATAACGTCAAAAGTGTTCACAATCTTCCTTTTGTTCTTCCATGTTCTCACCTTTCCCCCTATGTGGTTTCCCTCCCTTATTTACAACTGGTTTCAGCTTGACTGAGATGGGTACCACTACTTACCTCTCTCTCCCTTGTCTCTTCATTTCTGGCCCTGATCCAGCCCTTGTAATTCTTGAGATTCCATCGTCTCGTCCTAAATTTCCGTTGTGCACAACATCCATCATTAATACGTGCAACATTTTAAAGTCTTGATTTGAAGCTTTCGTGACTGCAAGGATTCATATGCTTAGGTTTTTTCGGTAAAGTCACGTAGGTAAAAATTTTAAATAAATGAAAGTAAAATAAAATAAAAATCACGACGTTTCGGAGGCAACACAAGCTTCCGTCTTCAGGTGGAACCGTCACAGCACACTTGCTGTACTTGAAGACAGGAAGCTTGTGTTGCCTCCGAAACGTCGTGATTTTCATTTTATTTGACTTTTATTAATTTTAATTTTTTACCTACGTGACTTTACCGAAAAACCTAAGAATAACATTTTTAAGGACTGTCAATGCTATATTAACCAGAGGCATTAACACGGATGAACCTTTGGCCGCTATAACTGCAGGTCAAAGAATTCTGCTCTGTAAACCAACACAACAAGGCCGCTCCCACCCTCCATAACCGTCTGTGTGCCTCGAAGAGCACATGGCAAATCATGCAGCGGCACAACGATTTTAAGCTGAAAATAAAACTGCCGGTCGGAACGGACACGCAGCCGTCATTTACGCTCCTGCAGCCCACATCCCGCGTCGTCACTCTCGTCTTGGACGTGTCTGGCAGCATGAACGAGGTGAGCGCATTTACAGTGATCACATTCGGGTCCTTGTACCATGCACTGAACATACTAGGCTCACCCTGCCAGCAGTACAACATCTCAAAACGCCGGTGTAAACAGGTGACTATCAAATGTGATTACGTTCATCAGATGTAAACTAAATGTATCAACAGATTTCGTATATTATTTTCAGCTTTGAAACTAGCTTAAAACCATCCTGATAATTTTAATCTTTTGATTAAAAGAGGTCGCGGGTTTAATTCCGTCTCGCATGGAAACAATGGAAAGGTTTCTTAAATCCCCCCCCCTACCTTTGTTCACCCTGCAGTATAAACGGGTACCCGACAGTCAGTCAGCAGGTCACGTGAGGTGGGGAAAAGTGTAGGCACACTCGCAAACTCTTCCACGACGTCTGGCCAATATGGAAGATTATGCCAAATTTCCCCCAGAAGAGCCCTACAGAGCTCTCTTTAGTAGAGTCTCTTATGCCAGCAAGGGCTATAGCCAGGGTAGCAACTATGGGGGGGGGGGGGGTATGCGGTGGCGTTACGCAACGCATAAGGCCACAAGGAGGGCCCTGAATAAACAGATAAGCAAGTAAAATTTTTTTAGAGAAATAACAAAATAATTCCAACAATGAACCATACATGTAAAACAAGTAAACCCGTAAAAACTAAGTTTTTAACCATAAATCCTTTATATGCGTGGCGGCTAGAGTCCTCTCGTCCTCTGGCTTGAGATGGCTGCCACCTATGGGTCAGATGATTGTCTGCCACCATTAAGCAATTGGTAATTAAATATTTAATTTGTTTTCCCTAAACATTGTAAAAAATTTGATTTTTTTTCGCGAAAATTAATTGTCACATACAACGAGTCTGTGTGGAAAATGTCAGCTCGATTGGATTACGGGAAGTGGGTTAAAAAACGAGCGAAAGATTTGCACGGTCCTAAGCAAGCAAGCACGCAAGCACGCGAACTTAATATAAAGGATTTAAAAAACATCGTTACAAATGGGAAAAACAACATTTTCGAAAAATGCACACACAGCGTAGAATATAGTAGCGATGCTACTGGTGTTTGCTGCTGAACACCACCAGGCTTTTTTTGGTAACTGACATAAGCATGAAAGCAAGACGCATGATAACTTAATTGTGAGTATTGTACCTTTAAACTTTTTAAGTCCTTTATATTAAGTTCACTTGCTTGCTTGCTTAGGACCGTGCAAATCTTTCGGTCGTTTTTCAACCCACTTCCCGTCATCCAATCGAGCTTACATTTTCCACACAGACTCGTTGTGCGTGACAATTAATGTTCGTGAAAAAATGTTTCCTCAATTTTACACTTTTTAGGACAAAAATATAATATTTAATTACCAATTGCTTAATGGTGCAATGCAATCATCTGACCCATATGTGGCAGCCATCTCAAGCCAGAGGACGAGAGGACTCTAGCCGCCACGTATATAAAGGATTTATAGTGAAAAACTTTGTTTTTACGGGTTATACTTATTTATTAATACTGTCACTGTGAGATTGCCTTCCTCTAAACCTAATGCAACTCAAATAACATATATAGAGTGATAGGCTACCATTATTGTATATGGGTTAAAAACATGCAGGTGCCCAGAGTCGTATTTTGCCAACCCCTGTGGAACTAGGTAAGCCCATACTTAAGAACTGGTTTCTGGAGGATCATGAATGCTGCCGCAGAACACAGAAGTGAAACCCCCTGTGGTAAGAGGTTGTAGAGAAGTAATGCTGGGGACAATGAGCCGAGCTATAAAGCTGTTCAAACACAGAAAGTGCGTGCGACGAGGGAGAAAGTTGGCGGAGATATTGACTACTTTAATCTTAAAAACCGACATACCTAGGTCTGTCAATAGAAATATTCTCAGCAGCCCTGGCCACTTTGTGTCACTTTGGAAATTAGACTATCCTCATCTCTTGAGTTCTCACCGGATTAAGCAAAATAAACGTGAAAACTTGAACGCGCATCAGAATTCAGCGTGGAATATACTTGATGACGTGTTGGCTTCTGTGCGCGTGCATGCAGGCAAACCGTTTGCAAAGGATGCGGCAGGCATCTGAGAATTTCATCATGAAAATTTTGGACGCAGGAACATTGATAGGGATCATCGTTTTCAACAGCGGAGCAAGAACGAACCTTGCTATGACGAGAATAACCGACGAAGCGAGCCGTGTGGCAATTAAAAACTACCTCCCCACAAGTGTCAACGGAGGAACCAATGTGTGCGCGGGAGTCAGGCATGCCTTTCAGGTGACCCCAGAAGACTGCGTCATTTATTTTTTCACTGCAAGTCACCAGCACCCGATAATGGGCAATATTGAAGATTTTAAACAAGATTTTTGACATTTAATTACATAATGGCTCATACAGGGGTGATTTGATGTGTTTGCAGGTTCTAAGGGCGCTGGATGGTGATGTGTCTGGAGATGAGATTGTTTTGCTGACTGACGGTGAAGACTCTGGTATCAGCAGTTGTGTTGATGACGTCCAAAATAGTCAATGCACCGTACACACCATAGCCCTGGGACCAAACGCGGACCCAGCACTTGAGAAACTAACCAGCGCCGGTAAGCCACAAAAAAACTGTAAAAAAAAACTGGGAATTTTTCAATCGTTTGTGACCAATTCTCTCGGGAATATTTACGATCTCGCTTGATTTCTGAAGCGAAGCAACTATTAAAACCCCGGTTAGTATTTGGGTGGGAGACCGCCAGAGCTTGCAAGACATTGTTGCCGTTGGTGGTTGCGATGATCAGGAGATTACAGTGTTTGTGTGCCACCCCTTCGCGTGCGTAGGTTTTATTGGGGTTCTTAAGTTTCCTCTAGACCAAAACCGAACACTCATTAAATGGCATTGGACAAACATCCCAGCAAAGGAACCTCTTTAAATAAGTCACGCATCTCCGTCGGTTACATATATCTCTTGTGGTTGCCTTTCTGGAGTGACTCATGCAGCCAGGTATGGCTGCAGGGTTTTGGTGGTACATGTTGTTTATGCCATTTATTGAGAAAATTCCGTCACAGTTCCTATGATCACTGTTTCATTGCTTCCATGGCTTTATTTTGGTGATTTCGAAAAGTGTATTGGTTTAGCCATGTTTGTTTGTTGTAGTACAGAGTTAGACTGATGGCCTTAATCTAAGTTGTCTTGTGATTGTTGTTGTTGTTATTTGACTTGCATCCCACTGAGATTTTTGCACACAGCGTTGGTGTACGGTGATTTTTTTTTTGTTCATGTTTTTGTTTTTTGTTTGTTGCGGTTGCACCCGATTCAAGAGCCGAATGGCTCACAGGGCTATACCTAATAAATGAACTTGAACTTGAACTGTCACCTTTTTGGTGGCAAGACGGGATGGAGCTGCATAAAGTCAGAAGCGATTTGCATGCGGCAATCCATGTGCCACCAATTCCGCACCAGGAACAGAAATTGCTCCACCAGTGCCTTGTGGCACGATCGTGGAATGATCCAAAGTGGGCCAGCTTTAGGGTGGAGCCGACAAATATCAGAGAGCAAACGCACAATCTCAGATTCTCCTCGATACTCCGACTGCTATACCGACGGTGGGATCTCTTCTGCGGAAGGGAGCTTCGCCCTTAATTCTAGATTTGAAGCTTTCGTGACTGCAAGGATTCATATTCTTAGTTTTTTCGGTAAAGTCACGTAGGTAAAAAAATGAAATTAAAATTAATAAAAATAATAAAAATCACGACGTTTCGGAGGCAACACAAGTCTCCGTCATCAGGTGGGACCGTCACAGCCAGATTTTGCTGTATCAAGTGAGGCCTCATGTGTTAATCAAGTGAGGCCTCACTTGATACAGCAAAATCTAGCTGTGACGGTCCCACCTGATGACGGAAACTTGTGTTGCCTCCGAAACGTCGTGATTTTTTATTATTTTAATTAATTTTAATTTCATTTTTTTACCTACGTGACTTTACCGAAAAAAATAAGAGTAGGAACTCCGCCCGTTCGACCCAGCGGAAATCGGGCCAAAATCCAGCAAGTGAAACGAGGCGTAATCAGTTGTGAATGGACTTCCACACGATACCGGAATTCTGCGAATGTGTGGAAACATAGGAGGCTCCACGTCAATCGAGCCCTGCATGGCTTTGCTCGTTAAATAATGGCATACGCAAAGTTGTGATGGTTAGAGGCTGTTTTACACCACATTTGTTACTGGTAGGAACCTCCTGGTTACACCAGCCCACAGGGGATTATTGTGTCCGTCCGCCGTGCATCCATAAATGGGAGGGGTGGGGCTGGGTGGAGAGGAGAGGGTGGGGAGGGGCTGGGAGGGGAGGGTTGGGAGGGGCCAGGTCGGGAGGGGAGGGTGGGGAGGGGCTGGGTGGGGAGGGTGGGGCTGGGTGGGGGGTGGGGCTGTGTGGGGAGGGGCTGGTCACCCCGTGGTGCCCTCATAAAACTCAACGTTTAACCTACTCACGCCGGCTTGTGCCCGCCCTCATAGTCGGCCATATTTGCGGAATACACCACGCCGCCGTAGACCCTGGCCATTGACCGAGCAACCCAACGTTCCTACCAGCCCCCTCCGCAGGAATGTGTTAATCAAAAGCACAGTACCTTGAGGTAGACTGCTTACCTATTGTACATTCTCCAAATGATAATACCAACTCAAGCCGTGATTTTTTGAATATGTAATGATTTATTTTTTAAATACATTGCTCTGTTTTATTTTGGCAGAGAGATATTACCATTTACACCGACATCTAGTTATAACACGACCTTTCTCAGGAGGTGAAGTGTATTGGTACAGTAGCAGTTGCGCAGCAGGGCTGGCATGGGTGCTGGTGCAAAGAATGCAAAACGGTGCTCCCTGCAACATATGCCCATTCTCCGTAGCTAGGTGTCCTGGCCCCCATGGTGTGCCCCAGCGCAGTTGCACTGCCTGCGCACTTGGTAGCTACCCCACTACGCATGGGAAGAGGAAGATACGGAACGTAGAGATTGCAGCGACATGAACGTGAACATCGCTCGCATGAATTGCACATTGTTTTTTTGTGTTTTTTTTTTACTCGATGCAATGTTTTCGTGTAGGAGGCATGACTTTTTCTGCCAGTGACAACTTGGACACAAACAGTCTCGTGGACGCCTTCTCATCTGCGAAGACAGACGATGGCGATACAAGCTCTCTTGTGCTACAGGTGATGACGACAACAGAGATGAAGAATAAGAAGAAGAAGCAACCCAAATTCGCGTTCACTTTCATCGCGCCAACACTCGGCGCTGCGGAGGCGAGATGTTAACCACCTCACCTGGTATACAGGAGGTCATGGCTTTGATCCTGACACTGACGCCTGTATATTTGAAGTTTGCATGTTCTCCCCGTGGTCACGTGGATTTTTCTCCGGGACCTGCGGGTTTTCCCTCCACATTTAGAAACATGCGTTCAGGTTGTTTGGCTGCTATAAATGTCCACGTGATAAGCCACTTCGTTGAGTTGTTATTTGTGGCCAAATCGCTTCTGAAAAATATCTAAATAGCTCAGTGGGCCTTACCAGTAAATAAAAAATTTGTTTAGTTTTTTTATTTTGGCTGCTTTCTAGCTATCCACTGGGTGGTTGAAAAATTCGACTTTTAAGAGACACAGTAGCACTCTAACGACATCGTTGTGCTAGTGTCAATACAATGGCACTGCAGATGTTGTTAAGCGTGTATAAAAGTCATTATAGACAATCATTAACAAAGCTTCATACATATGTCTGTAACTTCAGGACACACCGCATAAGCAAGGGTAAGGATTTGCATTTACACGGTCTATAAATGTCTCAGCAACACTACGTTCCTCACTATATGTCATTAGAACCATTTATATAGCCAAGGGGGACCCCCAGTGGCAGCTGCCCCTATGTAGTACAAGGTGAATGCAGCATCGGCCTGCAAATTGGCCTTAGGAGACGATGTTGTTGTGATTTTTCCCAATACTTCTTCTAATTTCGTTTGGCTGATGTAGATGCAGAGCAACGACTCCAATTTCACATTCATGTGGTCAAGCCAGATAACCGCATCAGGAGTAGCGGAGTGTATCGCTGTGATGTCTTCCTTCGTATTCGTGGATCGGGCATCGCGTCGTTACGTGTTGTACGGTCTGTTCTGGATGACCACAGTCGCACACTGGATAGTTTTTAATGTTACATTTGTGCATCAATTAAGCACGGTAAATTGCAAGTAGTTTAATCAACTTTGGGAAAGATACCTAGGATAGCTATTTGTCTTTTGGCTTACCTCCTATTTTAACGCTTGCCTAAAATCTCGCATCTCTTTCCACGATTCCGTCAACGGTTGCCACGCGGTCATTGCTGAGTATTCTAATTTTGTACGTGCGTGTGCTTCTCTCGGTAGCTGGAAAGCACAGGTCAGTCCCTCAACAGTGGTGAGACAATGAAAGGGGAAATTCAAGTGGATGCCTCCATTGGGAACAACACCCAGTTTGTGGTCACGTGGCTGGCAAGCACCGTGCCAGAGATGCACATTATTGACCCAGACAACTTTGATTATCAAAACAACAAGTTTGTCATCGATACGGCGTTCAAGACTGCACGGTTAACAATCAAAGGCACTTCAAAGGTGAGAACAACGTATCAACTGTCATTGCCAGTAGATTATAAAAGAGAAAATATGCTTGCATAGTACTGAGAGACATTCATTTGTCAAGACAGCATACAGCTACATATTGTACACTATGTCATTAGCTGCATAGAGTCATCATCGTCAGCCAATGACTAGCCCTACCTCGCTCTACGCCGTTTGCATCTTTCATGGTCCTTCGATGTCTTAAGGGGCCGTCCATAAATGACGTCACGCACCTGGGGGGGGTCAGACATTTGTGACGATGTGTGACAAGTGGGGGGAGGTTTGAGAAATGTGACATCACATCAAAATGCGCATTTTTAAATAAATATAGACAACGCGTTCTACTTAATTAAATAGACTATTTAATAAATGTTTTCTCCTGCAACATCAGAGTGCAGCGCCACATTAAATACGCACTACAATGGAAATAGTTTAAAGCGATTTGAAGCATGTTTTATTTTTTTTTGGGGGGGGGGGCAGAGCTTTGTGACGTCATATTTGAGGGGGGGGTCTGACTTTTTGTGACGTCGTGTGACGATGGGGGGGGGGGGTAAAAAAATCGTCCAAAATCGCGTGACGTCATTTATGGAGGGCCCCTAATGCCATCTCACTCATGCGCACGGTCTGATTCCGTTGTTCACATCCCCATGGTGGTCATCCATTTTGGGTGTTGCCTCTCTCCATTGGCTGCCGTTCCATCGCCAGTCTCTTCCACCGACCCATCGTCCCTTCTAACCACGACGTGCCTGGCCCATGCCCACTTAGGTTTCTTAAGTCAGTGTCATATCATAGCATCAAGTCTGCATTCAGCACACGTATTTGTGGCTAAACATGCCAACAAACATGCTCTGATAATATGGTTAATGCAGAGTTGACGCCTTTTCAAAAGGAATCTATTTGGCGTTTGAACATCGTAACACCTGTTTTATTGCCATAGTCTTATTTTTCATCATTGATACTGGCAAAAAGGTCCCCGTAGATAGTCAATAATTTGTCTCTAATTCGTGCTTTGTTCCCTGAATCCATTTCTTCCTCAAAAGTGTAATTCAATGCATGCATCTGCCCATGTTCACTCTTCAAATTTATATTCTTGGTTCTTTCGGTAAAGTTACGTAGAATGGAAATAATAAAATAATTCAAATAAAACAATAACATTCTCACGACGTTTCGATTGCAACACAAGCAATCGTCATCAGGTGCGAAACCCACAGCAAGAAAATTCGAAAAAAATTGCCGTGGTTTTCACACCTGATGATGATTGCTTGTGTTGCAATCGAAACGTCGTGAGAATTTTTTTGTTTAATTATTATTATTTTATTATTTCCCTTCTACGTGACTTTACCGAAAGAACCAATACAATGAATCCCTGCAGTCACGAAAGCTTTAAATCTTCAAATTTAGTTTGCCTTTTAATTTTCATTGTCCACGTTTGCGATCCGCGTGCCATAGCTGGCAATTTGCGCCAATTGAAAACTTTTCTCTCAATTCACAACTTGGTTTGCTGCTTGTTACGATCAAATTACATTTTCTAAAAACACTCCGGCCTGCTCTTGTTTATCTATCTCTTTTAAACTATAATTTTGATCGCTATCCACTTACAATTATTGCTCAATGCATAATATATTCTGCTTTGTTTTCAGTCATACCTGTAAACTTATATGGTTTTTCCGTATTCTTGTACAGGGAAATTTAGTTTTCAGGTCCATACGACGTACAGCCATTTCAATACGGGCAAAAAAAACTATCTCCCTTGTGATGGGACTTTGTAGAATGAACGTTGAGATTTATAAGTGTACGGGGTGACCAATAAGGTCTAAATTAGTCTGTAATAAGGTAGGCACTGATAGGGGGTTGACAGGCATGTCACATTGTTGTGCTCCAACTGTTATATATTTTTTGTTTAACCAACTCAATGTGACTTCCATTTTGTTCATACGTATGCCGAGTCAAACTCTGCGGTATTCCTTAATTAAGTTATGTATTCGATCTCTGAATACATACTCGTATTTTGGAAGCTCTATACAATGCTGCACATTGTATAAGACAAATTATATTTGCCATTCCTGCCGGTCTGCATAATTACAATTAATAATATATCATACCTATAAGCACACAACTTCTTAAGCAAGTCCTTCTAGATTATATCCATTATTATATCCATTCACAAGACTGCTGCTAAAGACTGATTACTATACTTGGAAATTACACCAATTGTCCTGCAGTCGTTGGGAGGAAAGGAACAGCTTGACAATTGAAATAAATGGCCTTATTCAGGGCACAATGAGAGTCTTAAATATCCTAGAGAGGGTGGGTGGAGGTATTTTGGAAGGGTTTTTAAAAATACATTCCAGGAGATAATATGTAAATGTTCTCACTGAAGTGCATTTTGTGTGTATGTTGAGTGTGTTGTCCTTCCCCTGCACCTCCGATTATAAATATCACTGATTGTCTATGTACTATGCAAAAGAAGTTCAACATACATACAATAACATTTCTGAGTGTGGGAAAATCCGTTCAGGGATCTTAACAGTTGTCCAAGATTTATGCTTTATTTAAATGTGTTGACGTAAACAGGCCATAAATATCGATTAGGAATCCGTGACACAGTAAGTGTATCCTGCAATCCCGCATGAGTGAAAGCCACGATCTGAAATGCCAACTGTTGTTTGTACTCTTGCGTAGGCTTCGTGCTTGTGCTGTGTAGTTCTCTGTTGTGCATTGGGGTCATACAAGGGCATGTTCGTCTTTGGCACGGTGTCCAACGTTTTGCTCTACGGCTCGGGAGCTTGTTTATGGAAGTAAATTGAGCCCCCTCTCGATTCAGTCCCAGCAGATGGAGCGAAACGTCGGACATCATGCCGAACCACAACGCTGTAAACCCCAACGGCTAAACGTAGAAGTATTGTAAAAGTGTTTTTTTTTCTTAATACGTATTTTTCTTATATTTATATTCGCAGCCTGGTACGTGGACGTACAAATTAACGAACAAACACTCGATCAAAGACAACATTGCGATCTCGATCACGAGCAGCCAGTCCAACAGTAACCTCCCACCTATCGAGGTGAAAGTCGTCAAGCCAACGGATAGCAACGAAAAGCTGAACGCCATGCAGGTGTTCGCGGAGGTCAAGCAGGGCAGTACGCCCGTCGTGGGCGCCACCGTCATCGCCACCATCGAGAGGCCCCGCGAAAAGCCTCTCGATCTGCAGCTGTTTGACAACGGGGCCGGTGCGTTCTGTGGGCTGTCTGAGGCGTTGTTAGCTGGCGTGAGAGAAAAGGGTTTCCCATGAAAGTGAACATTGTTACGTAACGTTTTAGAATGAGCCTTTAAGGATGATTGTAGCCAATCTGTAAATAGATGAGCACCAAAGTTCATCCGAACAAAACAAAAAACTATGTTGCGTCCATTAGCCTATGGGCGCTCTTGACCATGTTCATGTCTTTTTGTTTGTTGCGGTTGCACCCGATTCACAGGGCTATACCTAATAAATGAACTTTGAACTTTGACCAGACAACAGCAGAAGTATATTTTGTTTGTTTTCGCCAGGCCTGTTCTGCTCCGATCCCATAATCGGCATAACTGAATCTGGAGTTTGTAAAACATGACCAGAAATTACTGGGTGTCCAAAAAGGGGGGGGGGGGGGGAGTCAGACATTTGTGACGATGTGTGATGAGGGGGGGGGGGTGAGAAAGGTAACGTCACATCAAAATGCGCAACTTTAAATAAATATAGACAACACGTTCTCCTTAATTAAATAGACTTTGTAATAAATATTTTCTCCTACAACATCAGAGTGCAGCGTCACATTAAATACGCACTACAATGACAATAGTTTAAAGCGATTTGAAGCATGTTTAATTTGGGGGGGGGGGGGCAGAGCGTTGTGGCGTCATATTTGATGGGGGGGTCTGACTTTGTGTGACGCCGTGTGACGATGGGGGGGGGGGTGGGGGTCAAAAATCGTCCAAAATCGCGTGACGTCATTTATGGACGGCTCCTATGTGATGTAACGAGCCCGTGTATTGCCTCAATAAAAACAAGCAATATCAACAGAATGTAACATTTCCACCACTGGTTCAGAGCAGTAAACAAGAGATGAGAAATCATTCAATGCGCATTTGAGCACGACGTCAACTTTGATATCCTATGTATACAGCACTGGGTATAGACCATGCACAGACCACGATAAATTCAGCATTTCCCATTACATCCCTGCACGTGTCACGTAGAACTGGGAAATACAGCACCACATCTAAAGCATAACTTACGTACAGCAAATCTGTCGGATTCAGAATGCGCCTTTAAAATGTCATTGATATTTTGAATACCACCGTGTGATAATCGGTAACAAATATAGCTCGTGGCAATTTTAACTACGTGCAATATATGGCCCTTTGTCAATCTACTGCTGCACGAAGGTTTGTCGATAGCATATCGGTTCATGGGCGTTGTTTTACACTGCCCACTAAAGCAGCTGAATGAAGTGAAGGGGGGAGGGGTGGACCAGCACTGATGATAATATCGCTGTTGATGTGAGCCGCGGCTGGGAATTTAACTCAGGTGGCCAGGTTCGTAGTGCAGTGCACTTACTGCTGCGTCGGAGTTCATGACGCTGCACAAAAATTCAAGCAAATGCCATGATTTACATGAAGTACCCTTCTGCTGTGTGCAGGTGCTGACGCCAAAAAGAATGATGGAATTTATTCCAGATTCTTCGCACAGTTTACGGCAACTGGCCGATACAGCTTAAAGGTCAAGGTTGTAGGAGATAACAAAACGACACGTCTGGCCCCACAGAGAGGCTCGCGGTCCCTCTACATTCCAGGGAAACGAAAGGCGAATGGTAAGAACAATAATCCGAATCTGGATTTATCCTGGAGGAATCCGATGAGCTGTTAAGATTTTTTTTCGCACATGTCCAGTAGGTGCGTGTCAGCAAATTACAGAATGGTAAGAAACCAGGGGCCCCTTGCAGCACATCAGTGCAAGGACTGGGTACAGTTTAACTTTTAAATTTAGTTTATTCCCATTTGTTACTTATTTTGTAAACACTCTATTGCTTTTGCACTTTGTGTTTTTTTCCTCGAATAACATCCTTACTGAGTAATGAACTCAAATAGCTCTGTTCTGGCACCTCGAGATTAACTTCATGGGAGGTGCGGTATAAATGGTAACTGATGATGACGATGATGATAATTACGCAAAACAAAATGAGATATTTGTAATGATTTTTTGTGGTATAGTGAATGTGTTGTTTATATATTTACATGACTATGGCGAATGTTTCCCCGAATTTTCTTATATTATGCGAAATGTACTCAAGTTAGGTTGTGCAGTTTAAATGTAAATGATGTTTTTTATAGGCCAGTTGATTGTGCACAGTCACGGAATTTGATCATTTCCCAAAAGCCTATGAAATTGGTTTAATCAAGGCTCCCATGATCAAAATTTACATTGCAAAATGTAAATTTATATATATTGCATTGGGTATGAATACTTACCCGGACTCACACTAATGCCTTTATTGATCAGTAAACAAATAATTTACACGTGTTAAAAATCTGGCTTGCATATGTGGAGTAGTAACACGCGCGGGGGTTTGCACACAGTGTGCGCACACGTGTGACAGTGAGGTCACGTCAGGGCGAACAGGCGCAGACAGGGAGGGTAGACACTAGACAGGCTAGCAGTAGAGAGGCTAGCGGAATCCGAAGTGTGAGTGTGATAAGGCTAGCAGTAGAGAAGCTAGCAGAGTGTATAGCAAGAGGCTAGCAGTAGAGAAGCTAGCAGAGTGTATAGTGAGAGGCTAGCAGTAGAGAAGCTAGCAGAGTGTATAGTGAGAGGCTAGCAGTAGAGAAGCTAGCAGAGTGTATAGCAAGAGGCTAGCAGTAGAGAAGCTAGCAGAGTGTATAGTGAGAGGCTAGCAGTAGAGAAGCTAGCAGAGTGTATAGCAAGAGGCTAGCAGTGGAGAAGCTAGCAGAGTGTACAGTGAGAGGCTAGCAGTAGAGAAGCTAGCAGAGTGTGTAGTGAGAGGCTAGCAGTAGAGAAGCTAGCAGAGTGTATAGTGAGAGTGTAGCAGTAGAGAAGCTAGCAGAGTGTATAGCAAGAGGCTAGCAGTAGAGAAGCTAGCAAAGTGCAACATAGCAGGCTAGCGGAGCGAGAGAAAGCGAGCGGAGCGTAGCAGACGAGCAGTGCAAGAGGAAGAGTTGCCACAGAGATACGCGGGTGGTGAACGCGATGAGTTCTGTACGACTTAAGTGACACAATTTCGATTTAAAGCTTTCGTGACTGCATGGATTCATCTTCTTGGTTCTTTCGGTAAAGTCACGTAGAATGGAAATAATAAAATAATAAAAATAAACATAATAAAATAATTCTCACGACTTTTCGACCACAACGCACGCAGCCGTCCTCAGGTGGAGAACAGGTCTGTCGAGAAGACAGAGTCTGAATGACACACCCCAGGCTTGGAGCGTCTATTTAAGCTGGGACTCTGTCTTCTCGACAGACCTGTTCTCCACCTGAGGATGGCTGCATGCGTTGTGGCCGAAACGTCGTGAGAATTATTTTATTATGTTTTATTTTTATTATTTTATTATTTCCATTCTACGTGACTTTACCGAAAGAACCAAGAAGATAAAGTGACACAGTTGTCCGCGTGAAATAACACCGCTAACACATCTACAACCTTTGACAGTTTTACCATTTGCCGGAAATTATGTCGAAAGCATTCGGAGTCTGCTGTAATCCTTCCGCAATGTTTTAGTAACTGAATTCAGAAATACCTTGGCCAGATTTATCAAACAACTTTTTGCTTTCAAGTTCTATGCAACCTTCTTCATAACGGAACACACAAGCATCTAATGACTGGCCACCACCAATAGACAATCAAATATAAAGTATGCCCGCATTCTTGTAGAGCTACTGTGCTCATCATGTCATACGTGACAAACATCGGAACGGTGGCTGTATCATTGATAACAGCCGTGTCTCTTATCATTATTGACCCTGGTTTGTCTCTGTATCATTAATAATTCTACTCTGTTACAATTGACTCTGCCATTCCTCTTTTATAACTGACTCTTCTATGTTCTCTGTGTCAGAATTGACTCTGCTCTCTTCTCTGTATCATTAATAACACTGGTCAACAACAACAACATTTTTTTTCTGGCCTGGACTTTTGCAGCTGTTTTAAGCTAATTTCAGAGTGCTGATTCCAAATCTGATCTCAGATTTGCTCTATCACATCTCATTTTATGCTATCAGCATACCCCATTTTCATTGATTTTACCCGAAATTAACTCTGTCACTTATGATTGCAAGTTGTTGCGAGTCAGTGACTGCTTTAGTGTTAAAATATGGTGCTGTATTTTTAGGATAGTGTGTTTATAATAGCATTTTATGTAGATATCCACATTCATTTAATATTTTTCTTCTGCAGTTTTTATTGAAAATGTAATATTTGATATCTCAAAAACCTGATGTGATAGACAAAAACTGATGCCACATTTGAAATCAGCACCCCAAATTTACCTTTAAACCGTTGGAATACCTCATGCCAGAAAAAGTGTGGTGACCAGTGTAATTGTACCCTTGTCATAACTGATTTCGCTTGGCCTCTATTTCAGCTGACTCTACTATGTCTCTGTATCAGAATTGACTCGTCTGCTGGGCTCGGTCCACCAGGTGAACTGCAGGTGACGCAGCTGCCTCCCCCGGTGATCAAGCAGGACCCGACGCCAGTCCCAGACTTCATCCGGGTGGCGTCGGCAGGCTCCTTCCAGGTTGCGGTGCCGCCAGGCGGCATGAAGGATGTCTTTCCGCCGTGCCGCATAACTGACCTCCAAGCTGAGCTGCAGACCTCCAGCTCTGTGACCCTCACGTGGACAGCCCCTGGAGGGGACGGTGACTTTGGACAAGGTACGTAAACAGCGCTTTTAAATCTCGATTGAAAACTAATTTCTTTCGAGCTGCTTTTAGTGTGTTATTTTGTTGTCCCCCTCCCACCCCCCGCACCTGTTGGCTATGTACGGTGCGAAAGAAGTGCAAAATACATACATACCAGGCAATGCAAGTATTTTCCATGGCTTTTTAAAAATAAATATTTATGTTTTGGTCATCGTTTCCCTAATCATATCCCAAATGTGCTATCGGCATCGTGTCGTGATACAACATGTCCATTCGAATCTCTCGCAGGGCCCCTGAAGCCCTCACGTTCGAGAACGACCCGCGTAAGCGGATGTCACAGAGCTACTTCAGAGATCAGTCCACTGTTAGGTGTAGGCTTCTTCACGCTGTTGTGGGTCACGGCAGTTGTTTGACCACGCTTGACGACCTTGGTCAGTGGGAGTTGGTGAAGGGGACACCTGGGACCACTTCAGATATCTCTCACTACTGGTGTTAGCAGTAGTCAAGAATTTAGCTTGGGTCGCGAAAACCAGAGCGCAGTGTGCTAACCGCTGCACCACCACTCCCTGTTGTGGGTGGTTCCCCATGAGACATGTGAAACATTTTCTACAGCGTCTAGCAGCTGCATTCACGTGTCACGTAATTCCAAATTGTAATGCAAAGAGTAATACAATCTTTTTTATGGATTCTTCCTTCAGCTAAATTAAAAATTGTATTTGAGAGAACTTTTTGGGAGGTTTCAAATGTAAGTTTATTATGTTTAACCAGGGTGAGGACTCACAGGAGACAAGTATAGTCTCATTTAAAAGAGTTACCGGAGGAGGAAGGCTTTTTTAGTTATTTCACCGCATTCAGATAATTATAATTTAGGGTAATTTGTGTTGTTGTTGTTGCTTAAACGTCATCTTTTTGCGCGTGTGCAGCCGCAATGTACAGGATCATGATGAGCGACAGCGTTGATGGCGTGCTGAATGGCACGGACTTTCGCTTGGTGGAGAGAGAGGACCTGGCGTGGGGTGATCTGAACGCCCCCGGGGTGGCGGGCAACATCGAGAACTTCACCGTCACGACGACGGAGCTCTCCGCCGGCGACGAGCTGTACTTCTGCGTGCAGGCGATCGACAGCAGCGACAACGTGGCGCCCCTCTCCAACGTGGCCTTCATCACCTACGTCGTCGCTGCGACCACGATCGCTCCGACCACGATCGCTCCGACCACGGTCGCTCCGACCACGGTCGCTCCGACCACGGTCGCGCCGACCACAGCGGCACATGCTGCGTCGCATAGTAACACGAGCACCATCATCGCTGCCGTTGGAATATGTGTCTTGGTGTCGGCGTGCTTGCTCACAGGCATCGTTTACCTAACTAAGAATAGGAAAGGCGGCCATTACCGAATATCGACGCAAGACATGGCTTACCAGGAAAAATTAGGCCAAGTGCAGGCGTTGACCGTTTTGAGTTCGGTGTCCAATTCCCAAGTCGTTGCACCCAATTCATCGCCTGACTCCACGAAAGATGCCTGTGAAATATTACTGTTCAAGGATGCTTAAACTGTTGGAATATTCCCAGTTATCGATATTTCGAGCTGAACATATAGTCTACAGATCAATGGTCACGCCAAATAGCACAATCGTTTGTTTTGACTATCTCCCTTTTTTTTCTGTTTAACCAATAAAAAATATTCTTGTTGTCTAAAAATATATGTAAGATTCCATAATGGCCCAATATAGTATTCTGTTAAGCTGAAACTAACCACATCATAATACTGGTGAGCTAATCCCAAAATATACTCAACCGTTTTATAAACATTATCATGCTTAGGATATTCTCTGACACAGAATCATGGCACACGCACAGAGCTTAGCAAGCAGCAATTCAATTTTGCTTTTGGTATTCATTATCTAAATACACTTATACAGAAGAAAAACATGCTACATAAGTGAGCGTATGTTTACAGCATGTCTAAGCTGTCTACATTGCGACCTGAGCTATGTTGTGATAAAATTAGAGCTCATATCAGCTTCATACTCTTAGTTTTTTCGGTAAAGTCACGTAGGTAAGAAAATTAATTAAAATTAATAAAAAAATAGAACAATAAAAATCACAACGTTTCGGAGTCAACACAAGCTTCCGTCTTCAGGTGAAACCGTCACAGCAAAATATCTGTACCTTATATAGTGGTTAAGGGGGGAGGAGGTAGGAAGGGCAGCGGGGGAGGAGGAGTTGTGAAGTGGTCAATTACTGCTTTTGTTATACTGCTGGGTGAGTAAATGAAATATTGTTATATTTTTTATTAATTTTAATTTCATTTTTTACCTACGTGACTTTACCGAAAGAACTAAGAGTATGAATCATTACAGTCACGAAAGCTTCAAATCTAGAACTCAAATCAGCTGTTAAACAATATGTATGTATGTTGAACTTCTTTCACACCGTACGTAGCCAACAGTGCTCCTCGGAGGTGTGGGGGAAGGACAACAAACTAAACACGAAAATAAGTTCCAAATAAATTAGTTTTCAATTATAGATTTAAAATTTGCATAGTCTCAGTGGCTTCCTAATATCGGAAATAAGTATAACCCGTAAAAACAAAGTTTTTCACTCTAAATCCTTTATATGCGTGGCGGCTAGAGTCCTCTCGTCCTCTGGCTTGAGATGGCTGCCACCTATGGGTCAGATTATTGCCTGCCACCATTAAGCAATTGGTAATTAAATATTTAATTTGTTTTCCCTAAACAGTGTAAAATTTTGGAAATTTTTTTTCACGAACATTAATTGTCACGCACAACGAGTCTGTGTGCAAAATGTCAGCTCGATTGGATCACGGGAAGTGGGTTAAAAAACGACCGAAAGGTTTGCACGGTCGTAAGCAAGCAAGCAAGCAAGCACGCAAGCAAGCAAGCGAACTTAATATAATGGATTTAAGAAGAGCATTCCAGACCACTGCAGAAGCTCACCATAAATCGTGCGATGCGGTGAACATCTTTGTTCGATGGCTATCCAAAAGCGATGCGAGGATGATCTTAGTTCAAGTGACGGTCTGAAGGCACGTTTGCTCACGTGACACATTTATGAACTGGCTGTGTCGAGTGGGTGAGGGTGTATGACACATATTTTACTCACGTGACTTGACCCAAAAATCTATTACAAATCAATTTGCAGCCCTTCGTAAATGCACTGTTGAGTGAAGGCCTCCTCGTGATCACGTGGATTTTTCACCCGGTCCTCCAGTTTTTTTCCCTCCACATTTAGAAACGTGCGTTTAAAAGTATTTGCCTGCCATACATTTCCACATGATAAGCCACTTCATTAAGCTATCATTTGTGGCCAAGTTTCTGAAAAAGAGCTGTATAGCTCAGTGGGCCTTACCTGGTAAAATAAAAATAGTATTTTACAGTATAAAAAGAGAATTACACGCAACAATGGAATCGAATGAGGCTATTCACTTGTTTGTCTTCATCACCGCCACCACTCCACCTGCTCATGACGATGGGACTAACGTTGCTGATGGTCGTGGCAATAATCGCAAGTGCTTATTGTTCTGGTTTCTGGAAAATAGATGAACAAGGAAGTGGGTATCATGATCACAGTTTTTTCACTGTGGTCACACAGATGCATGAACAAACACACACCCTCTGTTGATTCTATGTGTGTGTAATTATCTTGTTTTCTAGGCCTGAGAACTATAATCGGGTTTTTTACTTTCACATTTTAAAACGTGTTTTTTTATATTAAACTACTGTAAAGTTGTATTGCTTTGTGTATGTAGACCTCCGTCAGAAAATATTTGTCTTATTTACTGAACGTTTTAGTTTCATTGGCAGTATATTTCCATAGCTGGAGACTGCACAAATCCTTCCGAAACCACCACAGTCGCCTTTCCACTTGAACAATTATGCAGCAGATGGCACCCTTGCTGTGCCCTGTGGTAGCCCAGTGCGCAATGACTCCACTCCTAGATATCTAGGGGTGATCATGGACAGAAGCCTCACCTTCAAGCACCACATAAAACACACGTGAAAAGCATATAACCCGTAAAAACAAAGTTTTTCACTATAAATCCTTTAAATGCGTGGCGGCTAGAGTCCTCTCGTCCTCTGGCTTGAGATGGCTGCCACCTATGGGTCAGATGATTGTCTGCCAGTATTAAGCAATTGGTAATTAAATATTTAATTTGTTTTCCCTAAGCAGTGTAAATTTTGGGGAAAAAAATGTCACGAACATTAATTGTCTCGCACAACGAGTCTGTGTGCAAAATGTCAGCTCGATTGGATCACGGGAAGTGGGTTAAAAAACGACCGAAAGATTTGCACGGTCGTAAGCAAGCAAGCAAGCAAGCACGCAAGCACACAAGCACGCAAGCAAGCAAGCAAGCGAACTTAATATAAAGGATTTAATAAAGGATTTAAAAACCAAGAATCGCCCTGCTACAGAAACTTTCAGGAACGACCTGCCCGCCCTCTCACTGGTCTACTCAATGGCAGAGCCATTGTGTTCCAGCCTGGTCCGGAAGCTCCTTAACAAAACTGCTGGATGCACAATTGACAAAATGTTCATCATAACCGGCAACACTGGAACTGACACCGATCCCCTGGCTCCCTGTTGTGGCGAACAATTCTGCCACCAAATATCCACAGAGACGCGCAAACTGCAAGGGAGTTTACACGTTATCTCGTCATTGACAACATATCCATCAACCAAGACCTCAACGATGTGCACCGCCGCCGGCGACTCAATTCCCATTCCCCCAATGGTTCTAGATTTGAAGTTTTCGTGACTGCAAGGATTTATACTCTTTGTTTTTTTCGGTAAAGTCACGTAGGTAAAATAAATTAAAAAACACGACGTTTCGGGCGCAACACAAGCGTCCTTCTTATTGGGTTCGTGCTGTCACCATCATAGAATATCACCAACATCCAGAAGAACACTGGTTAACAAGAGTGGAACAAGATTAAGCATCTCATTCGATACCCAAACATCGCACCGCCTGGCTTTGACATCGCTCCAAGACACTAGTGTAACCATCAACCGCAAAAAAGAGAACATCAACAGGCCAATGCGCACGTATCCTTCACAGCTGGAAGGTTAAAGACACAAGTCACAGTACGACTCTCTCCTGAAGCCGTGTCTCGTGGCTAGCAGACCCCAACATTGGCATTTAGCCACCTGAACATTGCCATCATAACCTAGAATAGAATTGGCCAAAACTTAATTGTGTCGAAACCCACTTGAAATGCTTAAACGTGTGGATATCATAACATGTTGTGTATCAATGTTGATATAAATACTGTCTGTCTTGCTTTTTATATAAAATTTACAATAAAGAAAAGATTACAAATAAATGATTGCGCTTGCATAATTCTACTTTTAAAAAAAATGTACAATGTGTTAAATGTCAAGCGGTTAACCTCTAATTGAGAAAAGCACACTTGATGAATATCAGATACGCAAATGCAGAAAGGGTGTGTTCTTCTGTGTTATGGCCATTGTTAACTAAATGAAAATTGCGGTTGTACTATCAACCTTCAGTCAAATTAGTTTTGCTCCATAAACTTGGTGTATTGACACATCAGGAAAAGTAAACATTCAACAAAATAACATTAAACAACAGATGCTTTACCTAAATATTCCATGGGACAAAGATCACTTTTATGTTTAATGTTGCCTACATTTAGATTTAATTCCTTCCAGTTTCTCGCACTGAATTGTTTTTTAACTGCTCGTATTTTCACGATTGTCATTATAGTATATTGCCGTTGTTAAATTTAATCGCGAGGGCTGATTCGAAATAAGGTAGTAAAGGATTAGCAATATGCCGGATTTATTGTAGCAAGTAATTAGATTCTCTGTGTAACCGCAAACACAACGTCAACAGTTTTAATGAGACACAAACACTGCCGGGTTTTTTGTAGTCTTCAGTCACAGGACTGCGGCGCAAAAACCAAAATGATCGCCTGCGTGAAGGCTGCCGCTCTGCTGTTCGGCGCACTGACCATTTTAACCATCGAGGCCTCTAATGTGAAGCTTGTGGACCATGGGTATGAAGGATTGGTGGTCGCCATTCACCCAAGCGTTTCTGAGAATGAGCAACTCGTTGTTAAAATCAAGGTACGTGTGTGGATTATGACAAACTCGGTGCTGTTTTAAATGTTTAAAATGGGAGCTCGCCTTTGTGATTTTACATGATCATTTCACATTTTAATACGATAATTCTCACGTATATGTCTTTTACAAAAAAATAATCCAAAGGTAGTGTTTTATCACAAAATCGACCCTTAGGGGGAAATGAAGAAAACATCCATCTAGTCTTCTTGAAGTTGCACTTGCAGCAAACTAGACGCCAGTGTGTTTACAATTTGTAAAGTGGGTGTTGAGGCAGGGCTAACCCATACATCTGTGCTGAGCGGTCATCGTGATTCCACTAAATAATTCATTGAGGGCCCATCTGAACGCCTTCATTACGAGGGCCCTGCACAGGATCTTGGGGCATGGGGAGGGGTGTCACGGTTGCGAAATGTTTCCTACCCCGCCTTGTATACAGGAGGCCGTGGGTTCGATCCCGACCCTGACGCCTGTATATTTGGAGTTTGCGTGTCTCTCTCCTTGTCATTGCGTGGATTTTCCTCCGGGCCCACCGGTTTTTCCCGCCACATTTAGAAAACATGCTTTTAGAGTATTTGGCTGCTATAAATTTCCACGTGATAACCCACTTCGTTGAGCTATCACTTGTGGCAAGGTCGCTTCTGCATAAGAGCTATACAGCTCAGTGGGCCTTGCCTGCTAAAATAAAAAATGTTTAAATATATCCGGGGGAGTGTCGTGGCCTCCAGGTCCAGTTTCGAGCGATCTCGACCTCATGTGTGTTAAAACCAAAGAGCTTCCCACCGCCTCCCAGCAGATCAGTTTAGTTTAAAAATGTTGTTTCACATCATCGATTGCTTCGGGAGACGAGGCTGAGACTTCACTGGTTGCAGGCTGCGCCAGTTGCCGGCTGGAGGAGGCCAGGAGGGGGGGGGGGGGAGATGGTGGTCGGCTTCCTTCGTGGCTGAATCAGGTCGATCGCCACCTGCAGGGGACCTGGGATCGGGAAGGGAGTCGGAGACTTGCGGATGACCGAGAGGGACTCCCAAAGGGCTGGAGCCGGAGAGTGAAGGCGGCCACGCGATGCTTACGCAGGCGCCCACATGCCGTGCAGGAGGTGGCGTCAAAGATGCGATAACCATCTGTTGAAACAAAAATTAGTGGACTTCATCTTCTTGGCTCTTTCGGTAAAGTCACGTAGAATGGAAATAATAAAATAATAAAAATTAAACATAATCAAATAATTCTCACGACGTTTCGGCCACAACACAAGCAGCCGTCCTCAGGTGAAGAACACGTCTGTCGAGAAGACAGAGTTTGAAAGCTTCAAATCGAAAATTAGTGGACTTATTAAATGTTTACATTTCAATTAAATAACTCAATCCATAGCTTGACGCCAATCATATTATTCTCAGAGTGAGGTAGCTACTCTTCCTGAATATTAGAGAGTCATTAACCTCCTGTCTTGAACGTAATAACCAATCGTTTATTCACAGAGCCACACTCAAGTGAGCCAGAGCAGCCAACGCGTCGCGGCTCCGTACATCATTTTAGAAATACATGACGATAAAAAATAGATATAGTGGAAAGGTGGTAAGGGCTACAACACATTTCCAAAGGGGGGGAGGGGAAGAGGGGAGGGGGTCACACGGCGCTGTTCTCAACAAAAAAATGCAAACATCAATGGCTGTAGGCACAATCAAGAAACTGAGATGAATAACAATTCAAATAAAGCATACCAACTATAAAGTGCTGCTGGTCTCCAAGTCGAGACGTCTTACTTTAGCTAAGGCGCGGTCGTGCGGCCGCGAGCGCAAGCGATGAGTTCTTTTGATTTATTTGTGTGGGTGCGGTGGTGGTGAGCAATGGGTGTCGAACGAGTGGTCGCGGTGAGAATCGGCGTTGTGGGGCCAAAAACGTTGCCGGCGACCTCCTCCCGCAGGAGGTGATCACGGCATCGTCGGCGCGTCTGTACTCGTCGACGGGACGGCGAGCCTTCTTCAGGAACGTCACCATCCTGCTGCCCGCTTCGTGGAGCCCCCACGAGGGGTACGGGCGGCCGAGCAAGGAGGCATTCAACACGGTGAGAGTTTGGGGGGCCACGGGGGGGGGGCCGTCCCGGCCCACCCCACACCGGTAGAACGCGGAGAGAGGTTGGTGCCAACGTTGATTACTCTTAGTTCTTTCGGTAAAGTCACGTAGGTAAAAAATTTAATTAATAAAAAATAAAATAATAAAAATCACGACGTTTCGGAGGCAACACAAGTCTCCGTCATCAGGTGGGACCGTCACAGCCTCCGAAACGTCGTGATTTTAATTTTATTTTTTATTAATTAAATTTTTTACCTACGTGGCTTTACCGAAAGAACTAAGAGTATGAATCCTTGCAGTCACGAAAGCTTCAAATCTAGAACCAACGTTGATTCTCACGAAATCAGGCCGCGTACGTGCACATACGTTGAACTTCTTTCGCACAGGACGTAGCCAACCGTTGCTAATCGTTGGCAATGTTTACTGGGACGAAGCCGGGGCGGGAGACATGGCAATCCGCATCGCGAGGTGGAAGAGATGCCGGCTCGTAACCCTGTGAGGAATTTATATTTATTTAAAAAAACGTCGTTGAGTGCTTTTGCTGTGTTCATCTCTCGGGTCAGTTAAAGTGTGTTGCGATGACTCGGCGCGAATAATTGTGCTTCCCCTGTTGTTATTTGACATTTGATTGATATAAACAAGGCTAAAAAAAAAAAAATTCACAAGGGGAAGAAGAACTGACCACTACCCTGAGCAGTGTGAAAAATGGAAAAACTCCCATCCTAGATGGAATGTATGTGGACTTATTTACTTAATTTTGATTTAAAGCTTTCGTGACTGCAGGGATTCATATTCTTGGTTCTTTCGGTAAAGTCACGTGAAATTCACACCTGATGATGATTGCTTGTGTTGCAGTCGAAACGTCGTGAGAATTTTATTGTTTAATATTATTTTATTATTTCCGTTCTACGTGACTTTACCGAAAGAACCAATAATATTATTTACTTAATGTTACCACACAAATGTAATACCTCAATCATGGAATTATGCCTATCATTATTATTTGGAAAAAGGGAGACCGAAAACACCTAAGAATAAAAAGGGAGATAATACAGATTTTAAATATTAAAGATGAACTACCCAAATACATATATTATTTATTTACAAAGATAATCGGCAACAGAATAATCAACATTTGAGTGGATAAACAACAACAAATTAAGAAATGAATTATGAAATAAAGAGGCAGACAAAAGCAGCATGAAGTTATTTTGAAAACTGAATTGGCCACAAATTCCCTTTGCATGAAACTGAGATAATGTACCCCCACCCCTCCGATTCGAACGGCTCCTTGTGTTGACCTTGTGTTGACCTTCTTGTGTTGACCTTCTTGTGTTGACTTCCTTGTGTTAACCGTCTTTCTCAGCACACGGCTGGATTCATGCCTAAGTTGTCCTCCACAGATTCTTCCAAGTGGATGGCTGCGTATTGTAAAATCATTATTGTTGCCATCACATGTTCTTGTTATACGATCTGGGCGTCGGGGTGGGAAGATCAGATTAGATCCTCTACAAATCCATCGTCCACTGAATTCGTGATACAGACATCGCCAAATCGCGAGGTCACAGTGCGCCGGAGAACAACATTTCATGCGAATAGATGCTGTGGCCACGCTGTACGTTAACAAAAAAAATTTCAACTGCACTGCATTAAAAGGAAACCTAATCGGTGACGTTTCGGGCAATGACCCTCCTTATTTTTCCGAAGGCAGTGTTATCGACGCACGTGTTGAGTTGTTGTGTTTATTGTGTTTGTGCATCACTGCCAAACGCGGCATCACCGAACAATGTACATTTAACACCGCTTTGAACTAAAAACCCCGTCGTAATAGGGAAACACCGAGCGGAGCTGGAGTGACGGTCGTCTTTTCGATTTAAAGCTTTCGTGACTGCAGGGATTCACCTTCTTGGTTCTTTCGGTAAAGTCACGTAGAAGGGAAGTAATAAAATAAAAAATAAAAAAACATAGTAAAATAATTCTCACGACGTTTCGGCCACGCTTGTGTTGTGGCCGAAACGTCGTGAGAATTATTTTATCATGTTTTATTTTTATTACTTTATTATTTTCCTTCTACGTGACTTTACCGAAAGAACCAAGAAGATGAATCCCTGCAGTCACGAAAGCTTTAAATCGAAAGATGACGGTCGTCTGTCTGTCCTTATCACAACAAGGCAGACGTGGTCGTGGCACAGCCGCATGACTCGAGCAACGACGCGCCCTACACGGTGCAGTTCGGCCTGTGCGGAGAGAAGGGCCAGCACATCCGCCTCGCTCCCAGCTACCTACTGCAAGACACTGCCATCTCCTTGTATGGACCACGAGGTACGACACGGAGGCCATGGCGTGCCACGTTACCGAAACCGCGTCTTGCTCTTTCACATTGGCAATTGTTTCTATGACTTTGTTTTTTTATATATATATGTAAAATCCCCTGGAAATGTTATCGGGCTTTGAGTTGATTTAAATATGTAATTTCATTTCATATGCAATTGGTATCTACCTTACACGCCTCAAAGCCATTGGTCATTTGTATGTGATTTATATTACTCCAGTAAATTTGGCATTTGAATGTATTTTTCCCATCTGCGCAATTGTATGTTATGTTTCCACCGAATAATGTTGCTTATTTACCCAAGAAGCCACATTGAGCTCAAGGACCATTTCAGAAATATCCTGCTACATGGGGCTCTTTATATTCAGATATTTTCAGCCAATTAATGCGTGTTCATGCAAGTGGGAGGAACCAGGAGAACCCAGAGGTTACCCACACACGTGCGAAGGGGCAACATTCTATCCCACACAGATGGGTCAGACGATATCAGTCCACACTTGCTGTACCGTGTGCGTCTGACTGGCAAGCCAGGGTATGGCACCTCGACACCCAACGCAGTATTTGTACGGTCCAGCAAACCCTCGCCTCCACAGTTCTGGATTACAAGCGTTGCCCTACCACCGCCCGGCACATTCTGTCAGTCTATTTTTGCTCAAACTAGCCGATGGCATACTCTTTGGTTTTTTCGGTAAAGTCGCGTAGGTAAAAAATTTAAATAAATTAAATCACCGAAAAAACCAAAGAGTATGAATCCTTGCAGTCACGAAAACTTCAAATCTAAAATTAGCCGATGGCAGTGTCCATCGCTGTTCGTCGGGGGTGGAAATTCCACGTTCTCATGATGAGGGCAAGTTATTCTATAGGAAAACCACTGTTGATGAAACAATATCCCACTTTAAAACTTTAAGAAATTAAATATTCAGCTCCGTAATGGTTTGTTTACATAATATTTAACAAAGCCAGTAATAATACACAGATAACGATTTCTGGAAGGAAAGAGGAATAATATATTTTGACAAAAAACAAGAATGGCAAAAAAATAAGACGACTGCCACTACAACGAAAACAAGCAACACAATATAATCACCGTATGCCATTAAGTCATGAAAGATGACATTGATGTTTAAACATAAATAGAGACACAAACATATACCTTTTTTTTAAACAAACATAACTTTAAAAGCACACACGAACTGCACACATATTTAGAACTGCCTGTTGTGCTTCGTTTGTTGTCCTCCCCCCGCACCACCGATTGCCACGGTTGGCTACGTACGGAGCGAAAGAAGTTCCACACACGTGAACACTGACAACTCTAACGTAGTACCCCCCCACCTCGCCCGTGCTTTGCCGTGCAGAGAAGTCGTTTCTGCACGAGTGGGGCCACCTACGATGGGGTCTGTTCGACGAGTACGGAAGCCCGCAGCCCTTCTACGTCTCAGCGGCTGGAAACATCGAGAACACTCGGTAGGTAATGAGAGAGCCGGCGGGAGCTGGTCGCTCGACACAGCATTCAGAGCATTTACACATTTGGGGGCCGTCCATAAATGACGTCACGCACCTAGGGGGGGGGGGGGGTCAGACATTTGTGACGATGTGTGACGAGCGGAGGGGGGGGTTGAGAAATGTGACGTCACATCAAAATGCGCAACTTTAAATACATATAGACAACACGTTCTACTTAATTGAATAGACTTTTTAATAAATGTTTTCTCCTACAACATCAGAGTGCAGCGCCACATTAAATACGCACTACAATGACAATAGTTTAAAGTGATTTGAAGCATGTTTTTTTTGTGTGGGGGGGGCAGAGCTTTGTGACGTCATATTTGAGGGGGGGGTCTGACGTTTTGTGACGTCGTGTGACGAGGGGGGGGGTAAAAAATCGTCTAAAATCGCGTGACCTCATTTATGGACGGGCACTTGATTCATGGGGTGGGGGGGGCTGGAGGACGAAAATGTTGGCACAGTAGTTATCGCAAAACGTATTCTTTGGGGCTTTCGGTAAAGTCACGTAGATAGGTTCCAAGAAAATAACAAAAAAACATTTTTTTTAAACTGCAACTCCCATGGCTGCTAACACGGTTTTATCGCAGAACGCTTTGAATCCAGCCACCTGAGTTTGATTCTCGACTCTGGTCCAGTCCATTTTTGTCACTGCCACCACCCCTTCACCAACACACCCTGACCGGCGTGGTGAAGTATGGTCAAAATCCCACAGCACCCACAAGGCACGGGGAGGCGCTCATCCAGCAGTGGATTTAAAAAACTTTGTAAACTAAATATTTTTATAATCCATTAAGACACCATACACTGCGCTCCCGATCATGACCAGCGTCGTGAAATATGGTGGACACAACTCCCATGGCTGCTAACACGGTGTGTGTGGGGAGGCCTTCATCCAGCAGTAGATTTCCTTTATTTCTGCATGACAAAACCCAATGTTCACGACTGTTGGAGACATGCCCCCCCCCACTCCCAGCTCTGCGTTTGGTCACCGTGTGTTTGAGTTTCGTTTGAAATTTGACATCGAGTTCCGAGTGTGGAGGAGCATTGCCCCCTGCAGACAGACGCTGCAATCTGCACAGACCAAGTCTGCTCTGGGGCCAGAGGTCGCAATCGGGTACCCGATACCCGTACACTACCCGATACCCGGCTACCCGGCCGGGTACGGGTAGCTGGGTATCGGGTAGGGTACGGATACCTGTTTGCGACCCTGGTGCGGCCGGGTACGGGTAGGCCGTGAGTCACTGGTGAGTCACCGTTTGTCACTCATTTCCCAACGTCTTGTCTCTTCTCACAATTCAAGTTCCCAAAATCAACCCACCCGCGCCTGCAACATGGCTTCATCCCAGAGGTCGCAATCGGGTACCCGATACCCGTACCCTACCCGATACCCGGCCGGGTACGGGTAGCCGGGTATCGGGTAGGGTACGGGTACGGGTACCCGTTTGCAACCCTGGTGCGGCCGGGTACGGGTACGGGTAAGGAATCAAAACCCGTTTGCGACCTGTGCTCTGGGCTCTCTGCCCGTGTGCTTCTCCAGGTGCAGCAAGGACATCCAGGGCTCCATCAGCGTGGTGACGTGCACGGACGTCATGTGCACGTCCAAAGACTGCAGCATCGACGAAGCCACCAACTTGCCAGAGCAGGGATGCACCTTCTACCCGAACTCCATTCAGAAGACGAACGTGTCCTACATGAGTCTGCAGTGGCTGGACAATGTGAGGAGGCCGGCTCTGAGCCGTGCGGTCATTAATCATCAACATCACCATCATGGATCGTTGTCACTCGTCTTCATCAGCAGCATCATCATCTAAGCAGCAATAACAACAGCGTCACATCTTCTTGGTCCTTTCGGTAAAGTCACGTAGAAGGGAGATAATAAAATGATAAAAATAAAACATAATACAATAATACAATTTTCACGACGTTTCGGCCACAACGCAAGCAGCCGTCCTCAGGTGAAGAACAGGTCTGTCGGAAAGACAGCGTCTGAATGAACACCACCAAGCTTGGCAGCGTATAATTTGTATTACGTGTCATATTCCATTGGTTTAAAGGAAGAAGTAGGATAAATAATTATTATAATTATTATTGTTATCATTATTATCATTATCAGAGTTGCTTCTTTTTGTTTGCTTTTTTGACTACTTGTGTTGCGGTTATTGCAAACATGATGCCTTGAATAAAGATGTCAGTTTTGTACCAGTTTAAAAGGGTAAAACCCTACGACTAGGATAAATAAGTCAACTTATTGAAATCAGGTGCCATGTGTTTATTTGAAAAAGTAACAATATATTCCCAAATGAAATTTCTACAACACAATTCGTGTAGTTGTTTACGCATTGTTTTTACGGCAGCCTCCCAATTGGAACTGTGATTGGATGGAAATCGTGTGGCTATTGTCAACTTAACGCGTGTCCACTGAGTCGTAAAGTATTTTACGATAGGAACGTATACGTAAGAGTACTTATATATTTATATATCCTGTTAACAAGTAGGGTGAATTTCGATTTAAAGCTTTCGTGACTGCAGGGATTCATCTTCTTGGTTCTTTCGGTAAAGTCACGTAGAAGGGAAGTAATCAAATAATAAAAATAAAACATAATAAAATAATTCTCACGACGTTTCGGCCACAACGCAAGCAGCCGTCCTCAGGTGGAGAACAGGTCCGTCAAGTAGACAGTGTCTGAATGTAGGGTGAATTAATGTGCGTGCAGTGACTCCAGTTTCAGACGAGCAGTGATCTCCCCGTTGGTTGTTGGAATTACAGTTGACACGGAAAGGCGATGAATTCATTAGAGAACGAGAGGAAAGTGAAGGTGATTTTGAATGCGCCAGTGGGTGCTGCTGAGCTGCCACCAAACTGCTCTCCTGGGAGGCGGTGCGAAGCTCGTGGTTGGAAAACCTGAGATGGAGATGACTAGAAACTGGACCTGGATCCACGGTACTCACCCGGATAAATTTAAACAATTTTTTTTTCTAGATTTGAAGCTTTCGTGACTGCAAGGATTCATATTCTTGGGTTTTTTTTCGGTAAAGTCACGTAGGTAAAAAATTAATAAAAGTTAAATAAAAATAAAATAAAAATCACGACGTTTCGGAGGCAACACAAGCTTCCGTCTTCAGGTGGAACCGTAATTTTAATTTTTTACCTACGTGACTTTACCGAATAAACCTAAGAATATGAATATTTTTTATTTTACCAGGTAAAGCTCACTGAGCTCTTTTTCAGCAGCGACCTGGCCACAAATAATATCTCAACCAAGTGGCTTATCGCGCAGAAATGTATAGCTGCCAAATACTCTAAACGCGGGGGGGGGGGAACCAGTGGACCCAGAGAAAAATCCACGCGACCACGAGAAGGACATGCAAACTCTAAATATACAGCTGAGTCGGGATTGAATCCACGACCTCCTGCATACCAGGCGAGGGAGATAACTTCTTGCCACCATGGCGCCCCATATAATCTTTGGAAGAACGTATTCATTGTAACCCTTGCTATTGAGTTCCCAAATAATTTAAAATTTAGTAGACGACACTTATTAGAAACCCAGTAACTGTTAAAAATGCGTCCCGAAGCTCAAACATGATAAAATAACCGGATGAGTGAAGCAATGCAGTGTTCACGAAGCTATATTTTTACAGAGATAAACACAAAACACTTTAACCAATAGACAAAGGCACTTTGTTGGTGGACAAGCAACAATAATGCTAACTTCAACAATGTTATTGCAGCCGCGGCACAGTGGTTAGCGTTCTGTGTATGCAATGAAATCCGGCAAACTGAGTGTGATTCCTGGCCATGGCTAACATAAGTAGTGAGCGATATCCTGGTTCCCACCATTATTTCCATCAACCCACATTGACAGCTGTGGTGAAGTATGATCAAGTGACCCCTATGACCGGCACAGCGCGGGGAGGGGCTGTAAATTAACAAAACTATTTACAACAATGGCAAGTGTCTCTCGAGACACGAATTTATTAATGTATTCATTCATTCATTGGTCGACCAACGATCCAATCCAACGAGCTGATGGAAATATTGATGAAATTTTCGAATCAATTCAATTAAATTTGGATTTATGGAGCGTCTAAATGTGAAGGGCGGTTGGGTGGGGGCATGCCCACGTTGAGAGCGAGGGAGGGGGGAAGAGGGATAATTTTTATTTGGTTATTTCTGGAGGTGATATGTGGGAGGTGAGAATGAAAATGCTTTATACGAAATGTGAACAATGCCGCCACTTGCTTAAATTAACTAAAACATAAAATATGTATCCTCATTCTCATTAACTACATCGCAAAATGTGAGACGTGCAAATGTACAGCTCGTGCGTGGGTTTTATAAAGGACTTCCAAGTGCAAATGTCCCTTAATTTGATTTAGATAGGACAACTAAAACAAATATGATGAAGCCGTTTTATGCACCAAGCCACTGGCTTTGAGTGTAACATATATATTCTTTAAGATTGTGGCTCTGAATAGAATGAAAATTTGGTGATAATGGCTACGACTGTTACTCATAAATAGAATTTAAGGTGGATGAAGATATCACCAGCCTTTGTGGTAAATACTGAATGAGATATTTAAATGCTATTATATATATGAAGTATTGACATTTTCACATATAAAGCTTCTTTGTGATTTTTCAATGAAAGGCGCTATATAAAAATAAGTTGTTATTATTCTTATTAGCCGTGGGTGGAAATTTAAACCAGGTCACTAGGTTCATGGTGCTGTGCGCTAACTGCTGCACCACCACTCCACCCTCCCCCCATTATAATTATGACTGTGTTCTTTAATTTAAAGTGAAAAATATGATTTTAAAAATGTTCTACATGGAAACTGCCTTGTGATAATATGGCAACACATACACAGTTTCCCTGGACAAGTTATTATTATTATTATCTGATTGAGTAGAAAGTTTCCCACTTGTGGACTGTGATTGGCCCCTTCATGACAGTATATCAATGTGACTACGTGACTTTACCGAAAGAACCAAGAAAAGTATATCAATAATTACGCTCTAACAACTGAGACAGTGGAAAAACTGTCGATCTACCCACATGAAGTGGCCGTGCTCACACAGCACGTGTCTCTCTCGGAGGCTTCGCTGGCCTTTCACAGTGGCGCCACGGTGGTGAGATGTTTACTACCTCGCATGGTATACAGGAGGTCGTGGTGGGTTCGATCCAGACCCTGGCGTCTGTATATTTGGAGTGCGCGTGTCTCTCTCCCCGTGGTCGAGTGGATTTTTCTCCGGGACCTCCGGTTTTCCCCTCTACATTTATAAACGTGCGTATCGGCTATTTGGCTGCAATAAATTCCCACGCGATAAGCCACTTCGTTGAGCTATCATTTGTGGCCAGGTGGCTTCTGAAAAAGAGCTGTATAGCTCTGTGGACCTTACCCGGTAAGATAAAAATGGTTAAGTTTTTAGTTTAGTGTCCGCTCCGTGTGTTAGCCTGGAACTGGCTTCATCATCTCACACAGCTGTGTGCTCTCCGCCCATCACTCTTCTTTCTTTCCTCTTCTCCCTCTCTCTCTTCTCTCTCCTCTGCTTCTCTTCCCAACCCTAGATCACAACGAGGTTTTTTTTTTCTAGATCCATTGGTCTGCACCGAATGCGACAATCCCTTGTACCCTAATTCCATTTTTCTGCGCTTACATTGCTGAATGTATAAATAAAATAAAAGAGAAAAATGCCCTCCCTTTCATATTTAAACATAAACCATTGGTGTTCAAGATGTTAAATGAACAACAGCAAAAACAAACTGAACACCTTTGTCAATCTTCTTGGTTCTTTCGTTAAAGTCACGTAGAGGGGAAATAATAAAATTAAAAAATAAAACATAATAAAATAAAAAATGTTATTATGTTTTATTTTATTTATTTTATTATATTTTATTACTTTATTATTTCCCTTCTACGTGACTTTACCGAAAGAACCAAGAAGATGAATCCCTGCAGTCACGAAAGCTTTAAATCGAAATTTAACCTCCGTCAATGTATGTATATTGAACTTCTTTCCACTGTATGTAGCCAACCGTGATAATTCTGCAACAGCACTGCATTGCAAAGGAAAAGTGTATGAATAGGCAACGTTTCAGGCAATGTGCTAAGAAGGGGCATTGCCTGAAATGTCACCTATTAGGTTTCTTTCCATTTAAGGCCACAATGTTATTGACGAATGTCCCGAATTGTATTTTGTTCTTTGTACTTGTGCACCACTGCCAACGCAGAACCACCAAATAATGTGTTACTCGCCAACGTTAGGCCTTTTCAAACACAACCTAGCCACTTGTTGCACTTGAGAACCGTCAAAAGACACGTGGAGATAGCTCGCGTGTGCTTCACCTTTACAGGCGATGCACAATCACCGTATAACCGTGGGATGGTTTTTTTTCTCTCTCTCTCTCTGTCTCTCTTCCCCCGGGGCGTTCAGGTGACCGAGTTTTGCGATGATAAATCTCACAACGTGGACGCGCCCAGCATGCAGAACCGCGTGTGCGGTTTCAGGAGCAGCTGGGAGGTCATGCTCACATCCGAGGACTTTGCCGGCAAAGAAAATGCGATTGGCAACGTGCCATCCACGCAGCCCACCTTCAAACTCGTCCAGGTGACGCGAAGGGTGGTGACGCTAGTCCTGGACATCTCGGGAAGCATGGAATATGTACGTGAGTTGTGCGTTACGTAAGTTTAACACGTAGGCTTTGCGCGACCGATATTGCGTACGCGCCGTATGCTGAGCTTCTTTCGCACCGTACTCCCCCCCCCCCGCTCTCAAGTCGGACGTGCGAGTTAAAAAGCAATCTCGTAAATATCGCACGGTTTTGGGGTTCTATCTTTTATAGTTGGGTGTCCATGTGAACTGAGAAGGAAGCATAGACCAGGGGTCGGCAACCAAAATAACAAGAAGAGCCATTTCTTTCCAATTCGGTACAAAATTCAGTATTTCAAGAGCCGCAATGCATCTGAGTACATACTGTACATACGTACATATCGTCAAGAAGCAGCCCGTAAAGAGCCGCATGCGGCTCCGGAGCCGTAGGTTGCCGACCCCTGGCATAGATAATAGTTTTACCATTAATGAGAGTTGGGGGGAGGGGCGGATGGGTAGAATTGTTAGCGCACTGCACTTTAGACCCGGCTAGTATCATTACCGTTTACATTACAATGTGGAATTATATGATGTCTTGTTATTTTATAATTTTATTAAAATATGTAAATGCGGCTGCATCTCGAGAAGCTATGCCAAATGTTTTACGGCGATGATTATGCTGGGTTCAGATTGCGTCGTCATTCATGAAGTGTGATTTCACAATCGCCGAGAGCCACACACAGACAAGCTGCAAGGCAGCGGCAGCAGCAGCCAGGCGGTGAGCAAACGTTGCCCACGCTCTGTAGTCCTCTATACATTAAGGTGTTTCCGGCCAATTAATGAGTGTTTATGCGTACATCATGTGATGTGCATCATGGGGAACCACCAAAAAACAGGGGACGGTGGGGCAATGGTTAGCGCACGGCACAATGGATCTGGCGACTCGAGTTCAATCCCTGGACACAACTAACATCAGTCGTGAGTGATGTCTGAACCGGTCCTACTAGATGCCCCTGCTATTCAACAATCACGCTCATCAGCTTGGCGAAGTCCCTTGGGGTGCGGCGAATCGGGGGGAACCACCCCCCAGGCCCCGCACTTTGGGGAGATTAGCACTTCAACTTCACGATGTCAGATGTAAGGCGTTGGGGGGGGGGGCACGGAGTGGAATTTGTCCCCCCCCCCCAATCCCCCTATGGACGGCCCTGATGACTGGCGTAGTGAAGAATGGTTAAATAACCCTCACGACTCATACGGCGTGGGGAAACCCTCATACAGCTGTGAATTGACAAAGGGCTGCACGCATACCGATGCACTATTGCATGTCAGGCTAATTCTAATTGTGGTGGTAGATAAGGGGGTTTGTTAAATGTCATTGAATTGTAGTCACCAAAAAAATAACAGGGCATCCCCAAGCAAAATGCTCGCACCACTTCCGGCCCCCCTCCAGAGAAACCTCCATGCCAGAAAGGTGCATCCGCAATTGCCGAATGTCAACCTGGAAGGCCGTTTGGTAGTTAGACGAGAATGAATCAGTGGAACACTACTGACCATACAGAGCTCTGCAGCAGCACAATCTTAACAAGTTATAGCTTGCAATTTCCACCATCTGCAGTCAAAGGGGAATTCATTGCTAGCATTTTGATTGAACGCTCATACAATTTAAGCACGTTATGTTCTTAGATATTGCACATACAGTAATCCTGTTATATTGATTCACATCTCGAAAAAGGTTTCAGCTCCATTATTAAACTGGTTTCCTTGGACAAGCGCTTAGGAAGATGACTCAATTCTCCAATACCGCACGTTTTTTGGAGATTATATTTCTATGCTCGTTAAGGAAGAACCACAATCATGAAGTGGGACATGCCATCGGGCTCACGGTCCACGGTGACATTAAATGAGTTCGTGAGGACAGTTACTGAAATTAAGTTGGGTTTATGGTGTAAAGGAGTAAGCTACGGTGGATCTTCAACCCGCAACCACTTGATCTACGGCTCCGTCTATGAGCAGCATATCATGAGCAGCGAACGATGGCTTGTAAATTTCCACTTTTTATTGGACCACAGACTCTCGGTTTGTCCTTCACAGATACAGTTAATAACGGGCGCATTTTAAAAGACATTTTTACTGCAAGGGGCAATTTGTATAAGTGTTGCAAGCGCCATGTGTGTGGGTGGCGGATGAGATCCGCGTCGCTTTTGCCATAACCATTAATATAGTCACCGTCATCAGGTTCGTTTTACTACAATCAGGATAAGTAGTATGAACACCACTGCGGTCTACACAGAGAGTATGTGGTTAAAGTTCCTAAGATAGTCTGCCCTGAGAAAGCGTACATGCACGTTATAAAATCTGAGTGCGTTTTTTTATTTATTTTGCCTATGCATCATATATCAATCGATCACCCAGACACGTCACCCAAAACTCGCAATTGAGGAGGAGAGTGTTCCTTTCTCCACCCTAACATTTTAAAATGTTCCTATAAAGTCTATCCTCTGTCCTTTTGACAAAAAAACCTTCACCTTTTCCTGCACAGCTACAGTCCCAGTGGCGTAGCTTTCTAGTGTACAGGCGGTGCAACTGCACCGGGCCCCACGGCCCGCAGAGGCACCGGCACCAGGGGTACACAGAGTGGGGGAATCGGGACACGGGAACTGGGTCACACTTCGTTTCCTGCGCCAGGGCCCAAAACCAACGCTCGGCGACCCGTTGAAAAACTCGTGACCGTGAGAAACACAACGTCTTTGTTTCAGAATTCGCGAATGATGAGGATGAGACAGGCGGCCGAGATCCTCATAATGCAGGTGCTGGAGCACGGCACTTACCTCGGAATTGTGTCGTTCAGCAACACAGTCGTCGTCAACTCGCCCCTCGTGCTGCTGAGCGATGAGGCCAGCCGCAGGCAACTCGTGGAGCTGCTCCCGCAGACAGCCTATGGGGCCACGAAGATGTGCGACGGACTGAAGCAAGGGATCCAGGTCTGATGCGCAGCCTCGTCTCCTCGACGCAAAATTCTGAGATGGTTTGGTGGCTTAAGGGTCACATCGCTGAGGTGGCATTGCTGAGAAGCCTGGGTGGGAATCTGGGCTACCGCCTGTGATCAAACTGAGTTCTCGAGCGTGGTGAGTTCATGGTCGTTATTATTGACTACACGCGGAAAAAAAATATCCATCACGTTAAAGTTGGAGTTCAGCTAAGTTTAGAAAATGTCATGCTCCTGAGAATTGAGACACATTGGTTTGACTGCCATGCAACAAACATTTCTCTTCTGCTAGATATTTGAGAAGAGTGCAAAAGCTGGCAAAATGTCAACGTAGTATTTTAATTGTATATGAAATAATAATGCTTGCCCATTACTAGGTTTATATGAGTGGACGTGTAATCGATATACCTGGGAATTTGATGGACAGCGGAGGACAGTGAAACAAAATAGATTCTTGTACCACATATTCTACCCTCCCACATCGACATTCCCCCATCACCAACTCACACTGACCAGCGTAATGAAGTACTGTATGGTCAAATAACTCCCACAATCCTCACGACATGGAAAGGCCATCATCCAGCGGTAGAATGACCATGAGCTGCATGTGTACATGATATACTTGGGCATGCAGTTATGATTGGACTTGTAATTGGTAAGTGGCAATATTTTATTAATGGGAAAGCAATTGATTATAATCCAGCTACGTGGCCCTGTGGTGGGAGTGACAAACTCAAAATTGGAAAATTATAAGTTAAAAAATTACGTTCGGGGATTTGACTCTGCCTATCACCCTCCATGGTTGATACGTTTGAGTACTATTGTTTGAAAAGTCAACAATGATTTTCCTAATGGAAAGATGTACGAAAGTGAGAGTTTCACTATAATTAAGAGTCGCCAATGAAGATACACGCCAACCCATTGCTTGTTTTATCAGGGAAACAATTTGTCTGAAATTTTGTTGGTATTTTCCCCCAAATTGCAACTGTACTATTGGCCTCATATCATGAGACAAAAAATCTGTTTGGAACTCTCATCGGGCTGTAGAGCAGATTTTCTTCTGAAACATTCTCAAAGTGATTTGTTTATCCTCTGCAAAGTAGGTCCTTTACACGGCCACGCATTCCCACAAACTGCTCTAAGAGCATTTGTCGTGTGACAGTCAAACTGATGTATATAATGGTTGGAGCTGTAATTTTTGCTCATTTAAGCGTAAACGCAAATTTGATATTGTATGAACTTTTTTTGTGCAGTGACCAGGCTGAGACCATCAACCCACTACGCTTTGCGAACCAGCTCAATCAAGGGAAGAGTAAGGGAGGGTGGTCGCCCATATTTTGAACTAAAGACCCCAGCGGTGCTGAGCTCACTGCTCTGTCCTCTGAGCCATCCAGCCACCTCAGCACTTTAACTTTGACTGGCACATCATTATACACGATGTCAACACGTATGTGAATATAATCACTCCGATAACTGTAAGTGAAGTTGAAGGCGACGAATGAGCAGCCCGGCGGTCGCTTGCTTACGCCACTGCTGACGAAAGAGCCGACGTGAGAGAGAGAGAGAGCTTAAAAGAACCCCTCTCTGGAGAGAATTTTCCCGACCCTTTACCCCACCATGTGACCTGCCGAGTGACTAACTGTGGTGTACTCATTTTTACTGCTGGGTGGACAAGGGTTGGGGGATTTAAACTAAAGCTAAACTATTTATTTTTTATTTTACCAGGTAAGGCCTACTGAGACATACAGCTCTTTTTCGGAAGCGACCTGACCACAAATGATAGCTCAATGAAGTGGCTTATCACGTGGACATTTATAGCAGCCAAATACTGTAAACGCACGTTTCTAAATAGGGAGGGAAAAACCAGAGGACCCGGAGAAAAATCCACGCGACCATTGGGAGAGAGAGAGAGACACATGCAAACTCCAAATATACAGCAGGCATCAGGTCGGGATTGAACTCACGACCTCCTGTATACCAGGCGAGGTAGTTAACATCTCGCCACCGTGGCAGATTTAGGAAACAATGCCCCTTGCTTCAACTGCGGCGACGGGAGGTCGAACCGGCAAATCTTTGGGTTGCGTTCCCAGCGCTAACCATTACGCTCGCGGCTGGTTGCATCGCAACCCTAAAACATTACAGCTTCGTTTTGACGGGAACGCAGGTGCTGTCGCAGGACAACGGGGACGCCCTTGGGGACGAGATAATTCTGCTGTCGGACGCCGGGGACACGACGAACGAGAACTGCCTGGAGACCGTGCAGCAGTGCCAGTGTGTGGTGCACACCATCGCGCTGGGAAACACCCCCACCCAGGAGTTTGAACAGCTGTCTGCTATCACAGGTGAAGCGATGCAATGCACAACGACCGTGGAACGGCCAAACAGCTAAAAATAATTTGCATGATTTAAAGCTTTCGTGACTGCAGGGATTCATCTTCTTGGTTCTTTCGGTAAAGTCACGTAGAATGTAAATAATAAATTATTAAAATAATAAAAATAAAACATAATTAAATAATTCTCACGACGTTTCGGCCACAACACAAGCAGCCGTCCTCAGGTGAAGAACAAGTCTGTCAGAAAGACAGCGTCTGAATGAACACCACCAGGCTTGGCAGCGTATATTTAAGCTGGGAAGGGCCTCAACCATACGGAGCTCAAGACAGCCCCAGCTAGACGGTACTTGGCCTTCTCTTCCACGCTAGCCAGACCTGGAAGAGGTGGGAGTAGCTGCACTCTATTGGACCGCACGCGACCTACCGATTGATTAAAAGCTATACTGCTGAGTTGACAGAGGCGGGGAGGAATGCAAGAAACTTGCACCATTGCTTATAAGGTCGCACTCAACGTGCTTGCCACAAATGAACCACGATACCTTGCCGATCTCGTCAAGGAGCATACAACATCATGCAAACTCCGATTCGCCTCTCAGCGGCGTTTGGCTAACCATTGAACAAAGACGGTCACTGCATCGCGCGCTTTCAGATGCGCTTCTGCGGACGTCTGGAACGCTCTTCCTTCCGATATTAGGAAGCCACTGGAGCTATGCACTTTTAAATTTAGATTAAATACGAATTTCTTTAGATTCGATTTTTGTGTTTAGTTTGTTGTTATTCCCCCGCACCTCTGATTCGCACAGTTGGTTATGTACGGTGCGATACAAGTTCAACATGCAAACATACAACTGGAACATCAAATCTAACCGCCCGACCACCGGACTGCAAGTCCAGTTTGCTAACCATCACAGCACGGCAGCATCCCAGTGTCGCACGGAGTCATCGGCTCCCATTTCGCGTCCTCTCTTCCCGTGATTGGGTGCATCTCGACCATCTTGTGGCCACTTAAACAAAAAAAATTCTAACCGTGTTAGAAATTTCTGCCTTGTGGAAATTGGACAAGGGAAGGATGTGGAAACGTTGGTCAGTGCAGAGGCGTGTGGCTCTGTACACTTGCAATTGGCATGCAGCAGAATTCAAATTCGGCTCCTCCTGGTTACAAAGCAGGTGCTAATCTGCCGAGCCATCACACCGCCAGCGTGTGGGCATTTGAGCGAGAATTATCTAAATTAAAAATCAACCCCATTGCAAGGAAAATGGTAATGTTATTGGTCTTCTCAATATATTCAGAGCAGGTGATTTAAAATAACGCCCAAATCGCCACACTATTTTACATTACTGGAAGTTTCATATATGGTTATTTTATATAGGTTATTAAATAGCTTGGTTATTTATGTGTAACGGTAAAATAGGGTTGTCTGCTTTTTACACCTTTCAATATATTTCCTATCATAGACTTTGGTCAACGGTTTATTCATTCGTTACATCATTTTGATTCGATTGTTGTTGTGTGTGTGTTATTCCATATCAAGTTTTTTGTTCCTTAATTTGTTTTTACATCTTTACTTTAAATGATTAGCTCTCGCGAATTTCTCCACCGCGATGAAAATGCGCATTCAGGTGGACTGCAGCTCTTTGCGACAGACAACGTGGACAGCAATGGACTGGTGGACGCCTTTACTATGACCGGCAATCGAGACGGAAACTGGGAGAGCATGGTCATCCAGGTGACGGCCTTCAGTGCGAGCACGCGAAGGCCCACAATCGGTGGCGGCCGCAGTGCTGCCCGTCGAATGAATAAATCATCCCAGACGATAATGATGACCTTCAAATGCTCTTTCGTTAAAATGCACTTGACAAGCTGTACATGAAATATTAACGTCAACATGTACTGTGCGTGCGTGAGTGTGCGTGCGTGCAAGTACGTAATCGAGGGTGATCGTCAAATGAATCCCAATAGTTACGTGTTCTATTAATACGCAATGTTTCATATATTGAAACGTTAATGTTTTTAATTTATTGAGCTATTATTTGGTGACATGCCAAGATGGCAATTTGTTTTCTTTCCGAAAGTATTTTGTGAAACACGCGACAAGATGGTATCTTCAAACCAGACATTTTATGACCACCCTGTGTAGTGCTGTGCGTGCATTTACAAGTACAAATAAATGTGTCTGGAGCTCACCAAAGCTCGCAATTAAGTACGATTAACACAACGACAGCTCTTTTCCATTTATTGTATGTTTAGCTGGAGAGCAAGGCCTTCATGATGGATGTTGAGGAACACGTACAAGGAACAGTGTACCTCGACAGCACGATTGGAAACGACACCAAGTTTGTTGTGACAGAGGTCACACACGGAAGTCTGAGGATTCTCATCACCAGCCCAAACGGCAGGGTCTATAACACTTCCGACTTCAATATCGATGCTAATTTCAACACATCACGCCTTACAATCCCAGGCATCGCCAAGGTGAGTGAAACCATATTTTGCCTGCGCTCAGACCTTGCCAAAGCACATTATTATTATTATACCCCACTGAATATATCAACATGCACAAATCAGTCTGAAATGCTGACGCCCTCTGCATGGCTACAATCTCCAGGTTAAACAAAACTGTTCAAATAGCCCTCAGTTTTGCCTATACATTAACCTTTAAAACGCACCAAAAATCACAAATACAAACGTGGTAAAAACGGATAGAGTGTACAATGCACGAATATAGATGCAATACAAAAAAAACAAGCCTCATGTCAATTTGTAATGTGAGGACATATCCGGGTTGCTGTTGGATTACACCTCGTACGATGATTGGCTCTGCCGGTCCTGGCCCATAGCCAATGGGGAAAAGTCTAGGGGCGTGGCCCTGACGTAATGGGAAGGTGACATCTGTAAGTAGAGGATTGGTTCTGCTGGCTTTAGCCACAGCCAATGGGGGGACGAGTCAGGGGCGTGGTCCTGGGAGCGTGCCATGGAGTCTAGAAGATTCCATAGAGGCTAACCAGGATTGGTGGAAAGGTACCACGTGACCCAGGTATTAAAAGGGGAGGAGACGAACAACACGTGGTCAGATCTGGAACGAACGGAGGGTGAGGCCACGCTGGAGCGGGGTCCAGGCTGCCACGTGGCCGCGCGTGTCTCTCCCTCTCACGCTGTCTGTCAGCAGCGTGAAGGAGTAAGATGGGAATGTTGTAAACGAAAGACAAATAAAGACCGGATTCTAGAAGTTGCTTCCACGACCTTTATTACAAATGCATGACAGCTTGAGGGCAACTGTGCATGGCGTGGCTCGCACACTGTGTCATGAGCCTGGCAACCCGAGTTCGAATCCCAGTCACGGCTGTCATCAGCGGCGAGTAATAACTGAACCGGTCCTGGGCCCCCCTCTACACCAGCCTGATTAGAGTGGCGTCGTTGGTCAAACATCCCCCACGACTGACACAGTGTGTTTGAAGCCTTCATTCAGGGTTGAAAATGATAAATTGCTACATGGCAGCTAAATACAGATGTACAACTCAAGTTTTCACTCATTAATCCAGACCCAGCCTAAGGAACTGTGTTGGCAGTGATGTACAACCACAGGCAAATAAAGACCTCACCACTTCCATCACTAACGATGCCTTTAAATAGATTATACGAGCAACTAACATTTCTGGCAATAAACTTTCTTCTTTAACATTTGGCAGAAGAGCCGTTTGGTCAAAGTGTTAGCCCACCATGATTTTTTTTCTGTTTAAAGACAGAGCTAATAATGACGAGAGTGGCGATTAACATCAAAGGATCTGATTTGCAGAAATACAAACCAGGAAAATTATGTTAAAACCAGTGGTGTGGCCATTTTTCTGCCATTAAGTGCCCGACACTACCTTTGCACCAACACACGATTTGTGCCCCTAAATATTTAAACTGTGCTAACCTTATAACATCAAACGGAATACAGCCGATCTAATCAGATCTCAGAAGCTAACCAAACTTGAGCCTGGACAGTACTTGGATGGGCAACTCCCATGCGAAAAAAATAGGAGTTAAAGGCGGTTTAGGGGTCACTTTGGGGGCAGTGGAGCAAACTCCATTGTTGGACTATACTGTGCTCCCGTGTCTGCTCCCCACCTTCGCCGACCCGCAATGACCAGTGTGGTGAAGTACGGTCAAATTACGCTAATAACCTGCATGCTGTTTGAAGGCCCTCATCCGCCACTGGATTGACAAAAGGGCTACACTCATCACTCTAACACACCATTCACATAGAGACAAAAAATGAGTATAAATGTATTGTTAACCCCCCACCACCCGACACAGCCAATTAGTAAGGTTTGTCATGGAAAAAACGTGCCAATTTGTAACTAATTCAGCACACCGGTGTGTTGGAGAGTAAACCCACAACATTCACAATTTGAGTACGACGTTTCACTGGTGATTACAACCTGCCGTGAGAAACTTTATTATTGGCTGCGTCAGATGGAGGCGGGTTAACGACACATTTACCCCCCCCCCCCCCCCCCACAAAAAAACCTTTATCAAGAATACTATTTCTATTTAAAGCTTTCGTGACTGCAGGGATTCATCTTCTTGGTTCTTTTGGTAAAGTCACGTAGAAGGGAAATAATAAAATAATAAAACATAAAACATAAGACGCTGTCTTTCCGACAGACCTGTTCCTCACCTGAGGACGGCTGCTCGCGTTGTGGCCGAAACGTCGTGAGAATTATTTTATCATGTTTCATTTTTATTATTTTATTATTTCCCTTCTACGTCACTTTACCGAAAGAACCAAGAAGATGAATAATATTGCTCGCGAAAGGCCACGCGTCGAATTGTGCAGTGGCTAAATGAACACCTTCACGACGCCAGCTGTCGTTCTCCAGCCCGGCCCGTGGAGCTACTTCATCGTGAACGGCGGACAGGCGCGCACCCTGCTCACGCTGGCGGTCACGAGCCGCGTCGCGTCGCCCACCGTGCCGCCCATTGGCGTCACGGTGCGCGTGAGCGGCACGGAGAAGGCCGCGGCGCAGCGGCGGCCCGTGTCGCTGCACGCCTTGGTGGCGCAGGGCTTCAGGGCCATCAGCGGGGCCAACGTCACGGCGGTCGTCGAGGTGCCCGGCGTCGACGCCTTTCACCTGCAGATGCTCGACAACGGCGCAGGTGCGGTGGTGGGGTGGGCAGGTTGGAGTCGCGCAGTCCGTCCAAGGCGGGGTAACACGGCCGTGAGCGGGCCAGACGCGCGCAAACTTAACTCGCTCGTTTGCGTGTGGATTGGGCACCTCCTGCAACCAGTTGCGAGCGGTCATGCAACTGGTTGCTCACGGTAGAGCGAGGCTCGACGTTCGCGGGCAGTCGGTCTGCGGACTGTGATTGCTTGTTGCGATTCTTCGGTAACGCCATTTAAATATTCCTCATTGCGCAACGGCTCGCCGAGATGTGGCCAAAGCGGTCACGTGTGATTAAGTTGCACGGTTTTTGAGAGAGGTTAGGTTGCACAACCTCTCTCGCAATGAATGAGGATCCGGCTCTCGTCGGCTGTGTAAAGCCACAGGGAGCACCTGGATCTAAAGTGAGGCACCCGCCATGTGGCCATGTTGCACGGGTCGTGACGATGGCTGCCACCTTTGAGGCACAAAAAATCCATAACGTATCATGGGAAGAATATCCCTCAGAACTGGAGGGTCGAACTGCAATTAGATGCATTGTCTTTAATGACTAGCAAAAAAACTGTGACTTTTTCATGGTCCGGGGAGACTTACAGATGTTTCCAGGACAGCTACTTCAAAAATAAAAAGATCCTTGTAAAGCCAGCACAGGTGTCAAATCTACATGGGTCCCTTGCTTGCGTAGTAACATGGGGTCCCCTATCTCATTTCGTCCCTCTTCATAGCCCTGTGTTCTGAGCCCAACCATCCCATAGCTCCCATTGCAGTCACATCGCCTGCACACTTGATCGCCTGGCCAGTGGTTGCCACCCTGTCACTGGGCGATTCTAAAACTAACTAAAACTCAACTTTTTATTTTACCAGGAAAGGCCCACCGAGCTATAGAGCTCTTTTTCAGAAGCGACCTGGCCACAAATAATAGCTCATCGAAGTAGCTTATCATGTGGAAATTTATAGCAGCCAAATAGTCTAAACGCGTGTTGATTCTAAATGCTGAGGGACAATCCAGAGGACCCGGAGAAAAATCCACTCGACTACAGAGAGAACATACAAACTCCAAATATACAACAGGCATCAGGGTTGAGATGGAACCCACGACCTTCTGTACACCAGGCGAGGTAGTTAACATTTCGCCACCTCAATGGATTTAAGAAACAATACCCCTTGCTTCAACTGAAGTTTATGTAGCGTCACTCCTGTGGCATCGTGAGCTGCTGTTTTTCAAAAGACAGCACAGGTCAAAGCTTCAAATAAAAAAAACAAATCCAAGGCACGCTTCGTGACGTGCGCAATGAATACAAGAGAAGCCAGGGACAAACTAGTTTGAGTCGGGGTAGGCTACGGCTGAAGCCCAAGCTTCCTGTTGGGCCAGCTTACAACATGCGCCATGCAGCACGTCTATACACCATCCATTCGATACTATTTAATACCAAAGGGGCTCAGGCTGTTGTAATTACAGCTTGCAGCCTGTTCTCAGTAACCCAAACCCTGCTATGTTCACATACGACGTTGGCTTCAGGCCCATTTTGACTATACAATTATAAGCCCATTTAAAACCCCTTTTTTAATGCTTGTTTGTTCCTCCCGCCACCCCCCCCCCCCCCCCCCCCACTGTGACTCGTTAATCGGCTATGACCGTGAGGTCGGGAATGCGGGGTCGTTATGAGACAGGTTTTTTGGCCACGTGGGTAACCACTCTTCGAACTGCAGTGCGTGGCGCATAGAGGACATTTCCTTTCGGCTTGGCGTCCCAGGATATGATTCCACGCGTTTAAATGCTACATTGCAGAATATCCATCCAGCATTCATGTGAACTTAAAATGCAAGAATAAATTAAGATTGTTTTTTGTTTTTTTTACGTGCGTCGTGGAAAACGGCAAACTGGAATGACTGTGAACGCGTCTGCAATTACAACTTCCACCGAACACAGACCTGAGCGTAAAATTGTGCTTCTCCCAAACGATGCTCGGTGAAAAGTGATGGATTCAAGGTCTCGCGACGCGCTCAGAATTGTATTGTCACGCGTAAAATACGCGTTGAAAAAATAAAGCTGTAAATTCACGAGTTGTCTCATTTTCAGGGGCGGACGTGATAAAGGATGACGGGGTTTATTCCCGATATTTTACTCAAAACGGCGACGCTGACTCTGACCAATACAGCTTTAAAGTCATCGTGCAAGGATGGAGGAGCCAGACGCGATTTTCAAAGAGATTCAGTCTCAAAAGCAGTTTCATTCCTGGAATACAAAACGAGAATGGTAAGGCTGTACTATCGCTCCGCCCTTTCGTTTGACACGTCTAAACCAAGCGCGTTCGGCTGTGCCGTATTTTTCACAGCTGACCTTTTTAAACATTCATAACGCGTAGCTTTTTTTTTGTGTCAATGCCGCGCACTAATGATTCGTTTTAACCTTTAAAGAAGTGGCGACGAATGTAAGTTTTCAAAAAAAAATGCTCTTTTGTAATACAGCAGTCGCTCTTGGAAAATTGGCACACTTTTTTTATACAATGCATTTCTACGCACATCCTGAGTCTTTGAGAGCCTTGGAAGCGAAGTGGCGTGACAATATGACTGATTACAACTGATTCCATATATAAGTATAACCCGTTACAAGTATAACCCGTAAAAACAACGTTTTTCACTCTAAATCCTTTATATGCGTGGCGGCTAGAGTCCTCTCGTCCTCTGGCTTGAGATGGCTGCCACCTATGGGTCAGATGATTGTCTGGCAGTATTAAATAATTGGTAATTAAATATTTAATTTGTTTTCCCTAAACAGTGTAAAATTTTGGAAAAAAAATTTTCACGAACATGAATTGTCTCACACAACGAGTCTGTGTGCAAAATGTCAGCTCGATTGGATCACGGGAAGTGGGTTAAAAAACGACCGAAAGGTTTGCACGGTCGTAAGCAAGCAAGCAAGCACGCAAGCAAGCGAACTTAATATAAAGGATTTAAAAATGCGAGTTATACAACTGGTACAGGCTCAATTTAGGTGACACTTAGTCAGTGCTGATGTAGAGTATTCGTATTTACTGACCATATGCTGTCAACAATAGATAGCATTGGAATGTGCCATCTGTGAGAGCAAGGTCACTGGAGGTCAAAGACACTCTGAGGATAAGAAGATGCATTTGTTTTCTATTTGTGTGAGGTAATGACCTGGCCGCTAGGTGATTTACGATTGCAGATATGAGAAGTTGAATGTAATGGCCCACATATAGAGAGATGCATACACGAAGTCACTTCCAGTTGTGCCATACGTATAGTAATGTTACATCTGACACAAGAAGACAATTTTACACAAGACATTATTGTTGTTATTATTACCAAGGCTTATTTCGCCAGACCAATGCTCCCATATGATTACTGCCCGTGGTTCACACAGCCAGCTTAAGGCAGATTGATCAATATGAGGATTCAATGTTAATTCCTGAGGCTGATACAGCCAGACCAAGGCCTGATTAGGATATTTAGGGTTTACGGTCATTGCGTGAGGCTCAGAGCTAAAAGCGCCTTTAGGATACATAAGCGTTCCAGTGTTCTAAACAAACGCTGTGTACGCGTCAATGGGGATATTCCATCTCAGGTGTTTTGTCGAGGTAATATATTTTTAAAAATAAAATTAAATCAATTGCCCAGCCTCACAGAGACAATTTTTGAGAGCGGCACAGCCGTAGGCACTCACCTCGGTACACACACACACACACAGTGAGTCGGGTCGCGCCTACTCGTGCTAATCACCAAACGAGGCTCTTGCTGCCAGGAGAGACGGTGGTATCACAGGTGCTTCCACCGGAGGCGCGGCCTGTGTCACAGCCGACCGAGGACTTCAGCCGCTCCGCTCCAGGCGGGAACTTCAAGGTAGCGTGACTGCCGAGTTTTGCAGCGTGAGAACGGTGACCGCCCGTGTCTCCTCTGAGGGCCCTGCTTCTTGAGCTGCTGCATAGGCAGTGCCGAGTTCCTTTTAAACCCAGGGTTATATCGATCACCATTTAAGGCGCAATATAAGGCAATGTTTACTTTACCTATCGGCAAGGTCATGCATATTCTGTAATGAAAATGGAACTCGACAGTGACTCTATGTAGCCAGTTCGCTGGTGCAGTGGCTAGAAAGCGAGACTCGCAATTGTGTGTATGTTGATATTTTTTCGCACCGTATGTAGTCGACCATGCTAATCGCAGGTGCGTGGGGAATTGGAAGGTTGTGAAATCAATTCCAGTAGGGGGTTGACTCAGATTTTGATTCCTGTGGGGTTGACAGAATGAGTATCAATCTGTGTTAAATCGCCTTTGCCATGTGAATGTGGAATTTCTCCTGCTGCCTACGGGATATTCACAGTAGATTGGTGACTTACCACCCTCATTTAATTAATTGCCTCTTCTAGAAAATCTAACGTATTTACTGAATCTAAATGTCTTCTTGGTTCTTTCGGTATTTTACGTAGAAGGGAAATAATTTCCCTTCTACGTGATTTTACCGAAAGAACCAAGAAGATGAATCCCTGCAATCACGAAAGCTTTAAATCGAATTTTAATCTAAATACTTTCAGATTAGCTTAAAAGGACTGCACAGATTAATTATAAACACTATTTGCTGTACTGTCATCTTCTGGCCACCTCTTAGGGTTTGGGAATTACCAAAAGAAATCACACAACTGTTATCCACAAACTGTTGTCTGCTGCACAAACTGTGAGTGTGTGAATCACTGTTCAACCTTCCTCGGGTGGAGCGGTAGTGTAGTGATTAGAATGCTGTGCTATGAACCCAGCGACCCGAGTTCGATTCCCGCTCACGGCCAACACCAGTGACAGTTATCTGAACCGGTCCTGGTCCTCCCCTAGGTCGACACAGCCTCAAATGAGTACCTGGTGCGGTGTGTAAACATCGCCACTAGGGAGACAAAGGCGGCCGGGCCTGGTGCTGGCCACCCACCCCCCTCGTGTACCGTTCCGGCCTTTGCAGGTGCTGCTCGCTAACAGCACTTGCCCCAACAGCCTGTAAAGGCTATACGGGGGGAATCTTTGTCTTTGTTCACCCTACCAGAACTCGACCTTGGCATTTCCTTCCTGAACATGTTGCCACACACAAAAATAGAATGAAAACTGTTCACCGGATTCGCAAGAAGCCAGAATCGTGTCTTAAACTTGTAGCTTTATACATTTCTTGCTGTTGTTTATATTTTTAAAACCCAGGTCTCCCTTAAAAAAATGTTAGCCTTTGTCAATTCATTGCTAGATGACTCCCCACACACCATGTAGACTGCGGGGGTTATTATGACCATACCTCACCACGCTGGTCAGTGCGAGTTGGTGAAGGCGAGGACCAGAGACATTGGAGTACAACAATGGATGTTGCTGCACTGCCCCCTGCTGTTGTGTGCATTGTTACTGCTGCCCATAGCCCAATCCAGGTCCACACCCGCTTAGCTTTCAAGATCTGACAAGACCAGGCGCATTGCTTTGCGAGAGCGCCACAGTGGCGAGATGCTAACTCCCTCGCCCGGTATGCAGGAGGTCGTGGGTTCGGTTTTAACCTCCACATTTATAAACATGCGTTATAAAGTATTTGGCCGCTACATATTTCCACGCGATCAGTCACTTTGTTGAGCTGTCAATTTGTGGCCAGGTCGCTTTTGAAAAAATTGCGATGAAGTTCTAGATTTTAAGCTTTCGTGACTGCAAGGTTTCATCACTTGATACAGTAAATCTAGCTGTGACGGTCCCACCTACTGACGGAGACTTGTGTTGCCTCCGAAACGTCGTGATTTATTATTTTATTTATATTATTACTTCTATTAATTTTATTTTTATTTTTTACCCACGTGACTTTACCGAAAAAGCCTAAGAGCATTGCGATGTCGCTCAGTGGGCCTTAACCTGGTAAAAAAAAAACAATTGTTTCGTTTTATTTGAGAACAGCTGGTATTTTTGGGTCGGGTTACAGACGAAGATTGCCAGCGCGTGACCGGCCCGTCGTGAACGTGTTTCAGGTGTCGGCACAGTCGGGGTGGCCCCCGTGCCGTGTGACGGACCTGACGGCTGAGCTGCTCGAATCCGGCATCGTGAACCTGGTCTGGACAGCGCCCGGGGGCAACGCTGACAACGGCCGAGGTGTGAAACGATTGTTGGGGAAAAGCGTCCTGGGATGTGCGTGCGTGCGTGCTGGGGAACAAATAAGCAACGGTGGCGACGGCCGCTGGGGTAAATTTATTGGCAGAGGCATGGCAGCCCCACGGGTTGTTGCGGAAAGGGGGGGCTGGTGGACCGCGTGGAGTGAAAGAGCGAGGTGGAGAGTGGTAAGGGAGGTTCTACGGTCGTTAGAATAAACAGCTAGGTACAGGTAGTCCCCGAGTTACGATGGTCCGACTTAGGATATTTCGATCTAGGTTTGAAGCTTTCGTGACTGCAAGGATTCATACTCTTAGGTTTTTTCGGTAAAGTCACGTAGGGAAAAATAAATAATAAAACATACAAAATTACAATTTATTAGAAAAATTAAAGAAATAATAAAAGAAATAAAATAATTATTTTAAATAATAAAAACAATAGAAATACAATAATTATTTTATTTCTATTATAATTTGATTTCTATTATTATTTCTATAATTTGTATAATTTAGTTTATTATTTATTTATTTATTTCTACGTGACTTTACCGAAAAAACCTAAGAGTATAGATATTTCGATCTTAGGACGGCGATAGCGATACGACAAAATTGTAAAATATTTTACATTTCGCGCGGCAGGCAAACGCAGCAGCGTAGGAGGTACGATACGCTCAATGCATGTTATAAGTTTTTTTTAATACCAGATAGGATTGTTTCCTGAAAAAACTTTCTATTAAATTGCAGTTCATATAGGTAGGCTAAGAATTTACCTTGTTTTTTTACTTTATATTTTACTGTTCAATGCAGTATTGTAATTAATAAATACATAGTATATAGTTTATACAGTACGGTACTGTAAATTGCTCTGTTTTGCTAAATTATCACCATTCTTTAAGACTCCTGGGCAAGCTAGGCCATCTTCGACTTACGATATTTTTGACTTACGATGGGGGTCGTCGTAACGTATCTTCATCGTAAGTAGAGGACTGCCTGTATTGTTAACGTTTTTTTCCCCCATTTAATTTTTTTACAAGTTGGCCCGCCACCACCAGCCCGTCAGGATGAGCCACCACTGTAAATAAGAGTAATAATCGAGACAAAAGGTGTTGTTGTTTTACAACAATATGCCATAACATCGATTCTGTCACCGTACCCTGTGTAGTTTTATTGTTTACTAGCTTTACTACCCGGCTTCACCCGGGACTTGGATTCACCACGCCCGGCCGCATTTGTCGCCCCAGTGGTGATGTTCACACACCACACCAGTTACTCGTTTGAGGCTGAGTCGACTTAGGGGAGGCCCAGGACCGGTTCAAATAATCGTCACCGGTGGTGGCCGTGAGCACGAATCGAACTCGGGTCGCCGGGTTCGTAGCGCAGCGCGCTAACCACGACACTACAATGCGTTACGCTTCCACATGCGCGGGTCACATGACAGATTTGACGTCACAGCTCATTTGCCGTGCAACAAATATATACATTATTGAGCTCCCCCCCCTAAAAAAATGTGTATTTTTATAATGTTTGCATGGTGTACAGTCTGGAAAGTACCCACATGGCAAATTTCAAGTTTGTTGCATGTTGGGAAGTAGCTAAACATTTTGAACAGACACACATTCACAACTTTGCCCTTTATATACATGGAGATTGAGTTTTTAGAGCCAAGCTGGCCAGGCTTTGGAAAAGACACAACCCACTTTTCACCCAGGCAACCAGGGAGCACAAACTATAGATATATGTCTTGTCTGATTGCTATAACAACAAACAATTACCAATATTAAAGAACACACAATTAAAAAAGAATAACACATATATTCTTAAGAAGCAGAATTTAAGTAACGTAATTTTTAAAACTTTAAATCCTATCAAAGATTTTCAAACTGTCTGGGACACACATAATGTGACAACACCATATTGCATTTATAAATGAACTCAGCCTTGTTTTAGAAATCCCATTCGCATGCCGTGCAAGCCATGATGCGCGGACCAATTCTACAGATACGAGCGGGCATTTTGCTGTCTGGAAATCACCGTTAGTGTGCATTTTTTTTTTACCATTACACTTAAAAACCGTACAATTGCCAATTATCAAGCCCCTCGGCTAAAGTGTGCCAACCTGTTAGATAGGGAGCGACAATTAATTTTCCTGGCAATGCCAACCGTGGGTGCAGAGCCAAGGCGTGTTCAGATCAAAATCATCGCAGAAAATGTTGCCCAATGTTTAAAATGTATTTCACACACTTTTTTTTAAATGTCGTGGGAATATTATTCTCCGCCCCGTTGGCATTCAGAATATACTGCAGAAAAGAGCCGATTCTGCTTAATCATTCTGACAACAAGCAGCCGCTTGTGTTATAAACAGTGCTCATAAACCCATCTCGCAGCCTCAGGATGCAAATTATGAACACTTGCTTGGAATTTTAAATAAAGGGCACGCAGTCGGATAAGGCTCCATAAAAAGTGTTGGTCATTTTACAGTATATGTCCAGACACTGTTTTGGCCCAACTGTGAAATGTATCAAGACTGGCATCGTGCTCGTACGTCATCCTAGTGAAGTCATTTCTGTCCCATTTCCATAAAATCGTGTTTCTGCAGTGTCCACACATGACAACAAATATATACACAAACACCAACTTTTGACTGTTGACGACCTTTTAAAGCCGCATGCCATTGTACCGATCACCAGCAGGTGTGGTTATCACCGCACTATTTATAAATATCCCAATACATGCATTTGATGTCACCACTGTTTGATGCACACTCTCTATAAAGCCATCATTCTTGTATTTGACTAGGTGTGTAATTAATTATATACATGCATATTGTACAAGTTATACAAATTAAATGTTTGTATCTAGGTCATGTGTTTGCTATGTACATCAATGTGTTATTTATAGCAAACACAAAATGTGGGGAGCGGTGGTGCACTGTTTAGCACGCTGTACTACAAACCAGGGCACCTGATTTAATTCCCGCTCATGGCCAGGACCAGTGACCATGATCTTGCACCAGTTCTGGGCCTCCCCTAAGTGGCCTCAAATGAGTACCTGGTACAATGTGTAAAAATCGCTACATGGGAGACAAAGGCAGCAAGGGGTGGTGTTGGCCACACAGCCCCTCGTGTGCTCGCTAACAGGGCTTTCCCCAACAGTCTGTTAAGCCTATGTGGGCGATCTCTGGCTCTGGCTATGCATATGGCAATTGACACCCTGGACAACCTTGCAAACGTGATGTACCATCTCCAGATATTTTCAAGGTGAAATATTTAATAAATTTATATTTTTTTGGTTGCAACATCAGCAAAACAAAAAATAAATCCCTCTCATTGTCGAGCTCACATCTCCCATGGGCCTTAATCACTGGACAGACTGCCCCAGTTCCAGAAAAGTCGCCCTCATCTTAGCCGCCCCTGTTCACATTTACCCTAAAATAAATCTGCCGTCTCTTTATCGCCGCAGCATCATTCTACGAATTGCGGGTGAGCCCCATGCTGGGCAACCCGGGGACGTTTGCCCTCCGCGCCCGCGTGGTGAAACCGCACATGCTCCTCAATGGCTCACTTGTATCGCCGGCGCCGGCAGGCAGCCGTGAAGCCATCACACTTAACGTGACGGCTGCATGGCCCTGGACACTGGTGCCAGTGCTCTACTTTGCCCTCTGGGCCAACAACTCCCAGAACGTGAGGTCCGAGATGTCCAACGTGGCCCTGGTGGCCTTGGTAACTCCCAGGATCGTGCAAGTGCAGCGGTCACCCTCCTTCTACAAGAACTTGGCCGCCCTCATCAGCTCGGTGGTGGCGTCGCTCGCACTCTTGCTCTTCACGGCGGGAATGCTCATCGAAGCCGTGTGTAGCAAAAAGAGACGGGAGGACGACGATGACCAGCAGCTCAAAGCTTAGGTGATGGTTTTAGGCCAGTGGTGGCCAACTTGCTGCACACGGCCCGTGTAGCCCCACGTGGTAGCCTGTTTGAAGTGCGTCTATGGTGTCGCGTCGGGTTATGATGAGTGCACAAGCACGATTTCAAGATCGTGGCCCACTGCGTTTCAAGATGGTGGCCCACTGCGGTGAAGGAGGGCTGCTCATGTGGCCCAGCAACTCCTCTAGGTTGCCCATCACTGTTTTTAGGCCCTATCCTTTTGGGCAACGTGCTTTCCTCGTTCCTTCCTTCGCTAAGTGTAGCACCTGATAGCTCATTTGCTTTGGTGCCATTGGAATTTGATCTACAATGTAAAATTTAGTATATTTGTACGTGATTCCTGCAGGCAAATGTATATGTTACACCAAGACAGTATGGCCTGCTGTTGTCGAGTAGTATCTATATAAATACAATAACAAGCAACAGAGAAGTAATTTGTATCTGTAAAGTGACATGGTATGATTATTGTATAAGGCATGTTATGAATTGGATTTAATGCCATTGGAATTCTAATACGTGCACTGCACTTGCAATGAAAACACATCTATGGAAAATAGGAGTGAGGTATAAATGTGCATCGCAGATAAACGGAATTGCCATTGTTTTTCTTAATTTCTGCACAATAATTTCCCCACACGTGATGACTGTTGTGGTTTGTTCTTGGTTTGTGTTGCTGTGTGGCCTGCATGGCAAATCGTTTATTATCGAAGCCATCTCCTTGTTATCAGGAAATATGGCATCTTAGCACCATAAGTGTGTTACCTACAATTGCTTAAATGTCAAATATGTTCACTCAACATTGTGCATTAGGAGACACCAGAAATGTGATATTAAGAGAAACCTAACCATTGATTTGTGTGTATATTGGAATGTGAAAATGTAATATGACTGAAATAAAATGTCATGCAATTGCCATAACATTTAGCTTTTTATTCCAGCTGATAAGGACTATGTAGTAAAAGCATTTAACCTTTTCCCAAACCCAGCATAGCAAATGTTTCAGGGTGAATAGATGCCCGTGAATAGTGTATGATTGAGAGCAAAAGTGGTGTCACCCTGCAGAATGCCTCACTCAGTAGTCTACTGCCTGGTATTACACTGCACAAAATAATGGCATAGTTTCGTGTCAAACAAGGACCCATTTCTAACATGAAGGGAGCTTGCCTATAAACATTGAGCAGTCCTCCAGCATTGGTTCAAACTAACCGGAAGAAATGTTGTTTGCATTGGACCAATACTGCTGATAAGTTGTACTACGAGAACGTCGTGCAGCCAAATGGGTTGTTTAAAACCCACTCTTATTATCTGGAGAAATAAATATGGGAAGGAAGCACAATGTATCTTGGCATCATGCCACAGATCGGATTTATTCACGCAGAATAAGTATAACCAGTAAAAACCAAGTTTTTCACTATAAATCCTTTATATGCGTGGCGGCTAGAGTCCTCTCGTCCTCTGGCTTGAGATGGCTGCCACCTATGGGTCAGATGAATGGCTGCCACCATAAGCAATTGGTAATTAAATATAAAATAATTTTTCCTAAAAAGTGTAACATTTTGTTAAAAATTTTCACGAAAATGCATTGTCACGCACAACGAGTCTGTGTGGAAAATGTCAGCTCGATTGGATCACGGGAAGTGTGTTAAAAAACGACAGAAAGATTTGCACGGTCGTAAGCAAGCAAGCAAGCGAACTTAATATAAAGGATTTAAAAAGCACATGACTGCACAATATGCAGGTTCCCTGGTGATAAATTTTTTTATAATATACATTGCTTTGTTAGTCCACGGCTGAATGAAATCCTTCCCATGCCATGTCGGTCATATGGGTTGATTGACCATTTCTCATCAAGGTGGTCAATGTGGTTTGGTGAAAGCGTGGGGGCCCAGGACCAGTTCAGATATCACTCATCAATGATGTTAACCGTGGTAGGGATCGAACTTGGGTTTCTGGGTTCATAGCACAGTGCACTGGTTACACTGGTCAACACACTTTTTCTGGCATAAGGTATTCCAACGGTTTTAAGGTAATTTTGGGGTGCTGATTCCAAATCTGGCATCAGTTTTTGTCTATCACATCAGGTTTTTGAGATATCAAATATTACATTTTCAATAAAAACTGCAGAAGAAAAATATTAAATAAATGTGGATATCTACATAAAATTTATTATAAACACACTATCCTAAAAATACAGCACCACATTTTAACACTAAAGCAGTCACTGACTCGCAACAACTTGCAATCATAAGTGTACAGAGTTAATTTCGGGTAAAATCAATGAAAATGGGGTATGCCGATAGCATAAAAATGAGATGTGATAGAGCAAATCTGAGATCAGATTTGGAATCAGCACCCTGAAATTAGTCTAAAATAGCTGCAAAAGTCCATGGCCATATTTTTGTTGTTGTTGAACAGTGTTATAGGAGACTATAAAAAAAACAAGTTGATGTCACTCAATTAAGAGCTAAAAAACTGTAGGATGGTCAATTGCCCGCTCAAGTTTATATATATATACTGCCACTTCCAAAATCACTCTCGCTTTGAAATCCCAAGCTAATCTGATACTTTGGTTCACTCCGCCACCTCTTGTGCATTGCACAATGTCTCTGTGTGCATTGCACAATGTCTTTGTGTGCATACAAAACGTATTCTAAAATGTTTCACTGGAAATTAAAACAACTTTTGGATAGTTTGTCCATTAATTCAACAAAACCATTCATGGTATAGAGATCATACGTTGTATTTATATAAATAATTATCTGTTCTTCACAAACATTCAGTGGCATGCAATTTATTTGGGCACTCCAATACGCGTGGGGGCAAAGTATGTAGTGTGGATAGAGTAACACGCCAAAAAGTGGGAGCACACGCTGGGAAAAAAAATCAACGTCTCAAATGGCAACAACTCTCTCTTCGTAATCCTTTTCCCAACCTTTCTGATGAAAATGCGCCTCGCATGTCACTGTATGAAGCAAGCTCGAGGCCAGTTGTGCCCTGTCGGGCATCTGGTTAAACATTGTCACCAGAGAAATAAAAACGTCGGTCCGCTCCACGTTGATCCTGCTAGACCAGTCATGCAGCCTTCTTTTGTCGGCAAGTGTAATTGCCAGGGCAGATTCCAGCAAGAGGCAGAAAAAGCTAAACATAGGCGGGGCCACACCTACAGACGAGGTGGCACCTGCAGCCGAAGGACCAGGCAAGGGCAAGCGACCACAACACAAAAGTTCTCGCCAGAGACTCTTCGCAAGACGACATGGAGCAAGCCCAGCAAGGTGTCAAGTCGATGGCCAACGACGCCATGAACTTCTTCAACCGTGTCTTTCAGGTGAGCCGGAATAAGTAGGGGTTTTTTTATTACCTATCGCAAATATTATAGTTTTCACTTTACGCTGCTCGTTCTCATCATCCTGCTGCGGTCAGAGTGCTTGAGCGACCGCCACGTTTCACGTCACAAGTCCCTGCGTGCGCTAAAAACCGTGCGAGCCAACGCCCGTGACTGGCCAGAAATTGATGGTCATTTCGGACCGATTGGTAAAAAAAAAAAATTAGTCGTAACTTTTTGACTGGCTTGTTTGGGAAGTTGGGATTGTGTGGTCTGGGATGTGTAGATCTAATGGGCGCATTTGTTTGTTGTGATAACGTTTTGTTGATGTTTGTGCTTTTTGTTTTGGTACCATTTCGGAAATTGTTTATTGATTTTGCTTGGTAGTCGGGTTTTAATTTACTTGGTAGTGGCTGTATATGGGATTTGGACCTTAATTATAATTAATGTACAGCATTAGTGAGATGATATTAGCATGAATGACGCTATATAAAATGCAAGTATTATTATTTCTCTCTCGCTCGCAATTCAAGCGTTTTTAAGGTCTGCAGATTGCATAATTGGGTCTGATACTGGATACAAAATATTTACACGTGTCAACTCGATGTATTGATAATACCAGACGGTACTGAGTATTTTGAAATACTATCGTAGTTATATGAAAGGGTATCTCCATTTTCTGAGATGTTCAATATGCAATTAAGGCAGAGTTATTTTAGTATTTTTTTTAACAATAAAAGCATGACGTAGACACAATTGAAGCGCTGAAATGTTACATTCACAAATGTTGGGCTGTGTGCTACATGCAGCTAAAGTTCACCAGACAATGAAATAAATAAACCTCGCATAATCTGGAAATGCAGTTGCAACCTTTGAAGTTAACTAAGCGTGAGAGTACTGCCCGTCAGTGTCATATATCCTGGCCCGAGGAGTCACATCACATCACACAAGCTATTTAAAGAGTCATATTAGTAATGCTGAGGAAAGCCATATGAATTATATGTATGTACTATCAATTCTAATTAATGGAAAATGTCAATTGACATTTCGATATACATTTTATGCAAAGGAAAAATTCGTTCCTTCTGCTTCATTAGATGCGTGCTAAAATGTCACCAATGAGGGCTTTGGTCTTTCTTTATTTGATGAATATTGAGCCATAGATAATACGGGTATTGTCTTGGTACTGTTCAACATTTGGCGTCCTCTGGTCTGACACTGGTGAGACGAGGCCATAAAGAAAACTATCTCTGGTGTAGACCAATCAGTTTCAAAGGCAATGCAGAGATAATCAAGGCGTGTTTATTTGCATGTTGACCACAAGTGCATGTGGTTAATGCAGACTTGATTTATTGCAAAAGGTTTCTATTTGGTGTTTGAACATCTTAACACCTAAATTTTGATGTAAAGCTTTCGTGACTGCAGGGATTCATATTCTTGGTTCTTTCGGTAAAGTCACGTAGAAGGGAAATAATAAAATAATAAAAATATAAAACAAAAATTCTGATGATGATTGCTTGTGTTGCAGTCGAAACGTCGTGATAATTGTTGTTGTTTTATTTTTTGTATTATTTTTTTATTTCCCTTCTACGTGACTTTACCGAAAGAACCAAGAATATCTTAACACCTGTTTGATTGCCCAAAAAAATGTCAAACCTATTCTTATTTTTCATAACTCAAGCTAAATGAGTATTTTTATTTAACCCACAATACCGCAAAACTCAAGAGTAGAACATGCTTCTTGGTTCTTTCATCGACAAAAAAATGACAATATAATTTCTACAAATGTTTGCAGAACCGAAAAATCGGAACTGAAGTCGGCAGATAAACGTTTGAAAATGAGAACAAAATGAAAGACATACTCTTAGGTTTTTTTCAGTAAGTCACGTAGGTAAAAAATAATATAAATAAAATAATAAAAAATGAAAAGAAATAAATTAAATCACGACGTTTCGGAGGCAACACAAGTCTCCGTCTTCAGGTGGGACCGTCAAAGCCAAATTTACAAATTTACTGTACGTGCGGTGTTGTGGCTGTGACGGTCCCACCTGAAGACGGAGACTTGTGTTGCCTCCGAAACGTCGTGATTTAATTGATATATTTTCATTTATTATTATTTTATTTCGATTATTTTTAACCTACGTGACTTTACCGAAAAAAAACAGAGTATGATTCCTTGCAGTCACGAAAGCTTCAAATCTAAAATGAAAGACCCTTGAACATAAAACTTTCCTCGCTGCGTATTGATACCACACCCAGGAATGCTACTACACTGCAGCGTATGGTACTGTACAGTCTCAGGTGAAAATACAATAAATCTGCAGCAGCGACGACTTCCTCAAGCAGTGCAGAGTTGACGTTCACAGGCAAATGGAACATTCCCTTCTCAGTGCATTGGACCATGATCTAGGCACGTATTTATTTATTTTTTGACACTGCCACACATCTCTGACATTTGCACGCTGTCAAAAAAATAAAAAGGATGGCGTTTTGTTAAACGAATATGGTGTACGGCGCTTTCTTGCGGATATCTAACAGTGTTATGAC